GCATTTAATGTGTTGTTTTAATTGAGTTCTTGGTTTATGTAGAACGAAAAATGTGTTTTGGTTAAAAATATGTTAATGTATGATAAAATTTTGACCATGACGTTGACTTGAATGACAGGTTTGCCAGAGAAGTCGGTGTTTTAAATAAGGCATTGTTTTTTTTTTGGCGTTAACTAATTATTCAAACGTCAGATACAAATAATATTGTCTAGCCAATTATATTTGTTAATTTCTATTTCTATTTTCTTATATTATATAATATATAAAAGCCAAAGAAGAGTTAAGCTCAAACTCGATAAGACAGGTTTCACGTGCAATGCCCATAGACCAGAAAATCAAATACATTTTTGGACTTAGACTTAATATCACCAATCAAACAAAACAATATAGAAAGAACAAGTTTAATATAAGTTATTGAGTTTAGAAACGTATTAAAGTCGGACTAATCAAAACTATTAGCATATAGATAATTAATGGTATGCTCCACGATGAATAAATATGCGCGATATTAAAACACCAAACATATGGATAAGTCATAACGCCAAATTTGCATGAGACAGAAACACTTGAGATTTGTAAACCAAGTGTTAAGAATGATGTGATGCTGATAGAATAGGTATCAAAAGAATAAATTAATCCAAGAATTAAAATTAATACACATATAAAGTTATGAAGTTTGTTTTTATTTTTTTTCATTGTTCGAGAGAGAGCGCATGTGAGATGGGCCAGAGACTCTGATCCAACAGGCAGTTTCTTCGAGGGACATGCATGAATGGCCTCTTCCTTTTTCTCTTCTTATTTACTTACTTACTTACTTTAGGGTTATTTTATTTTATTTTATTTTAACTCTAGCATTTATTAGTTACTTTTTTCATATTTTCTGATCGAAAATTCTGAAATCTCTTTCGACCAGAGAGACAAAGAACAGATCATACTTTTCCAGCAAATAGTGGATCGATCACCAAAGTTTGATTTTAGATTCAACCGATTGAACTATATATCGATTCATTGTATTTATTGTTTTTACTTTCTATAAATACATCCTTTGTTATCGTCATATCTGTGTTTTTTCAGTTGTACATACGTCCTTGTCTTTAAAACATTTTTTTCTACAAATATCCATAAGTAAATAAGTACTGTATGTGTAATAATTTATGTTCAACTTTAAGTAAAGATAAAATAACTTTGAATAGTAAGATGAAATAACTTGAATACCGTTTCTGTCTAATAGCCAAAAAATACGAAGTTAAAAAATTTCTGACTCATTAGTCTTTCCTAACTGAACATTCATCTCCAAGTGATTTGTGTTCCGTAAAATCTGAAAGCAAAGAACGCATTTGACACATCAACTGATCAAAGGCTATAAATAAGTCTTTTATGATGAATCTTAAAAATCTATTGGATATTGTCATCATGATGTTCATTTAGATAGCAAAACCATTTAAGATTAGTTCGAGGAGCTATAGCCATGCATCAAACCATCCTGATCATGACAACATGCAAGAAACTACTATAATTTTACTCAGTAACCGTCAATATATAGTTTGTGTTTCGAACAAATTGTACTTCTTGTTCTCAATGAATGGAGTATATTCTTATGAGTAAATGTTATGCGTTTGATCATGTATGATATAGGCTGTGACAAAAAAATGCAGAACTGTTTTCCGAAAACTATTTATATTCAGTAATTTGTGGCTTTGAATAGGGACAGTTTTGACCCACACAAGAAAAAAGAATGGGAACACAGTTTCCTTTTAACCACAAAAACTACACACGCCTATATAGTAGAGATCTTCTTATCTTGGACCTTTGAAGCTACATAAATAAATACAAGTAATCGAAGAAGAAGAAGAAGAAGAAGAAACAATAAATATAGGAATTTATAGATATATATATATATATATATAATTGCGAGTAATGTGTCGAGCAGTGACACACGTGTGGGAAGGTGTAATAGCGTGTAGCGATGGAACACCGTGAGAGTACTGTGAAAACGACCAATGGAAGGAAGCCCTACTTGGTTTTTTAGTATTATGTCATGTCCCATCTCCAACTCATGTGAGTCCCCTCCACAGTCCACACCCCCCAAACACTCAGTTTTTTATCCAACGGCTACGATTCGTTTCCTTGTTTTCATAAACCTATCATCGTACACCGCTCCTCTCCTCTATCTCTAATTCTCTACCCCTTTCCCCTTCTAGGGACAACCATACATACACTACTGTCCTATTTCTTCTTCTTCTTCTTCTTCTTACGCATTGACAGTATTTGGTACATTATTATTATTATTTTCCTATTTTGACGTCGTCGAAAATCTAATCCTATACGTACTTTAATTATCTTATATTATTATACCCGTCAAGTCCACTATATATATATATATCGCCGACAAATAATTATAAATCATTTTATACTAGTATACTTAATTATTTATTCGGGTTCCCATACCGGGCTATACTTAATAAAGGTCTCGCTTTAGAGACTTTTATGACATGTTCAAAACGCATATATCGAGTAAAGAAGAGTTCCTCTTTAGTTTTTATCTATCAAAGTCAATTTCGATTGCAAAACCTATACTGCCTGCTTAACTCGTAAACAAGTCACGTACGGTTATTATTTTCTTGAAGACGAATCAAGAAACGGATTCTTGAATGATGAAAGTCCATGTATGACTAGGAAACGGCCGCCGGGAAAGTATAAAAACATCACAGATGTAAGATCTCAATCATCTAATACGAGTACGTAAAAGCTGATTAAGGAATTTTCTCAATCAGCCGTCTCACAATATATAGGATCCCACAAAGGAATTAATAGATTAACGTACATGATTACTTAAATTAAAATGTTGTTAAAGAAAAATTAGAAATGGATGTCTCTAAAAGCGAAATAGACAAAAAAAAAAACAGATTATATATATATATATATATATATATTACTCACCTTATTTATCATTTATTGTTTTAATATCATTTTGCAATCTTCCATTGTTTTTCTCTAAGTTTACCAATGTTTCTATATCTCCATTTTTTAAAATAGTGTTAGATCTAAATTAATGTATATAGTAACTAAATAACTGTTGCATATTTTGCATAAAATCTGTATATAATTAATAAACAAGTACTCTAGGCTAGGTTACTAGCTATGTTTCTAGTTTTGTCGCTTATCTTTAAGGTTTTTTTTTTTTTGGTTTAGCTTAAGAATTTAGTTGCATAAACAAAAGCTAGTTGGATACTCTTTGATGCTGATGTGTTTATGTTACATATAACCACATTGGCAGAATTTTGTAGCAACTATGTCCCCATGTTATTGCAAATTATTTCAATAATGCAAACATATAATTAATACACATAAATAAATAAATAAATCCCCCAAAAAGATATGACGATCGATGGTACTGAATACTACTACTGATCTATTTGTATATTATGTCGTTTCCAACGTTACCCTTATTACGTCATGAGATTGCACGTGCCCCCTCAAGGATAGTCTTGTCATTTGCAAGAGAAAGAGTGGAAAACACCTAGAACTCTTTATTAAGTAATTTCTCTAATTAAAATGATTTTGGAAAACAATAAAAATAAAACACGTATATATATATATGTATTCCTTGTTACAATTTATATTATTATTAGCTGAAGACATCAGATTCGTAAAAATTTCCGAAACGAGAAAGTGTGTGTATTTTATATATACATATATTGCCAAAATTGCCCACTCCGACATGCAATTTCGAAAGTATTATATGCAGAAGATAAAATAAAAAGAAATAAAATAAAAATGTATAGAAGAATCAAGAAACCCTAAAAGCACGTCCTGTCATTTTTATCAGGTGATTTCACTGTCTATCTTGACTTATTTGCTATCTTATACACAAAAAAATTATATATTATTTTTGTAACGAGCACATTTTGATTCTCACGTAATTTATATATGTCTATCAGTATATACAACGAAGCAAAAAAATATAGCCAAGAAAAAGAAAGTGTACTGATATTACTGATATAATTACGAAAGGCTCGTTTGCACGATAATTTAATTTTCTAATAGTTTCCGAATGGTTGGTTATTACACTATGGTAATTTTCTTTTACTATAAATATTAACTTTCACTTTATTTTTTTGTCGACCTGTCACTTAAAAAATTGTACCATACTTTTGGTGTAACCCGTAAGACAACACTCTTCTTCTTAATTTTCTATTTTGTAATAAGTTAATTACTTAGTTTTATACGTATGTGTTTATTTTATTTATTACAGAAAATAATAATTTATTATATTATAACTTATTTATTCGATCAAATCTAACTAGAAGTATCAATGATACAAAGATTTCAGGAATCATTGAACGAAGTATAATTTTTTTCTTTTCTTACAACACTCAATTTCTTGACTTTAAGTTTTATATGTACAATACATCCGATAAATCTTGCTATACAAAAAACAATTTTGTATATGTACAATACTCAAACTCTTAAATCTAGTATAACAATTTTGAAACCCTTTGACCACTAAACCAATAAATTTCTCCAATATTGACTATATTTATTTAATTGATTAATCAATTCATATTATTTGCAAAAGCTCACTAAAACTAAACTCAAAATCTCGTATATAAAATTAGTTAGTCATCCACTAGCCAAATTTAAAAAAATACCACAAATAGGTTTTAAAAATTATACAAAAAAGAAAAAGAACTACGATCATGTTGTATAAATAGTATATGACGGTACCATAACGTATTATTAAATTAATACTATATAGTACTTCCATTTATTTACGTCGACCACGCAACCAGGTTTTTCGAAATTTCGGGAGAAGCATAATTACTTAACTAGTAGTATTAAAACTTTTTTTAAAAAAGGCACGAGTCCCAAACTGTAATAAAAAAGGAAATAAAAGGGTAAATTAGTAAATTAAGTGTCCTTTCAGAACAACAAGTTGCTTTAAAAATGTTTTTATCAGAAAATCAAAGACCCGCTCCGTTCGGGTTCGGGTTCGGGTCATAAACAGCCATTGTCGTTCTTCTTCTTCCTTCTGATTCAAATAAAAGAGAGAGAGAAGTTTGTGAAAACTTTAGCAGAGAGAATAAACAAAACAATAATAACAGCTCCGCCGTACTTCGCCTACCGGAGAAAAAAATACATCAGTCTTCTTCTTTTGCCAATCCAAAATAAAAGATTTTTTAAAATTAAAAACAGTCTCTTTCTTTCTTTCTTTGTCTATACTTTTTTTTTTGTTTTTTGGGTTAAGGGGTTTGATTATTCTGTCTGTACCCATGTTCTGCAACAGTTGAGCAAGTGCATGCCCCATATCTTTCTACTTCTCATTTCCCGACCTTCTCCATTAACTGGGATCTCTGTTCGAAGAAGAAGATCTCTCTGTTCTTAAGCTGAAACGACACCACCTCTTGTCGTTTTAGTTATAGCTCGAGATCTGTGTTTTTTTTTTTTTCCCTTTTTCTTGGCTTCTGAGCTTTTAAGCGGTGGTGGGTTTTTCTGGAGAAAACCAAAGGACAATTAAAGTTTTTTTTTTTTTAATGGGGAAGTAACTGGAGTACAAGTTATGAAGGAGTTGAAGATTCGAAGAAGCGGCTTTGAAGTCGGCGAGACTAAGATTGCGAGCTTATTTGGCTGATTTTGTGAGGAGGGGAGAAGAAAAAATCAGTCTTTGTTAAATTTTTATTTTAGGGGTTTTTTAAGATTGTGAAAAGATTTGGTTGGTGAATGGGTGGGAGGTGGAGGGAAACAGTTAAAAAAAGTTATGCTTTTTTGTGTCTCTTCCTCATAATTACATTTCGGCGTCTTGAAATCTTGGATCTTTGAAGAAACAAACTTGGAAGTTTTTGTTTTTGCTTTTATAAGTTGTCAAAAATGAGATTATCTTCAGCTGGGTTTAATCCTCAACCTCATGAAGGTAACTAACTAACTCTCTTAATAATTTTTTTCATCTCTTCTCTCATGTTCCTTTCTACTTTTTGCAAATGCTGATTATTAACTAACTTTTGTGGTTTGTTTGGATTCAAAGTTACAGGAGAGAAAAGAGTTCTTAATTCTGAGCTCTGGCATGCTTGTGCTGGCCCTCTTGTCTCGTTACCTCCTGTTGGAAGCAGAGTTGTGTATTTTCCTCAAGGTCACAGTGAACAGGTTTCTTTTTTTGTCTTCTTCCTTTGTGATTTGGATTCTTATCTTTCCTTTTTGGTTAACGCATTACTTAAAAACTTCTGAGAACATTTTTCAGGTCGCTGCTTCGACCAATAAAGAAGTGGATGCTCATATACCAAACTATCCTAGCTTGCATCCGCAGCTTATCTGTCAGCTTCACAATGTCACAATGCATGTGAGGAACTTGGTTTTATTGAAAAACTTCTCACAGTGTTTATCTCTGTTTGCGTTTTAGTTAGTAACATGATTCTTTACATTTTCAGGCTGATGTGGAGACTGATGAAGTCTATGCACAGATGACTTTACAACCGTTGAATGCGGTATGAGACTTTACCACTAATTCCATACTTCATCTATGCCGAATATGTCGGTGTCCTGAAATTTTGTTGCTTTGTTTTTATCTTGTTTGAATGCAGCAAGAGCAAAAAGATCCTTACCTTCCGGCGGAATTAGGTGTCCCGAGTAGACAACCTACAAACTATTTCTGTAAAACTCTGACTGCTAGTGATACAAGCACTCATGGAGGTTTCTCTGTGCCTCGCCGAGCTGCTGAGAAAGTTTTCCCTCCCTTGGTAATTCTTCGTCTCATTCATATGAAATTTAACCTTTAAGCTTAGCTATTGCCTCTTTTAACCAGAAAATGTTATGTGTTCTTCAGGATTACTCACAACAGCCTCCAGCTCAAGAGTTGATGGCGAGGGATCTGCATGATAACGAATGGAAGTTCAGGCATATATTCCGAGGTTAGCTTTCTTGGTGAAAAATCCAAGTTCAGGCATATATTGATAACTCAAGAACATAGAGGTTTATCTACTTTGCATTTGTTTCGCCTTTCAGGCCAACCAAAGAGACATCTCCTTACTACGGGTTGGAGCGTATTTGTAAGTGCTAAAAGGCTTGTTGCTGGCGACTCTGTGCTTTTCATCTGGTTAGAAATGTTCCTTTCATTTATTTATTTTTCTATTGATACCTGCGAATCGTGGAACTGACTCAAGTATTTGTAATACTAGGAATGATAAGAATCAATTGCTTCTTGGTATAAGACGAGCCAACCGACCACAAACTGTCATGCCTTCATCTGTTTTGTCAAGTGACAGTATGCATTTAGGCCTTCTTGCTGCAGCAGCTCATGCTGCCGCCACAAACAGCCGATTCACCATCTTCTATAATCCAAGGTATTGTCTTAGATCCATCAGAATGCACTTATGTGTTGATTCTCTGTGTTTCGCGGTAAAAGGAATCCGCTTTTCTTCAGGGCAAGTCCATCAGAGTTTGTTATACCCCTGGCTAAGTATGTGAAAGCGGTTTATCACACTCGCGTCTCTGTTGGCATGCGGTTTAGGATGCTGTTTGAAACCGAAGAATCAAGTGTTCGTCGGTAGGTGAATTATCAGAATTCCTATATTATACTCTGCTTTTTGCAGCTGAATGTCCTAAAGAATCTTTGTTTATTGTCAGGTACATGGGTACAATAACTGGAATTTGTGATCTGGATCCTACTCGTTGGGCTAATTCTCATTGGCGGTCCGTTAAGGTTTAGCTCCAAACCGAAACTTTAGTAGAAACTATTCATTAATCTTTACTTTCTCTTATGTATCATTCATCTCTGAGCAAAATGAAGGTTGGGTGGGACGAGTCTACTGCAGGAGAGAGGCAACCAAGGGTTTCCTTGTGGGAGATTGAACCTTTAACGACATTCCCAATGTATCCATCTCCTTTCCCTCTCAGGCTTAAACGTCCGTGGCCTCCTGGTCTCCCATCTTTCCATGGTATTATAAATTTCAAAACTTGGTCCATCTCCAAGAATTTTTCATTCTAGTCTTTTATATCTTCTAATCTTGGTTGCCCTTCCTTTTCTTGCAGGCCTTAAAGAAGATGACATGAGTATGAGTATGAGTTCGCCGCTTATGTGGGATCGTGGACTCCAATCTTTAAACTTTCAAGGTATGGGAGTAAACCCGTGGATGCAGCCGAGGCTTGATACTTCAGGCTTGCTTGGTATGCAAAACGACGTTTACCAAGCAATGGCTGCAGCTGCACTTCAAGACATGAGAGGCATTGATCCTGCAAAGGCTGCTGCTTCACTTCTTCAGTTCCAAAATTCTTCAGGATTCTCGATGCAATCTCCCTCCTTAGTGCAACCGCAGATGCTGCAGCAGCAACTCTCTCAGCAGCAGCAGCAACTCTCTCAGCAGCAGCAACAGCTCTCCCAGCAGCAGCAGCAACAAATCTCTCAGCAGCAGCAACAGCTCTCTCAGCAGCAGCAGCAGCAACAGCAACAGGCGTATCTCGGCGTTCCTGAAACCCACCAGCCTCAGTCTCAGGCTCAATCACAGTCAAACAATCTTCTTTCTCAACAGCAGCAGCAGCAAGTAGGGGATAATCATAATCCGTCTGCATCCAGTCCTGCTGTTGTTTCCGCTATGTCTCAGTTTGGTTCCGCTTCTCAGTCCAACACATCACCACTCCAGTCCATGGCTTCTCTGTGTCATCAACAAAGCTTCTCCGACACCAATGGAGGAAACAATCCTATTTCCCCGCTTCACAGTCTTCTCAGTAACTTCTCTCAAGACGAGTCGTCTCAACTGCTCAACCTCACTAGGACTAACTCTGCAATGACATCATCTGGTTGGCCATCAAAGCGGCCTGCAGTTGATTCATCGTTCCAGCACTCTGTACCTGGTAACAACACTCAATCCGTAATGGAGCAATTGGGACAGTCCCACACAAGCAACGTTCCTCCTAACGCTGTCTCGTTGCCTCCATTTCCTGGTGGTAGAGAGTGCTCAATCGAACAAGAAGGAAGTGCCTCAGACCCGCATAGCCATCTTCTCTTCGGAGTCAACATAGATTCATCCTCTCTTTTGATGCCGAACGGAATGTCAAACCTTAGAAGCATTGGCATTGAAGGAGGCGACTCCACGACTTTACCCTTCACATCATCTAATTTGAACAACGACTTCTCGGGTAATCTTGCAATGACGACGCCTTCCAGTTGTATAGATGAATCAGGTTTTCTACAATCCTCAGAAAACCTTGGTTCCGAGAACCCACAATCTAATACCTTTGTGAAGGTAAAATGTGGTTATTTTCTTTTCCTGCCTCAAGTGTTTTTAGATTTTGGACGCATAGGGAGACTTATATGGAAATGTTTTTTGCAGGTGTACAAGTCAGGGTCCTTTGGGAGATCGTTAGACATATCAAAATTTAGCAGCTACCACGAGCTGCGAAGCGAGCTAGCTCGCATGTTTGGCCTGGAAGGCCAATTAGAAGACCCTGTGAGATCAGGCTGGCAGCTTGTATTTGTTGACCGAGAGAACGACGTTCTTCTCCTCGGCGATGACCCTTGGCCGTGAGTTTATTACTAATCCCGCATCTCAGCTTTTTATGTTTTGTCCATTTTCCATGTTTATTAACCCACATTACCTACAGGGAGTTTGTGAGCAGCGTGTGGTGCATTAAGATACTGTCACCACAAGAAGTGCAGCAAATGGGTAAAAGAGGACTTGAGCTTCTCAATTCCGCGCCATCTTCCAACAATGTCGATAAGCTCCCGAGCAACGGGAACTGCGATGACTTTGGGAACAGGTCAGACCCGAGGAATCTCGGTAACGGTATCGCATCAGTAGGGGGTACATTCAACTACTAGAAGTAGAAAGAACACCCCTTTTTTTTTTTAATCCAAGTTAAGTTTCAATCTTATAAATTAGTAGTGAGATCCTCTTTAGTTTTAATTACTAGCAAAATCTCTCTTTATAACTTATAAAAAAAAAGGGAGTTCTGCCTTTGCCTTTGTGGAAACAAGAAACTATATAATCAATCCCTCTGTCGTAATACTGTAATTATAAGATCTTTTGGTCTTTTTTTTTTTCTTTCTTATATGAATATTTCTACTGAACTCTTCTTGTATGTCACTTTCTTTACTCAGTTCTTCAATCAATATGATAGTGAAGTGTTGCTTTGGAGTTATATTAAGACTTTGTCTGACTTTAAATGGTCCACATAGAAAGTGACTTGGGTCCCAATTCCTTTATTGGAAGTGAAAGCGTTTTGTGGGTTTTGTTGTGTGAAACACCAAAATATTCCGACCCGCAATTTAGGGCTTTACCCTAAAATTAGATCTCATTCTGCGTCAGCAATAACCTTTTATCTCTAGACACGTATCGATCCGTAGTTCATAGGACACTTTTATTGGTAGCTAAATTAATATATGCCCTAGCCTCGGGAAATATAACCAAGGACGGTTCAATATGAAACAAAAGTTTTAGAAGTGAGTAAGGTTTTCGATTCACGTCTTAATAATGACAAGATTATTATAATACATGAAAATGTAAACTTGTGCTAGAAAATATAAAGAGAGTGTTGTAATAACTCCTATAAACTTACAAATTCGATGATTGATCGAAACTGTTGTGAATTTGGAAATATCTTGCAGATTAACTTTTTTTTTTTTTGGTTGGATATCATCAGAATGAGATTAGGTTAGGTAGCTATGATGATGAATTGGACAATTACTTCAAATAGTTTAGAAGAATTAATGACTCAGTTTGGTATTTGATATTTCTTGTTTGGATGTCCATTAGGACCAATTAATGAAAGACCATGTTGTATAAAATTTTGTGTTGATGAGTCAAAGAAATAACAAATCTGATAAAGAGATATTTGTAGGTATATGGTTTTGATGTGTGGTGTATGAATGTGATTCACATAAATCTTTAGTAGTGGTGGGACTCTATATTCTAAGTAAGAAAAATTGGGAATGGTTGAAAATAATGTTGGGTGCATGTGGTAGGGACATATATAGATGACACAAGTTAGGGCACTTTCATGAACCCTAATTAAATAGTGCATGGTGACCCATCATTCTGAAAGTTCTCACTTTTTATTTTTCTTTCTTTTCTTTATTTACCTTTTTATTTTATTTAATTTTCTCCTTTTAAAAGTTATTTCTTCTTCTTCTTCTTACAAAATCAATTATTAATTTTGGTTATCCATAGGATGTTGTAGCCATTCATTACGTGGTTAAGAATAGATTCAAATGAAGATCTAAGAATATAACTTTTATCTATATATCTACACATATAGAATCATATGTCTTTTCTAGATATATGTCATAATTACAATATAATTTCAGTCTTATAAGAATTTCAGATTTTAATAGTATTACATAATAATAAATACAATTATGGGTTTTGTTTTATTTGATATTCAAAGGCTGAAAGTGAACGAGTAACAACATTCTTTGAATCCATCAATCTAAAAGCATGCATGCATCAGTGCATCATCGCTCTATAATTTCTAATATATATGGAGTATATTATTTTGTGATGAACGTACATGATTAGTTAATTGGAGTAGGATCTTACAGCCATAATCTGACTTACAATTGAAAACATTTCAAGCTTTATTTTTTTGATGGAATAGTACATGATCTCTTCTAAATTAAAGTTAGCCATTAAAGACCTTAACATCTAGCTTTATCTAGTAGTACTATTTTCTAATTTGGTCTCTTTACCAAATAGAAATAATCAAATGATATTTGCACTGTTAGTTCCATAACTCAGTGTTCAGAGTACCATTGTAGGCTAGACTCGTAGTGGAATGGAAATATAATCCTTACTTTCTAACTATAGATGTATGGAAATTAAAAAAAAATAAAAATTGAATATAACCAAAATAAGCTTTTAGCGATAAGGCATAAGGGTTTTGAGTGGATATGTAATTTTGTTCTTGTGCGACTATCCTACTCCATTTATCTCTTTTAAAAACGACGAACAGAAAACGTCAAATATGATACTATTGATTGTTGAAGCACTTTTTGAACAAAGTAAATAAAAGGCACTTTGTTGAGTTGTTAGACCAAAGAAAAAAAAAAAAAATACTTTGGACCATCCTTTCGACGTTGTACTAATTACTCTGTTACCATTTCATTGAGTGATCCCTCTATCACATTAATTCTATTTTGTAAGGACTAAGGATGGTTTCAATGCGATGGAACAGCCATGCATTGTTAACGTACGACACGATTCAAGTTTGAGATGCCACAACTTCCACGAAACTGCTCAATGTAAAACATATATAGCTACTTATATAGCTAGTAGTCTCCTAGTAGTACATACCCATGTTTCTAGAGGTTTGAAGCGAGTTAGAAGAAAACGAGTATCTTCTACGATTATCATACAAAACTGTATAGTAAAAATTATCATACAAAATATCAAATTTCAGAAACAATGACAGAAAAATTCTAAAATGTTAACAAGCATAATTTTGTATATATTTTTTCTACAAAATTTTCACCAAACTTTCATTATCGAACTTTTTCTAACCAAATTTATTCTATTTATATGAGTAAGACAACTCATTCAACCTCACTTGTTGTGACATCGGTTTATCACAATTATGAGCTTCTATTTTTAAAAAAGTTTCTTTCAAACACATGCAACTTGAATTGGAATCGTCATCAATATTTGACAATTAAACCATCCATTAGTTTGTATAACAATCTTCCATGCTTTTATAAAACTTCAACATTTCAACTAGTCCTCTGACGGAGCGTCTCTTAAAAACTTAAAGTTGGAGAAGAAGAATTATAGAAATGGTTCGTGGCAGAAGAATACTTAAAACGATCGAAGGTCGAAAAAAACATAAATTAGAAAGTCTAAGGTATCAAACCGACAATTTCATATCTTTTTATAACAATGATATTTTTTGGGCTCAACAATTGTACTCATTTTAAGCATTGAGTCCATCTATGAAGGCCCAAATATATCAGTGTAACCAAATTAAGAGGCCCTCTAAATGATGATGATAGATACAATTGCTGTCCGATTTGCTAGAGAACCATTCCAAATTTGTTTTGAGTCTTTAGAAGCCAATGTCTTATCAACAAGCAAAATCTATGTATTATCATGTAAACATAACGCCAAAAAGTTCACTTCTAGTGATTTGGCTTTCACTTCTTGGATTTTTTGTCAGTTCTGGTTAACTTGTTCCTGAAGGCAAGAGGAAGACAATCTTTGGAAATTTCTATTGAATCCTTTTCTTTTTTAAATCTCTTTTGAATCTATGCAACATAAAAATGCATTCCATTTATATATTACACAAAGGGGATCTGAGAGTCTAATTCTGTTTAACTCAGACCATAAGTGTGCCTCATGAGAACCAACCACAACATATCTTATAACCGGAAGCCGGTATTCGACCGGTTTCCCGGATATATTGGGCTTCAGCCACTGCCTTTTCAGCATCACGGACTTTTCGAGCTTCCGCTAAAGCCCGTTTCTCTTCGGATCTTTGCTTAGCCATTGCAATTTTCTTCACTATCTTTGCTTCAGCTTCAGCTTTCATCTGCTCAACTTTAGCCTACCAACAGAAGTTTATGTGTAAGTGACCAACAAAAATGTTTCCAGAGAATAAGAATTTGATCCGAAAACTCCTCTCACATACCTCAATTCGTCGCATTTCTGCTTCGAGTTTTGCTCTCTCTTGACTTTCCCAAGCTTGGATTCTGATCTCTTCTCGCTTATACCTAAACGTTTTGAGTTTCAAGAAGAAAAGAACAACACATTTTTTAAGTCTTTTACTCTATAGTTCTTCACTGAGCAAGCAAACAAATTTGTTTCGGTCATAGGGGAACACATACCTTGCATTATGTTTACATTTCTCTGCTTCTTCCCACGCAGTCGCTCGCTTTTCAAACTCAATCTTCTGTGTCTCCTCTGCATCTCCATTTCTCTTATTCTTCTCCTCTTCTTCTTTACTTGCCCAAGCCGCGATGTTCATCTTCCCTAGCTGAACTCCGAGAGCTACTATCTCTCTCCTCGTCTTTGCTTTCTCTTCCTCCTCAGATAGTTCTCTTCTTGTGTTTTTCGACTGGTCTTGCGACAAAGAAGATTCCTGTTGGTGGCCACCTCTAGGAGTAGAAGGGAGAGATGAAGTCGGGCTGCGTAGAGGAGTTGTTGCGTCAACTGGTGTGACAGATCTTGAAGGTTCTTGACTCGGTATTGGCGTCATATCGGTTCCCATATCTCTCATACATACAGAACGAATTGCAGGACCACCTTCACATATTAAAAATACTTCCCTTGTCAAGCTCAGCGAGCTGCAAGAATCAAAAAATTCTCCAAAAAAAAACTAGTCACCTTCTTTACATGTTGTGTTGTCATGTGATGAAACTTTTGTTGTATCCACAAGATCATTGCTTTGTGTAGCTTGATCGATCAACGAGTTTCCACCATACTCTTGAGTTAGAATTGGATGTGGCACCGAGGGAACAAAGTTAGGAAACTTCTCGAACCCATCAATTTGTGTGGATTGGCACGAATCCATCCTAGATTTGTTATGCTCATAACCTGCATTGTCAGGCACAACTCTCACAGGCATACGGTTCCCTTGAACATTCTTCCTCATCACCATGTTCTGTCTGCTCATTATCCACTTCTCAGCATCATTCCATTTGGATGGCATTTGTCTTGATGGGTAAGCTCTTGAGCCATGATTCTGATTCGAACGCTCGCCACGAGCTCGGTGAAACTCGAAGCTTGAAGAGCTAGCGTTACTGTCATAATCAAGGTTTTCATCTTCTTGAGGTCTCATCAAGTGAGGTGCCATACTCAAGTCCCCTTTTCTAAAATGTTGCGGTCTCGGTTGATCGATTTCCCTCATAACATCATCAGAACAATGTCTCGACGCTTGGTTATCGCTCTGGGTCAGGTCCAAAACTGGCTCATTTGGAAGTTTAGCTACTTCAACATCCGTAGTTGTAGCTGCCACTAGACGCCACATACAACAAGAACAGAGCAAAGAAACAAATTTTAGCCAAATTAAGGAGTTAAATTGATTAAAAGACTTCAAATTGTAACATAGAACAGAGAGTTCAAACAAAGAAGGGGTCAAAAGACACAAACTTTATCCAAGAACAGAGCAAAGTGTTCAGCACCAAAACAGAACAAAGCAAAGGCATACACTTTAGCCCAAGTTCCGGAGTTAAATCGATCTCAAGACTTCAATTGTAACATATAACAGAGAGAGACGAAAAAAACAGGTGAAAAAAACACAAACTTTATCCAAGAACAGAGCAAAGACCACAGACTTTAAGCTGATTAAATGATCAAAGCGAGACATGGAGAAAGAAGAGAGAGAGAGAGAGAAAAAGAAAAAACCATTATGGTCGTCGTCGTCTGAATAAGATTGAGAAGCTAACAAGCTGTTCTTGGAGAACTCAGTATCATCTGAAATCTGAAGACGAGAAGGAGATGTTCTTGAAGAGTTACTGTTAGACTTGGATCCTTCTTTCTTCTTGTTATTGTGAGGACCCATTAGCTTCATTCGCAGCTTCGTTGGTGAGATGATGCTCTTCTGCAAATATACATTTATATAAAGAAAAAACCTTAAAAAGTTATTATTCAATTTTTCTTTCTACGAAAATTCAATAGTTCAAAAGATAGACATATCAACTTTTATCTTCTGATAGAGCTATCAACTAAAAGGACAAAAATTTCTGAAACTGAATAGTAGAAAAACTAAAGGTAGAAGTGAAACTCACTGTAAGATAAATGGATGCTAAAATCTTAATTCCATAATAGAAAAAAAAAAAAGGAAGAAACTTAAGCAAAGAGGTGTAATAATGAGGACAAAACAGAGAAGTACAACAAGATTCAAAACCAGAGAAATGTTGTACTTGAGAGATACATAGAGAGAGAGAGAGAGAGAAAAGAAAAGAGATACCTTCTCTATCCTCTCGTAATCCATTGCCAATGCCCAAATCTTTTGTTCTCTATCTCTATAATATATTTACAGATACAAGACGAAGAAGAAGGAGAAGAAGATGAGGAAGAGAGACAAATGGGGTTTTTTTTTTTGAACTTGTTCCTAACTCCTAGCTTCTTCCATTTTATTTTCTCTAAATAGGGTTTTTGGGAATTTTGAGATAATGATTGGAACAAAAGACGAATATATTTTGTAATTTATATACATACACTTAAGAGAAAATGAGAATTCAGATGAGGCTGAGAGGAGGGGGGGCTGTGCACGCCGGTCCACATTTGGTAGCTTCTTCATCATATCACCGTTCTGATTTTGACACGTCACCTAACTTCATATTTTGTCTTTTAATTACACATCAACAGTTTTTTCTTGGGTAACTTTTGTTCTCTTATATGTATTATCCATGAATAACAATATATTAATTTTGTTTCTATCAAATTAAGTTTTTTCCAAATATTGAAATAGAAAAAAACAGATGTAACACTGTAGAGACACAAAGTAAATGGATAGAAGAAGATAAAATTAGTATTTTAACAAAGTTTCATTTGAGTAGAAAAAGGTGAAAAACGGGTCTAATCATTTCCCATTGTAATGATTTTGGGACTTTATTGACAAAAAGAAAAGAATTTAAAAAAAAAAAAAGAGAATTGAACTATACTAAATGCCAAAAAGAAAAATTCATAAAGATACTAATAAATATTATTACTGATATCTGAATTCTGAAGAGTCTATAAATAGCTCACTAGTAAAAGTGTATTTATTATTAATATTATTACTCATATAATAATGAAAACTCTGAGAGAATCATTTCTTTTTCACTGTTAACTTAATAATTGAACCCCAATCCAAAAAAAAACAGAACCCCTAGGATTTGAAGAAAGAACAACATACAGTATTTGCCTATTTTATTCTGTGTATATATTTATTTTATTTTTTCTCAAATAATTTTGTTTTTGGTTGTCTTAAAGAAGAAACCGAAGAAGTAGTTGTGTAGTAGATTGGCAAAGCAATGAAGAAGACACAACAAAGATGAGTGAGAGTACTGAAACGTAACAAAAGTAAAAAAAAAAAAAAAAACAATCGAAATCGAACTGACACTTTTTCTCCACTTTAGGGCATTACGTTTCCTCTGTCACTTTGACCGTTGACTACCCTCTTTTTTTTGTTCTCTTAAATATATTTATTTATCTTTTTTAAAGAAATCTTAGGGTTATTCAGTTATTCTTATTTATCATTTAACCACATTAACTTATACTATTATATAGTAATTTTATGTTTTTTTCATGGGATTATAAAAACTCAAAACATACGAATGTTATTATGTTTAAGAATGAGGAGCGTGTGTACGTATTGCGAGGCTCGAGCCTCAGCTAGATTCCTCTAGCCTAACCTTGTTTTCCTCAATAATGTCTTTTCTTTTTTCTTTAATAGATATAGAAAAACACTTATTTTACTTCAAGAAGCCATGCTTTTGCACACAAAATAATGAAAATGTATGGGATTGTTTTCCTACATGTGAGATTTATTCATTTAATCATAAATTTCAATTCTAAAAATATTCTTAACTAAGAAAACAAGATGTCACGCTGCTACTAAATCATGTGAATGTGGTACATTTGATCTACATTGTCATCCCAATTATTTAGTTTGTCTTTTTTTTTTTTTTCACTTGGGGTTAAATTTGCTATATACTGTACGGAAATTATGATAGTTTTATTAACAAGATTGCAATAAGAAATGTTTTAAAAACCAGTTAATTTTTGGAGTGTTGCACATGGTGAACCTCTTTTTGTTTCTTTCATAAATATGTGTATAATATATTAGTTAACTTTATAAAAAAATTGTAAAAGTGGTGTATCAAATATTCAAAAAAAGAAAAAAAGGTTGATGATATAAAAAAATGATTCATATTGACGACGAGTATGGAATGTAGAGAAAAGTAGTAGTGAGGATTAGGTTGGAGTCTTGAAGAAACATCTTTGACTAATTTTCACCGGCAAATTCAACATTCTTTCTTCTTTACAAATAGTGAAATAAAAAACACAATTAGATCTTTCGTGTTTTGTTACATGAAATCAACGTCAGAATTTGATTGTGACTCGCTGATTTTATCAATTGGCAACGAAAAGTTTGTACTCTCTTATGTGTATATTCATTCTTTGGTCAACAACGAAAACATCATTTTAAAAAAATAAAATGTTTTAAGCATAATACAACAAATGGTGTATATGTCGTTACCACCCCCACAAGTTCGACGTTTCATAAATGGGCTTATTGAAATGGTGCGTCAATTGGAATTTTGGTGGTCGGTGTTATGAAGAAGATAAGTCAAAAAAAGCCAATAGTAGAACTTCATTTTCCTCGGCACACAATTTCTGACATTTTGTCCATTTCACATTGCTCTTAATTAGTCTATTACAATTTTTTGAAAATCAAAATGCCGTGAAATTAAAATTTGTATCATTTGCAAATGTTCAAAACCATGAGGTTTGACTTATCATAGTATAAAAATATAAATAGAGACAAAACATTTCTCTAGTGGGTCCAAAAAACACACTTTCAAAAAAAAAAAGATTTGCAAAGGTTCAATAAAATACTTGAGTTTCTTTTGAGTTTTGACTGTTGTGTGTTGAGTTTTGAATATTTCATCAAGAATCTTTTTTTTCTTCCACATCGTGTATACTAAAGTTAGAAATTCATTTAATAAAATATACTAAGTTAATAATGTTTTTTGAGTGGTCTATTTTTTTTTTTTTTTGTAATTTTCAAACATAGGTTTTTCTATAACTGCAAAGAAATTTACTCTGCTTATAAATAAAGGTTTCAATAATAAAATAAATTATTCATGATTATTTTAACCATCACAGAATACTATCTATTTCACAATGGCCTTTGGGGATTGCTGTGGATTTGACAAGAACCTCTTTTGGTCCGCTTGGGAACTAAATTTTGCGTACCAATCAATCACTTCTCTGTTTGAGGAATGCTTAGAAAATGGTAAAACACCTTTTTCATACTTTATATCAGCCCTATTACAGTTAAAGGGATATACACATCAAATACTTAGTGGATCTATTTTTTTTTTTGAAAATTTATACGAAGTGGAACCATTGCTACTCTTTTCTTCAATTTTCCTTTTATAAAATTGATTGACAAAGTATTAATCAACATCGTAAAATAACAGGTATATCTGCTGAAAAAAAAAAAGTAATAATCAGTCGTTTGGTCAGAAATTCTAACTAAAACTTGACGAGTAAACAAAACCCAAAACAAAAACTTCGGTGATAATGTTGATGTGGAGCCATGTGAGATCTCTCTTTCTCTTTCTCCCTGTATCTTAAGACAAGAAGACAATAATCTTAGTTTCCTTAATGAGAAGGCCTAGTACTGTAATCATTTTTACCTCTTCATAGGTCTATTGGGACTCTCAAGCCATCATGAGCGAGTTTTACTGGAATCCCTTCCCTACCAAACCAAAGCATTGCAGCAAATAATATTACTTCTCTCTTTCTATGGTATGCACTCGTCAGGTAGATTATGTTATCAAGGGTTTTCTTATAGTTTTCTTACCTTTTAGACCATTCTTCAAGATACTCGTTGTCCTTGTGGTGATCAAACTCGTGAGTCATTCCTATTAGAAGAGCTCTTTTCGGACTCAGTCTTTTGATTGTCTCTAGTGTCTACATAATACAAAAGTAAGCATACATAAACTGATAAACCATACAAATACAATAACAAACACCTTTAAATTATGCTAACCTGCGGGAAACATAAGTGGGTGTTGTGCGATCCTGTCTGCAATCACAGTTTAGGACAAAAAAAAATGTGAATATATCAGCTCACATTAAACTTTCAACCTCAAAATGTAATGCCTTAGTGATGATCTGTTACACCTTATATAATGTGTCCAAGATAAGGAGGTCCAATTGTCCACCACCAGATTTTGATATAGCTGTTAAATCCAAAGGCAACTAAGTTTGAGTCATCTTCAAGTATGTCAAAATGCAGACATGCTAAGCGGTTTGTAAGACTTACCATACTCGGTGTTTGGAAGAAAGCGTGATACATCCGATATATACGCCACTCTTGATTTTTCACCAAAAAGGAAACCAAGACATACATAGTCTTCTCCATGCATCACCTACGGCATTTAATAAGATTGAGTTTCCACATTGATAAGCAGGGAGGCATGATTCACTATTTCTTCAGAGGCTTTGAGAAACTTACTGGAAGTGGTGTGAATGATAAGTCGGAAGCTACAAATGGCTTCTCACAATCTTCTTCAATTATCCTCCAATCTAGCTGTGCTACTCGCCTAACTTCTTGGCCTTCTTTAAGTTTCTTCTGAACCAAATACGGGAACTTCACAGCAAGACTGTTTTCAGAAAAGCATGTGATTGTCGAAACTACAGCTTTAAAGTCTAGAAGGTAAAACTGAGATTACCAAAGATCATGAAGATTTTATTACCTATCCATAGCATATTGGCTTACGAATATTGGAGTAGGATCTATGTCATTAGTAGGGCTAAATGGTTGCACAGAACGTATATCATCCAGGCCAAGTACTGCATCCGCGTGTTCATGAGTCAAAATGATCTGCAATTCATGCAAAAATTAATTCTCATATGCACTGAGAGCTCCCTGATACAGTTAGGAAAACTAGAGAATTGCGATACAAAAATGTTAGGATTTGGTTCATCTTAGCTTCTTCATAAATATCTTAGGCAAGTTAAAACATCATTCAGAAAAAGAAAATCTCAATGGAGACATCAGACAGGCAGATTGAAGAGAAATAAAAAACGATTAAAAGACGAAAACTTACAGAATCAACTTGAGGAATCTTGTGAAGAGTAAACCAACGAAGGACCTGTTCCCTGAAAGTCTTGCCAACATCGATTTGAATGTATTTATGTTTGCCATCACTTTGGCAATAATCAATGAGCAGTGAAGTATTCCCCCTGCCAAAACCCACAAGATCTCTTACAATGAATAAGACAAGCTACAAGCAGCTATGAGATGGAATCTACTCAAGCAGCTCCACAGAGAAATCTTCAAAGCTTCATATGATTCAACTCAACCATGGATCAAAGTAGAACAACAAACATAGAAAAATTGAATGTGCTACACAGTTTAGCTAAACAGAAGTAAGAGATCCCAAATCTCAATCTCAATTCTTACGGAAATCAAAATTAGTTCCACTACGAAAAGATCCTAAAGCAACTCCAAAAATCTCTGAAACTTTCAGACTCGCATTGGAATTACATAGAATCTATCAAATCAAATAAGTGCAACACGAGAATGTACCTGTAGTTAGGATTCCGCTCAGGAGGAATCGAAAGCGACTGGGAGCAAACGTTGCAGGGACTATCAGATCGCTGGATCAAGCACATTGCGTTTGGTACCGCGCTGGAGCATCCCGTTCCGAGGAATATCAGAGCCGATCTATCACGTTCAGAGGTAACGGAGCCGTTTTCAGTCGGAATCGAACAGTCCATCATCGGCGATGTTAATATTTTTAGGTATCTATCTGTGTGTATATATATGGAATATTCCGGCGAAGGAGGAATCTCGAGTCGATGGTAAGACAAGGGTGTCGAGTGTCGACGACGCAAAGGGTACACAAGAGGACGGAGAGAAGCAAAAAGAATAAAAACATTAATTTAATATAAATACATAAATATATCAACGGTTTTTGTCTAATTTGTCTACACCACGTGGCGTAATCTTAACGGTTTTTGGCCAAGCCCACGTTTTTAATATATTTTTCGATTTTCGACCTATAGTTTGTTTCTATAGGTTCGTCACCCTCTTTCTGATTTCAATTTTCGCATGGTTCCGTTGTTATGCTTCTGCAAACATTTCTCAGTTTTGAGTTAAGAACGGAGATAGCTTTGTGTGTGTTACCTTGAGACTTGAGTAGCTTAATTAGTGAAGAAGCTTCTCGCTCTACTGTTCTTATTGTTTGATTGATGTTGAATTTACGGGTTAATCGGCTTCTCCGTAGACCCTTAATCCGAGTTTTACCTTGCTCAATCTCTAACGACGATGCATCTTTCTCGTCGGAAACCCCTGTCTTTAATCATGTTCCGGAGATAGGAGGAGTTTCCTGTCAAGAAGATGACCATTTAGAAGAGTTCAGTCAATTGGGTTTCGGAAAGTCATCAGCTTTGAATGCTACGAACGTTAGCGAAGCTGGATTTGGGGACATTCAAAACCCTAGGTTTGATGAGGTAGATGAATTGGGAGAAGAAGAAGAAGAAGAAGTAGATGAAGGTGGTGGGACAAGTGGCGAAGAGCGTGATGATGGTTTCGCTGTTCTGAAATCGGTTGGGAAGATCCCACAATCACGAGAAGACGTTGGTAGATTCAATGTCCAAGAAGATGAATCTAGGCATCCTTTGGTGAGAGAGATAGGTAGATTGATTGGCCTCAGGTCATCTTGGAACCCGAAGCATGAAGCCCAGATGAGGAATCTTTTGAGGAGCCTTAAACCATCACAAGTCTGCGCTGTTTTACGCTCACAAGAAGATGAACGGGTTGCTCTTAAGTTTTTCTACTGGGCGGATCGTCAATGGCGGTATCGCCATGATCCCATGGTGTATTACTGTATGCTTGAGGTTCTTAGTAAGACTAAAATGTGTCAAGGTGCTAGGAGAGTGCTCGTTCTGATGAGACGTAGAGGTATATATCGAAGCCCTACAGCATTTTCGTTTGTTATGGTATCATATAGTAGGGCAGGTCAGCTGAGAGACGCGTTGAAGGTGTTGACTCTTATGCAGAGAGCTGGAGTTGAACCTGACTTGTTAATTTGCAATACAACTATTGATGTTTTCTTGAGAGGGAATAGGTTGGAGAAAGCTTTACGGTTTCTCGAACGTATGCAGGTTGTTGGTATAATGCCAAATGTAGTGACTTATAATTGTATGATCAGAGGTTATTGTGACTTGCATCGAGTTGAGGAGGCAATTGAGCTACTAGAGGATATGCCTAGTAAAGGATGTTTGCCGGATAAAGTTAGTTACTATACCATAATGGGCTATCTTTGTAAAGAAAAACGGATTGTGGAAGTGAGAGACTTGATGAAGAAAATGGCAAAAGAACATGGTTTGGTTGCGGATCAAGTCACTTACAATACTCTAATTCATATGCTCACAAAACATGATCATGCAGATGAGGCTCTTTGGTTTCTAAATGATGCTGAAGAAAAAGGTTTTCGGATTGATAAGGTGGGCTATAGTGCTATAGTCCATGCATTGTGCAAAGAGGGAAGAATGTCTGAGGCTAAAGATCTCATTAATGAAATGCTATCGCAAGGACATTGCCCTCCGGATGTAGTAACATATACTGCAGTTGTCAATGGCTTCTGTCGTTTGGGTGAGGTGGACAAAGCAAAAAAGCTTCTTCAGGTTATGCACACACATGGACATAAACCAAATACTGTGTCATACACAGCTCTGTTAAATGGGATGTGCCGTACAGGGAAATCGTTAGAGGCAAGAGAAATGATGAACATGAGCGAAGAGCACTGGTGGAGTCCAAATTCGATTACTTATAGCGTAATTATGCATGGGTTGCGAAGGGAAGGGAAACTGTCTGAGGCCTGTGATGTGGTGAGAGAGATGGTACTAAAAGGTTTTTTCCCTGGCCCAGTTGAAATCAACTTATTGCTCCAGAGCCTTTGTCGGGATGGGCGAACACATGAGGCCAGAAAATTCATGGAGGAGTGTCTGAACAAGGGTTGTGCCATTAATGTCGTGAATTTCACTACAGTGATTCATGGTTTTTGTCAGAACGATGAGCTAGATGCTGCTCTCTCAGTGCTTGATGACATGTACCTGATCAACAAACACGCAGATGTCTTCACATATACTACTTTAATTGATACGTTGGGAAAAAAAGGTAGAATATTAGAAGCAACGGAGCTTATGAAGAAGATGCTTCATAAAGGTATAGATCCTACCCCTGTTACATACAGGACTGTCATCCATCGATACTGTCAAATGGGAAAAGTTGATGATCTTGTGGCTATACTGGAGAAGATGATACTGAGGCAGAAATGCAGGACAGTTTATAATCAAGTCATTGAGAAGCTTTGTGGTCTGGGAAAGCTCGAGGAGGCAGATAAACTTTTGGGAAAGGTTCTGAGGACAGCTTCAGTATCTGATGCTAAGACATGTTATGTACTTATTGAAGGCTATCTTAAGAAAGGTGCGCCTCTGTCAGCATATAAAGTGGCCTGTCGGATGTTTAACCGCAATCTGGTACCTGATATTAAGATGTGTGAGAAGCTTAGCAAAAGACTGGTTCTAGACGGAAAAGTAGAGGACGCAGATCAGCTAATGTTACGTTTGGTTGAGCGTGGTCATATTTCACCCCAATCCTCAAAACAGTCAATGGTCTAGTAAATACTTCTTGTTTTACTTTAATTTTTGTAACAACAAACTTCTTGATAGGCTAATTCAGGCTTCAAGCAAAGCGATGTTGATAATACAACTGTCGAAGTGCTAGAAATGATAACAACATGCTGTTGTATTTTTTTGCTTTTTAGTCACAGTCTCCAGATCCCAAGCAAAGGAACTAGGGTCTCACTCCGTTAGCGGTGATGGATTTCTTTGTTGATGCTCTTGCCGCCTCTTGGCATGAGGAAACCAGTTTGAGCAGAAACCAGTTATTCTATATCACATTTTCCTGGTAGCAGCCTGTTATTCTCAATACTTCTACTCATTAATTTCATTACTAATGACTTGACGAAACTAAGAAATGACATTTCCCGAAAGGAAGAAGGTGGAATGATTTTTCCTTTCTGCAGGAACCATAATTAAGTGCACCATACAATCAAGTACTGATAAGTCCCTGTGCTCTACGCTTTACTTAAATTAACGCCACGGTTGGTTCTTTGCGTTTGCGTTTGTGTTTCCATGTTACCATGATTAGAACATTATAACATAGATAAGCAAACAGAAACAGAAAGAAACAATAGTGACCTAAATTATGTCTCTCTCTAAATTTTATTTTACTTTATAGCAAATTAGAGGTGTTTGACACTTGACAGGTCGTACAATGCTTAGTATACCTCACTGTTTATAGATCATTTTGATTATTCTGGGGAGTGATTTCATCATAGAGCATGATGTTTTCGTTGGTCGCTGCTTCATAATTAGAATACGGAAAGAAACAAAAGCAAATAGAAAAAAGTTGTCCATGCAAATGAGAAGGCGTGACTGTATTACAGTAACACTAAGAGTTTTTATTCTTGTAGGATTTTCACTTTCTCTGAATGCATATGATAATTATATTATCAATTATGAGAAGAAAAAGGAAAAGTTTTGGGACAGACAGAATTCTATGGTTAGAAATACGATAGATGACTTATCCTTGATGGGGTATTAATAAAGATATCCATTATTTCTTGTATTTGGTATAGTGAAGCTGATAGCTTACTTATTGCATTAACTCTCTCTGTCTCTTTCTTTCTTATTGTATTTTAGTTGATTTTTGTATGTTGTACTAACGCGGAATTAACTCGTCGATCATTGCTTTTTTTCGTGTGATCCTGGTGATGTTAGAGATACTTATCAAATAATATTTCCACGATAATGCCTGCATCTTGGCTGATTCTGATAGTAAGCCAAAGCTAGAAACTGTTGCTGGGAAAGTGAGTAAAGAGCGTACCAACCTCAGTGACTGCTTTTGTTGTTGATTGTTTATATTCTGCAAACAAAAGATTGTGTCTGCTCTGCTTGTCCAATTAACGGTTTTAAACTGTTACTTTTTCTTGGAACTTACTGAGCAATTTCCATTTCGGCGTGTTGCGGTTTGTTTTTCCATGAAAAGGCTGAGAGAACCTTATGCGAAACTCGTTCCTTACTCTGTGCATTCGCTGTTACCATATAATTCCAAACACCATCTTGCTAAAAAGAAAGTGTTGCTTTCAGAACCTCTTGTGAAATTCATTTTTTAGAAAAGATGTTGAATTGATCTTTAGTGATGTGATTTGTTGTTTTGTTTGTAATGTTTTAATGGTATGTCCCAGCATACGACAGCGATTATAACTGTTGTTGTCTGTGAATGTAGGATTTGACTTATCTACAGGATTCTACCTTCGAATTTATGATATTTTCATCAACACTTAACAGTAAATGCCACTGGAGCTTCATAGGATCTTTACTGGAGCATCAAAGGATCTTTATTGCTTACATGCGACAGAGCGAGAGATGTTTTATGACTGTACACTGCGCAGGTACTGAGAGTCTCCAACTTTACAGAAAAATAGTTTCTAGAAACTCTACGGCTCTGACTGAACCCATCACCTAGTAAGGTCTTTAGCATCTTATGTATTGAAACCGTACCCTGTAGGTTGGCAAAATGGATGAATACAAGTGATTACACTTTAGGTTAAGCAAGAGAGTCCTGCGGTTAGGATTTTCAGCCTTGGAAGCTAAGAGAACATACAAAAAGCTCGTTTAACTTATGCTTAATGTATAAACAACATTGGTGAATCCTTCATTACATCTCCATGAATTATACAGCCTCATTGTTGAGATGGGTCGTTCGCATTACTGAAGTCACCCGCAACGAATCCATGCCATTGGCCTGATGAGTAATGTAGTTCCTTTAGCCCTCTTCTCTCAAAACATAAATATCTATATATAAAGTTTCCTTCTTTTTACCGTTGTCTGCAAATGAAATGTGTTTTTTATGATGTCGGTTGATTTCTGCTTGTAGTTTGCATTGTCAAATCACCCTGCAACAAAACACCACGAGTCCTTCCACTCTGCCCCATCTCCTCAACTCATGGGTATGTATAACAACACCATTGGCAACATAAATATCTTAAAAATAGATATATTCATTCATTTGTTTTCACCCATCTCTGCAAATACTGTGGTTTAAAAGTGACATAGGTTAAATATAACTGTAGTCTATATTGTCTGCTTATGGTTACAATCGCTTTCCTCGTCGGCTTATTACGCGTCGTCAGGAGAAAGCTCATTGGTAATGGCCATCCATTCTTTGTGCTTGACCTGGACTGGACTGTGCCTTTGAGGATTTTGTGTTTGGTATTATCCAAAGGCACTTATGCTTTTGCTTGTTGAATCATATCCCATGTTCTGTTTACTTCGTTTGTCCTCCAATTTGCACCCATAGATCATTCATTTCCTATGTACGGTCAAATTGTTGTGTAAATCCTCTTTTGCCCCTACCCATCTTGACACACTTGGTGGGGTAAACGAGTAAATATCTTGGGATTTTGGGAGTATATCCAAGCTTATCAAACATATTACATTCATTGGTTTTTAAAGGAAGAAAGCATATAGTCTAACATGGAAACATAGTTGATGAAGGTCTTCCAGGTGATGCATTGTTGGCCGCCTTAAGAGCTGATTCGCTTGTCGATTAGCCGAGTTAGTTGTGGAGCGGTGTCATAGCCTTGATTCGACCATTGTGGTTTGGAAAGCTAGTCGAACGAGGATTCACTGCAACTTACTTACTGAACTAAGCCTCACAGCAGTGAAAATATTTCCTTTTGAGTCTCTACCAGTGTTAGTTGACAATACTTCTAATTTGTTTGATATGCTTATACTTCTTATTTGTTCGTTCATTTTACTGTTTTAAAAATTGTGTTAATGGACCACTAAGATTTTTCATTCCTTTATAGAAAAAGGAGATTTGATCTCTAAAGTCATATCGTAAAAAAGATTTGATGTATGATATAACAAAGAGGGCAACATCTTTAATTTGCAACATAGCATACTGAAAAAAACTACAAGGAAGCATTACAGCTCACACACATGCTTGTAAGTTATAACAGCTAAACATCCATGATTATTTTTTTTTAGTTTTATCTAATTTTTTGCCTTTGTTATTAATTTAATAAAAATGATCTAAGCTCGAATCTTAAGGGAGCAAATCCCAGAAGAAATGATTGCTTTTGTATCTGGTTTTATATAGTATATAGTATTTTTTTTAGAAAGAAGATAAAGTTGTCCCCCTTGAAGACCACCTGATCTGCATTTTTTACCTGTAATGTTTCCTGTTCAATGGTTTTGAATCTTGATACATGTTCTAAACTAGTATATGTTTATCACTTTGCTTGTTCCTTGCAAAAATGGCAACTAAAAAAAAACTGCATGGTCTTTTTCGGAAAAGTGGTTTCAATTAAAAATCTTGTTTTCTCAGTTTTTAATTATTAGCCAAAATGGAAAGATCTTTTACAACAGCCAAAATGTGTGATCCATTGAAGTAAATTGAGCTTAAGATCATGCTTAGGGGATGATTATTGAACATTAATAGAATTGATAACCAAGATAATTTATATGATGAAAATGCCAAAACACAATTGCTTACAAAATAACATAATATAAAACAACCACTTTTTTATAATGTGATGATAAATTAATGATCTGTCCATTCGAGGGCATCATATATATATATATATAAATTAAACTTGTATTAACGAAGAAGTTTGTTTTCTATGTAATTAGTATTGGGAATAATGGAATATGATAAGCATGTGTTGGAAAGTAAGAAGAGTATTGGCTTTTTGGTGGGGAAGAATGTTTTATTGACATCAAATGATAGCATGCATTGTCCCCTCCAAAGGGTATGTGTCATTCCTTCACCCACTTATTTTATTTTTATTTTTCATTTTATATACATTCATGTAAATGTTTTTAATAATCCTTCCCCTAACATTATATGAATATCTATAGGAAGTGACTCTAATTATATATCAATTTATTGGTTTACATTTTCTATATCGTATTGATGACTTGTCAAAAAAAAAACAAATGTGATCTTAGTCATCACTCATCAATAGTATTCAACAATATGAGTTTAACAATGGTTTTTACTACAAGAAGTTTTATACAATCATATTGTTCTTTAGACATGTTACACACTTACACTATCTATTACCAAGTGTACTATAAGTGGGGTGTTTGTTTCTTCGTCAAATATGATTTGTTTTAAACACATATTTATTGTTTTTGGTATTCTGACATCTACTATATCATGTTTTACATGCATTTAAATAAATTAAAAAGCATAATGTTTTAGTTCTTATTGAATAATTCTATAGAACAATAGTATCTTTGTTTTAACGAAACATATAAAAAAAAAAGCTAACCGGAGAGATAATATATAAATGAATCAAAGTCTAAATACTTTTGATCTTGTAAGAAAAGTATATAATTTTCAGTTTGGAAATACACAACAAACGGGAGACATGTTGGAATGTTTTTCACTTTTCACAAATGCAAAAAATGACATCGGATTTTATAAATATCATAGTTAGATATTTTATGAGGTAGGGCCTAAACTTGATAAATCCATTGTAAATTATTTGAAAAAATTAGATATACTTTTTATAATCTAAATAGATGAGATTTGTTGTGTTTTGGTTTTACACTCCACTAGGAACCACTATCACCCAAAGATAACTGAAAACTTAATGAATAATACATTTTTTTTTTTGAAGAAAATTATATTTTTATAGAGGAGAGAAAAATAATAATGATACAGCAAAAGGTCGGAAACCATTAAATCATGTCTTCTGAGTAGAGTAGGGACTCCCAAGTGGTAACATGCTATTTGGTGACAACAAAAAAAAGAAAGAAAGAAAAAAAGAAAAAAGAAGAAGTCAAAATCTGTTATTACATACATGGTTTTTTAAGAATTTGCCTCGAGTTTAGAAGACATAAACATATACTTGTGCAAGTCCAAAAACAAATATCAATACCAAGATAATTAATTTATTAGTATATAATAAAATGGGATGCAAAAGAATCACATATGTAGAAGAAGGTGATTCAGTAGTGAAACCTTTTCATGAAATATATAACCAAAGCAAAGCCTTTTTAAGAAATATGTGTGCGTGTGCATAGACTTAGAGTAAATCGTTTTATATATTTTTAGTATTGTTTTGCGATTCATCAAAATGAAGATATTGGTAATGAGCTACAATTATGATCCTTATATAAAAGAAAACGAATCACAATTATGATTTATGATAGATAATTATATGTTTGGATAAAATCATTAAATGCGTAGTATGTGTAATGTGTCGTACGCAATACTAATCCACAAAGTACACTAAAATTAAAAAAAAATTAATTGAAGGAAAAAAAATAAGAGTTGAAAACGAATTAAATCCACCCATGATAAAAATAATACTAATAATTAAAATTAAATCTTCTATTTTAGTTTTCGTTGCTTACTATAAATACACATGTACGTTAGTGTACATTATTACACAACACAACACACTCTCTTCTTTACTTCTTTTTTTTTCTTACAACTCTCGGTTACCGGAGTTTCACCGGCGGAGATGGACGAATCGTGGCGTATGAAGATGGGTTTAAGCGTTGATCCGTTCTTCTCCATCGCTCGTAAATCTATGGACGCTCGGATCGACGCCGAAGATTTCGCTGATGTTTTCGGTGGTCCGCCGCGAAGCCTCCTCACCCGAAAATTCTCCGGCGACTTCTCTCGTTCTGATTGTTTCTACGACGAGATTTTCCGACCGCCGGGGAGTTTCTCCGGTGGCGGATCCCTTTCTTCTTCTAAATCTCACGGCAGAAACTTACCGGCGTTCAGGATTCCCTCAGGCGGAGAAGGGTTCTACGACGGTGTGTTCGGCAGCCGCGGCGGATCGGCCAAGGAGGGATTAAAGAAACAGAGCTCAATGGCCAAATCGAGATCTAATTCTTCATCGGTGCTCTCTTCCGAAGAGCTCAGTCCTCACTATCCTCCACCGGCGGCAACTTCCGGTGACGACGCCGGATTCTCTTCTTTCACTTCTAGACTCAGGTGAGTGGACTTTTACTATTTTATCCTCCACATCATTGCTGGTTCATTCACAATTCTTGAGGACAGTTTCGTAGTTTTAAACATGCTCTGTTTTTTTTGTTCCTTAGACCGTTAAACGTCCCTTCAAGAAGTCATAAACGAGAATCAAAGAAACAGAGCTTTCCGGCGTTTCCAACATCCAAAGATTCATTCTCCGGCCAAAACAACACACCGGAAAAAGCAGATTTTTACTACAGAAAACCGCATTTCAGCGGATCCAGGAGAGCCTCGCCGGAGACAATTAGCTTAGATCCTAATTCCTTCACAAGAATGGATGATTACGGACCAAGCTCCCCTGCATCTTCCCCTGTTTCTTCCTTCATCTGCGAAGAAGAAGAAGTAGTCAACACTGATGCAAAACAGAGAACGAACAGAGACTGTAAAGTCGAAGAGGTAGTAGTAGAAGATGAAGAAGAAGAAGAAGAAGAAGAAGACGAAGAAGAGGAAGAGATGAGCTCTTACGTGATTGAGATAAACTCAGATCGATTCGATCGTTACAGAGAAGGAGGAGGAGGGAACTCGGATTCAAACGACATGGATGAAGCAATAGCTTGGGCGAAAGAGAGATCACAAAGACCAGAAACAAAGCAAACAGAAGAAGACGTGATCGATTCAAGAAGAAGTGAAGAAGAACCCAAATCAGAAGAAGAGGTTAGTGTCATTGTCATCGACATTTTCCCGGGAAAATGAAAGAATGAACTTTTCTCAAGAAACTGATGAGACAAAATGAATGATAATGCAGATGGAGATGGAGATGAAAGATGAAGAGATAAGAATCTGGTTAACCGGAAAAGAGACAAACATTAGACTTCTCCTCTCAACGTTACATCATGTAAGTGTAATCAGAGTCTGAATTGGTTTTAATTTCGTCTCGTACAAGTAAACCGGTTACTAAACCGGTTTTTTTTATTACAGGTTCTTTGGTCAAATAGCAATTGGCACGCCATTCCTTTAGCAAACCTTAGAGATGGATCACAAGTGAAGAAAGCTTATCAAAAAGCTCGGCTATGTTTACATCCAGATAAGCTACAACAAAGAGGAGGAGCTTCACCGATTCAGAAATCTGTCGCGAGTAGAGTTTTCGCCATTCTTCAGGTACTAAAACCGAATCGAAAAATCGACATTCAAGCTTCGGGTTTTTAGTGTTCTTGTCACTAACTCTTAGCTGCCATTTGGGAAATTGTAGGAAGCATGGGCTGTGTACGTAACAAACGAAGGGCTCTCGAGCTAAACCCGAATCCGCAAACATTTATTCTTTCGGTTTATTTGAAACTGGTGGTCTTCACTCTTCAGAATCTGTTTATCATGTAAGAAGAATAAGAGCAAAGGAAATAAATAAAAAGGAAAGGCAAAGTTTGGTTTCTTTGTTGTAAATGTCATATGAACATTCCCATGTGTTACTTTTCTATCGTCCATTGTCAATGTTCTTCTATACAAAAAAAAAAACAACAACTTACGTTCGAGTATTACTTTAAGAACACATTAATGCATAATTCGAAGTCATCGAACTGAAGTTTTATTTCTTGATAGAAGATAGTCAGATACAGAGCTACAACTATAGTAAGACTAAAAAAATCACGATGAACCATCAAATATCGAAAACTTGTTGATCTTGTGATATCAGATAGGAAAATAACAAAATCTGTTTTTTAAACTTTACATTCATTTTTGTGTAAGAGCTATAAAACATTAATTAGGATTAGCATATAATCTTTGCATTGATTTCTTAATGGTTTGGGGATTAAAAATTTACAAAGGTTCACACACAAGAGATTTTTCTTTTTTACATTTGCAGACAGAATCAATTTGACTTTCACTGTACAAATATCCAAAGTGAAAACCGATAGGGAACAAATGGCAAATCGATTCTCAAATTAACAAATCTGTAAAGCTTTTACTTTCCGGTTTATCGGATTCAAGCTAAGATACTCGCAACACGCAAGCTATTCACAACATGCCATGGAATCAAACAAATTTAAATATCAATAATCCCCAATATAGTTTCAAACTGCTTTGCTTCACTTCTTTACGCTTTCTTTGTATAACAGCCAGCATACGCTGTTTACTTTCTTTTGTATAACTTCAAAACCACTCGCAACCCCCACCCACCACTATAGTACTTTAAAAACGAACAAAATCTATATTAGAAAAAGTAAACAGCTTATGCTGGCTGTTTCGCAGCTATCTCGTTAGCCATGGCACCATTAGTACCACCTGAAACTTGAAGAAACAGAACAGGATTTGTGTTTAGATGTTTCGCTTGTTTCTCCTTTCTAGGCTTACATAACAAATAGATTATTCAAGGCAGATACTTCATACTTACCATCGGTTCCTTCCTCTTTCTCTTCGTCGATGGTTTTCCAAACAATGTCCTTGAGTCCCGTTGTAAGGTTCTTGTAAAACTAAAAGAAGAGCACGAAAGGAGGCAAAAGGTCAAGATTCAAACAACAATTACTAGAACACCATTTGACAAGCAAAAAAAGCACAAGCTCGTGTTTGATAGAACCATTTCAGTCTTAATAAGCCTTGCATACCTTGTGGAATTCCAAGGTGTCACCCCCTGATTTTCGCATTTCAACCATGTAAAGAGATGGAGCAACTTGAAAAACCTGAAGGTAGATATGTTAATTAGGTTAAAATTAGGTTCATTCAACACTGGGCGACACCATACAAAGGTTGATAACTGGTTATTGTGAAAGCTAACCTCAGTGGCAACTGCCAACTGCCCCTTGCGGCCTGATTTCTCTCCTGTCAGCTTCATCTGAAGGAGTTGAGAAATGGTAAAGGGGTCAAATCAGAAGCAACAAACCAATACAACTCCACAGCACGGGTAAATATATAACAGTATTCTAACCTTGTAATTATTTGTCTTGACATCAAACCCCATAGGTGCTGCCGCAGCCTCAATTTTTGTAACTATCTCATTAGCCGAAGATTTGGAAGTAAATCGAGTTTTCCGTTTCACAAGCCCCTGAAATCATAGATGTTTAGTAATCAGAATGACGACTTTATCAAACTAAGTATGGGCTTCCAAAGAAGTATTGGTCACTAAAGTTTCTGGCAAAAATCTACTTCTTATTAGGTTCTGGCAAAAATCTACTTCTTATTAGGTTCTGACCAAACCCGCAAAAAGATAGTTGAAAATCGTCAACAAAATAACAGCATTGAGGGCTGAAATTGAAGGACCAGTTACTTTTCAGAATTCTGTACCATTTGTTTTTCGAAAAGTGAACCGAGATTGAGACCCTGGGATGTTGAGATGAGCTCAAAAGCATTCATAGTTACTGGTGTTTTGGTTCCTTCTTCTCGCCTCTCCACAACAAGATTCTTAGATTCCTATTAACAAACAGTAACAAACTGAGCAATCATCCAGGAAAAAGTACAGAAAACAACCAAAAGGACATAAGCCTTACCCCTGAATCATCAAAGATTGCATCAACATCATCAAGACTGACATCAGCATTCTCAAATTTAGGTGCTTTATACCCTTTTTTGAACCACTCATTTTCAATGACCTCAGCAAATGTAATCCTCTGCCCAATACAAAGAAACAGTGTAAAGCCTTCAAATTTACTCAATCCAATAGAAGCCTTTGCCTCATCAAAGGAAATCCCCTCTAATATAATAGGGTAAGAAAAATATACTGTTGCTGGACTGGGATCCAAAATTCTTTTGATTAACTTCTTAGCACTTGCAGAAAACCAGGGAGGGCAGGTAAACTCTGCTTTGAAAATCTGTAATCATGAAGAAGGAAGACTCAGGTGGCATTTTATGCTATATACGCAGAGGACCCATACAACCAAATGACACCTTCTAGAAATGCAAACCTTGAAGTCTTTCTGATAGCATGCAAAATGAATATGTATGAAAAGAAAAGCAAAAGAAGAAGAACAAAGCGTTATACCTTTTTATATAAAGAGGTCAGGTTAGAATCTTCGAAAGGTAAATAACCAGCCATTAAGACAAAGAGAATTACTCCACAAGACCACAAATCAGCCTTCGCTCCATCATAACCTTTGTTATTGATTACCTAGAGAGAAAATATAGAAGGTTACAAAGACTAGAAAATAATAGACTACCAGCTTCAAAACAACTGTGTGTCAGTTTTCAGTAGCATTCGATGATACCTCCGGAGCAACATAATTGGGTGTTCCGCATGTTGTGTGAAGTAACCCATCCTCCTAGAGAAGAAGGGTCACAAAATCAGCTTTTGATAACTCAAAACTTTTTCCTCAGGGCCATAATAGCTGAATTATCAAACTATGATATTTACAACAATGAAATAATAAAAAAAGGAATCAATATATTGATGCTCACTCGAACTTGCTGAGGTAGAGCGCTCAATCCAAAGTCAGACACTTTCAAAGCACCACTAGCATCCAGAAGCAAATTTTCTGGCTGCAACATGATTTTGAACACATCAAATTTCTATTCCGATGCCACTTCATTCATAAGAACCCTACGCAAGAGATCACGGAGTAAGATTCCTAACCTTAAGGTCTCTATGATAAACTCCTCTGCTATGACAATAATCAACCGCATTAATAAGCTGTTGGAAGTACTTCCTCGCCTCATCTTCCTTCAACCTCCCATTGCTTGACTAATACATTACAATTTTGAAGAATCAAGATCTTTGTTCCACATAGTATTCAGAAGAAGAAGAAAAACACATCTTTCAATGAAAGCTTACAATTTTATCGAAAAGCTCCCCACCAGTCACGAATTCCAAAACGAAATAGATCTTACTTTTGCTAGCCATCACCTGAATAAGAAGAAGAAGAAGAAGAAGAAGAGAATCAATCGGTAACTACAAAGATACCAAAAGAAAAATATAGAATAATCTCAATCCGTAATATTATAAATAAATATGATTAGCCAGGGACCACAAATATGTTCCATAACTTCAGAAAAAATCTCAGATTATTGCAGAAGAATCTAAGAACAAGAACAACTTTGAATATAAGCTCTTAAGAGTCTCCTTCAATACATGAAATCAAATGGGTAAAGAAGAAGAAAATTAAGAATCAAACCTCAAACATACGGATCACATTTGGGTGCTTGATCAATTTCATTGTTGAAATCTCACGTTTGATCTACAAAAAAAAAAAAAAAAGCAAAATCCAAAATGTTATATCACAGCAGCGTAAACCCGAAAAGAAAGAGAAGAAGGAGATATGTATACAAGTAGTACCTGAGCGATCATCTTATTTTTGGTAACTTTGTCTTTATCAATAACCTTAATGGCAACATTATCACCATTCTCAACATTTCTAGCGAATTTGACCTTAGCGAAGGTTCCTTCACCCAAAGTTCTCCCAAGCTCATACTTACCAACTCGTGTCCTACCACCTGAAGAACCATTACCAGAAGGCGTCGATCGAGAAGGAGTCGATCGTGAAGGTGTTGTTCGAGAAGCCATCTCAATCTCAATCTCAATCTCAATCTCGTACGCTTCTATAGATATAGATATATATAAAAATTAGAGATCTCTATTGAATCTTCTTCAGGAGGAGAACCTCTTCTTCTTGCATGGCTGCCATACTTGGGATTTGGCAACGCTCATCGTGAGATCTGAATAAAACCCTCAACGACCCGGAGACCCCAAAACTTCAAAAAAAAAAAAAAAAAATCGGGAATTTCAACTCTCGTGTGCGGAGACAATTCAAATAGGACGAAGAAGACGAAGACGAAGATCCATCAAAAGACGAAGATTTTCAAAATTTTGTAGTGATGATTTTGTTTGTTCAGTACTCACGGTGAAAAATTGTTCAATTAGAGTTTTTTTTTTTTTTTTTTGGGTGAAAATCGCAAATTTCGGCTACAAAGGAAAAATCGAAACCGGTTTTGAGAAAACAGCGAGAGAGAGATCTATGGGTGGAATAGAATTTAAAGTAAATAAAAAAAGAAATTAGTACTAAATTAATTTACTTTGATTACTTTATGATTTAATCATTATAATTGTTTAATTAAGTAAATGGATTAATTAAAAATTTCTGTTTAGGGATTATACGAGGAAGGTTATATCTATGGCTTCTTTCGTCTGACGTATTCTACAGTAGTTACATTTGAATATATATTTTTAGGCTTACGTAGAGTTTATTTATTTATATAATATAAGATGTTAAAAAATATGGGTAAGAATAATTCCAATGTAATAAAAACCGTTACTAAAGTAAAGCGTTTTTTTTCTTCTTCTTGGTAATACATTGATTTATTTTATTTTTTGTAACGTTTGTAATATGTGATTTGAATTTTTGGTGCCTTTACTTGCGATGAATATTTTCTATATTTATTTGGTATGAACACAATATTATAAGGTTACTTTGGGTCAAATGTGTACAGACAAGTATTTGACGTTTGTTGACTAAATTTATGAGGTTTTATATGTTTATTAAAATGTTGTATTAAGAAATTTTTTTCTTTCTCATGTTCAAATCAAACCTTTTCTGATTAGTGAGATACATCTTGAAATCTTCCCAGATAGAAAATTAGCAAGATAAGAGTTTGGTTGTCTTGTGTTTTTCTGTTTTGGAAAAACTTTTACAGGTTTCTGTTCGGAATTGGTTTTGCGTTAAGTTTTGATTACTTCGATCAACTTGACAATGGCCGTAACGCAGAGTCTATCAATGCTAGCAGTGGTTCTCATGTTTTCGGTAGCAAACTTCCATATCTGATTTCTAGTTTTGGTTTGCAATTAGTTTTTTTTTTTTCTCTTATAGATTTGTGGATCCGTTGTAGGTACAAAACCATAAGTCTATTATTAAAAAAAAAAAAATGAGAACTTTTGTCTGAATAATTTGATAATTTTTTAAAAAACTAAGTGTTACACAAAATACAAAAAAAGGAAGGTAGGTTATGGCTTTATAAATTAATAAAAACTTCAGAGATGAAGCCTTAAAATCAGAATGTTACCTTGGTAGTGCTAAAATCATGTAGTAAATCCTCATGTAATCAAAATTTATATTGTCTTCATTATCCAATTTTTTTTCGTTACAGTTTTTTTATCAACATAGATTCATTATACAGATTTAAATCCGTAATATACAAAAATACTAATATATGCTACTAGGATTAGTTAACTGGTCATTTTGTTATGAATATGACCCTTTAAAATCAAAATTTTATATACAGTTTTTTGGTTATTTAATTGTTGTTGTCATTTGATTGAACATCATTAAAATGTTTTGAAATGAACTTTAAAAAACACTAAACCAAGAAAAGAAGCTTCTATACCACTTATCCAATTAGCTTCCAGCATTTTATCCAATATTATCTGATTATACTTCAAGATTCCAAACATATGCTTATAAGAAATTAAGAGGATCTTTAATTTTATTAACTCGCTAATAAATTATACTCCTATCAATTAGTTTTGAATTGTCCAATTCAACTTTTGATGTTATGGAAAAGCCATTAGCAATATCAAAGAGCCACGTGCCCTTTTCAAGACTATAAATGGTTCACAAAGGGGCATTGATATATACAAACCTTTAAACAATGCATTATTACGAACCACTTAACAATTAATATTCGATGGTTTGATTGATCAACTGTTTCGAATCTTCTATCTAGATGATGTGCTTGTGGTTTGGTTCTATATTTTATAAAGTATGGTATTGTTATTGATCTACTCTGGATTTTGCATTCATGGTTTATATATATGTTTTTCAAAAAGGTTAGTTATACAAATATATAGTTATCAACCTAAATAGTTATATATATATATATATATATATATATATATATATATATAGTAAAAACAAAACTAAATAGTTATACGTACTTGTTTAAGTTGTCAACCCAGATAGTTTAGTTTCTTCTGATGTTATAATGCTCATCAATGACAAGAAGAAATGTAACATAATATTATATAATAAGAGAATAAATCATTGATGGGCAAATGTAGATCCATGAACTTGCCACGTTTTCTAGAAAGCTTTGACTTTAAAATTATAACCTATATACCCATGAATGATGCCATACTCTTACAAAAAAAAAAGAAGGTTATATATCCAATTCATATTCATACTGGTCTAGTCGTTTAATATATATTTATATTTATCTAAAAATTTATAAACTATATTCTACTAGAATTGTAACAACTGGTCGATCATTTGTAGATGCATCCATAAGCTTTGTTTGATGCTTTAATAAGTTGAAAAATAATTAGCTCTTTTTTCTTTGTAAACCTAGAAATAGTTCAGATTTTTTTTCCAAGTTATGAAATAAATAGCAAGCATTAGTTGTGTGACTTTCCTATTAAGAAACGTATGTTATCTGTCAGTTCATTAATATTATATTTGACCAAGGAAATAAAATTATATACCGTCGATCCACGAGTCCGTGTTTGATTTTTGATATATCGATGGATGATGATGATGACCGCAAATAAAAAAGAAAGATGAAAAAACTAAATTAACGGAACTTAACCGAAACAAATCATGTTCGAGTGTCTGTTGGAGCCGACCAAGACGTTGTTTTTTTCTTTCTATTTTTCCCCTTAATTAAAATGAATTATTACTAATTTGCAGAGATTATGGGAGAATAAAACAACCATTTACAGTGATTTTACTGAAGCTCTTTCTGACATAGCTAGTAACGTACATATATAGACACCAACCAAATTGAATTCAATTCTATTAGAATAATGCATTGTGCATGCATGAGAGTGGAACCCGAAACTCATAGTATGGAATTGTACACGCTTATCTAAGATGATTTGCCTCGCATATGATTCGTTACCTTGGAAAAACGATTTCATTTCTATGTCATTGATGAGCTTCTCGTTTTGGATTTTCCTTAATAGTTTTACATTTCATATATTACTCTTCTTACAAGTATAATTTACAAAAACCAAATATTTTATTTTTCATTCCATATATTATATGATACTCGTTGTACTATACTGTATATATACACGATTCTCGACTATAATTCGTTACTACATAAATTTAATTAGGTTTCTAAAGTTGTTTAACAACCCATTATATTACTCTGATTTTGCTTGCTAATATTTTTTTTTTTTGAGGTCCAAAGAGTTGAATTTTTGTAATGTTATCCAAAGGGATGCATTAACCTTGAATTAAAATTTTATTTACGTTAATAACGTTTATAACATAAGAATCGTGACGTACGTGTACAAAACTAACATTCAAATTTCTAATTTTGAAATAGACGGCTTTTGTGTTTTTTTTCTTCAAATTTGAAGTTTCTATATAACATAACAAAAGGTCCGTTGAAGAGAATCTCTACAAATACCCCATCATTTTAGAAACCCTAAATCCCTCTATGTAATTTCGAAAACTTTCTGTAGAATCCGGCGGTCAGGACGTTCTCTCAATTTTTCCCTCTTTGCAAGTATTAAAACAAATCCAACTACTAAAATTAAATTAAAATTAATTAAAGATGATAGAATGCTCAAAAACCTATTCCGTATGGGAGTTTTTTGTTTTGTTTATTTTAATAGACTCATAAAAAATCGAGCTGACTCAACTCAACTCGCAAGCTAACAGGGCATTTTGACACCGCCAAGATGATTTGATAGTCTCGTTTTGTATTCACAAGTGACTGAAAAATAAAATATAAACATTATATTAATTTGTAAAAAGAAAAAGATTGATTTGTAATTTATATATTGTCAGCTTTGTTTCCCCTTTGCCATCCGTTTGATACACCAAATCATATATACACCGAGTTTTAGTACCTGAAACAAAATTTTATTACAGTTGTGTTATTTCAACTGGCAATTTGTAATATCATCATGGTATTTATTGGCAATGTTTTTGTATTAATAATACTCGAGCAAATGAATATAAATTTTAGATTTAATATTGCAAAGAAAAGTATTGTTTAACACAAACTGAACCGGACCGTGATATGAAAACAAACGGTCCACGAAAAGGGAGAGAACGTAAAGCTTAATTATGTTTAGAAACGAAGTGAAAGCAAAATTGGTCTAAGTCTAAGTGGACATAAAAAAATGTTTCTCTAATTAAACCGTGGAAGAAAAATTATCATATTTTTAAAAAAATGACCTATTGATTTTGAGTAAATTATATATTCTCAAGAAGGGTTTGTCTAGCCACCATTCATTTAGTAATAATACCATATGTTTCAATCCACCATTTTAACCATTTTATTCACTTGCTTGTAAAGATTGAACCATTCACAAATTCAGTTGATACGGTCACAAGTCAAAGATTGTAGAAGGTTTTACCAAGTCAATGAAGATGTTCAATATCCTAAATTATTGATATTTTGGGATCATTTCATTATAATAGAAAAAAACAATAGATTGAAAACGACATCCAACAGAGTCCCTTCCACATTATATTGATTACAACAATACTAATGAATCGGGTCAACCCGACTCGGTCTTCACGATGCTGATCCGGCTTTGATAGGGAAAAAAACTCCGATCATCCAAATCGCCGGAACTCACCGGGACATCAAACTCCACACACACACACACACACTTCGGATCATTATAACAAACATTTGCATGATGCATATATATACAGATACTTAATTTACATCTGAAAATTGGTTTAGTTCTTGAAAACCGGAAAAGAACTCCGGTTCTCTGTAACCGGTAACGTTTTTAGACCGGAACTGGAAGAAGAAGAAGAAGAAGCTGAAGAAACAGAGGAGGGATAAGGAGGAGAAGCAAAGGGTGAGGAGATGATCTTCGAAGAAAATATGGAATCTGCAGTGCCAACTTCTCTTTCTTCCTCCTTGATCGTGTCAAGTACCTTCGCCGTCCTCCTCCGCATCACCGTGACGAATTGTGGTGGTGCAACCTCCGTTATGAATCTCGCTAGTCTTGAGCTCGCCATGATCTTGAAATTTAAAGATTAGATCAGATTGGTGATATGATGATTGATGATGAGATAAGATGATGGACTTGGTTTGAAGAGATGGTTTTATAGTAAGTCATGACACGTATCATGTCTTGCATTGTTTTTAAATGACTTTTTTTATGATAAAATTATTTTAAAGTCACTTTTTTAACGATTGTATTTCCTATGGTGGATACTCGTCGGAGAGTAGATAATTTTGTAGTTTTTTTTTTTTCCATTTCTTATTGTAATTTTGAAAAGGACCTTAACTTCATCAAAATCGAAACACGTGTTAAAGAGTAAAATAATGTACAAAATAAATTATATGGTTATACACTTATCCTTCTACTTATATCAGGTTTGACCCCAAAAAAAAAAAAAAAGAGGTTATACTTGTATCAGAAATTCACGAAAATTGATGAATAAAACGTTTTGACGGGAAAACTTGATACTTTAATGGTTACATTACACTTAATAATATGGTTTGCAAAAGAACCGTTCTGATCATTAGCAATTAGCATAGCAATTGGGAAGATATTTTGGTTGGAGACAATGTTTGGAAAGTGGTTGTTCTAGAAAAGATTATTAAACACTCTAATTTTGTTTCGTGTGAGTTCGATATGTCGACAGTACATGATAAACTTTAAAGTTATAAAGCAAAAACTGATGTGAGTAATTTAGCGGTTAGTGCCGCCCACTTGCTTTTGGTATTAAATTACATATAGCCGTCTCTATTTCCCTAACTTTAGTGTGACCAAAAGGCAAGTTTCGTTATCACTCATATTCTCAATCTGTCTAGAAAAGAAAAGAAAAGAAAAAGAGAAGAGAAGAGAGTACTTACATCAAATAAAGTGCAAAAGATATAAAGTACTAGTGATGAAATAGGAAAAAATTGTTCACAAAGTGGTGTTTTCACCAACCATGCATACCAAGTGGAGTTTAGTGTTAACCATAGCTACAATGCCACTCACAAGTTATAGTAGATATGGCACTACAAAAATTTTGTATTCAATGTTGTTTTCTGACATCAGTAATTACGTTGAGTTTTTCTATTTTTTGTATTCGTTTGGTTGTAGTTTGATCACCCATTCACCCTCTAAACATTGTTAAATCCTAAATACGGTGTTAACCTGTAGACTAGGGCATCAAGAATCAAAGTGCACAAAAGTCATAACAATTTGGTTTCCACACTTGGATTTTTCACTAACTAGCCAAACTTCATTATTGTTTATTTTTACAAGTATATATCAACTTAGGACCACCCTACCCTATAAAGAAAGTTACAAATTGTGTTTATCTTGTGATGCATATTATTACCACATTTATCATACCGTCTAAAATTGATTCATACAGAGACGGATCTCTATATGCAGTAAGTACAAAATCGACTTTTATAAAATCATGAAAGACGTACAAAAAAGGGAAATGTAATAGGATATGGTGGGTCACATATCTACCACGCGTAACACCCTGAAGATCTGTTCGGATTACTCCATATCTAATTATCTGATATGTACTTGACCATAACGTAGTATATAATTTGGTAATATACCTATTTGTGGACTTATCTCAATATATACTGCAGTGAAGGCCAAAAAGGCGTCACTGTTATAGACAGACCTCTCTCATGTTTGCCGTCAGAAACACGGCACAATATCCACCGGCAAAAGAAAAAAGAGAGTTTTCGAACTTTTTGCCATTAATGTTTGCCCTAGTCGAGACAAAGGTTTTGCAGAAAACACCAAACTTCTTCTTTATATTTTCTATATTTGGAGGATCGATCCCTTCCCCACGTAATATAATTCCGAAAAGGATATTGATAGCTTAAAAAGAGCACATTTCTTGTAATATTATAGCCATCGGCCTCTTATACAATTTCACGCGGTTGCTTCGATAATTAGACCGTAAGCATGACGAATATATACAAACATATGATAATGAACGTTAAGTCAAGAGAATCAGAGTAAGAGAGATGAACACATGAGACTATGTGAGGAATATGCATGTTAGAGCTTGGAACACAAAGAAGCGAGAGATGTATATGTCGTGGGAACTCGTTTAATTTGATAATTTACGAGTTGTTTTGTGGGAGCAATGTTTTGGGGTTTGGGGTATCTAAATCTTTGTGAAAAAATGAATTGTTTCGGATTCCTTATTATTTCTATTCATATACAAATCAGTTGCACATAAACATACATTTTTACATATATTATGATATATATGTATGAGATAGGGCAACGTACACATCGTTGTTTAAATCATAAAAGGTCATGTTAAAAACCGATCGAAGAGACAAATGTACGTAAACAACTTGCACCAGTAATGTCTTCTTATCTCGAATCGAATATAAGACTATCGCTATTTAGAAATATCGTTATTTGGCTTTTGTATATTTTGAGAGTAAGAAGAAGCAAGACGCTAGCTCAATACTGAAAATTCATTCTTGGGTGTATGTCCAAAACATGCATTTAATTCATAAAGTTCTTTAGTGCTGTCTTTTTTCTTTGGTCCTTAGCACTGAACGTCCAAAATTTTATTTTGGTGTAAAGCCTAAAAGTGAATTTATTTTAGGGATGAGGGCAGTCTCGTCTAGGTAATTCCTATATAAACAGAGGAACCCCATCTCCCAATTCAACAACATCACAACAACCAAAATAAAAGCAAAAGATTCACTAGTTCTAGCTCCTAACACTTTAGTTCAGCCTAAAAGAAACACAAAACTCTTTTGTCAAAATGGTTGATACTCAAAACACCCTTTTCGTCTTCCGACCAGACCATCAGGCTCTCGCACCTCAACCTCTGACTCCTTTCTCTGCCGTGACTGCGCACCGTGCCTCAGCCATAAGACGTTGCCGCCTCATGATCTCTGCCAAAACTCTTGAAATGATCCTCGAGGAAGAGATAGCGCCAGAAGAAGATCATCCAAGCGTTGCCATTGCCATGGATTCTCTTCTGGTGTGTCCAGCGACCTCTTGTTTCTAGGACATCAAGAAACAAGTCTTTTTCTGTTTTACAAATAGCTACAAGTGCCCTTGATGATCTTCACCACAAATATTGTGTTTTTTCTTGTCAAAGATAAGTTAGTGATGTATTTACATCACTATTGTCATCTATGGCAAGTGTTTTGTTTTTCAGTAGTCAAGTTCAAGTTTTTTTTTTCTTTTATAGTTTCCACAGATAATTATTAAATCTTGTGAAACTGTTGTTTGAAAATATGTTCTTATTGGTTTCGCAACCCAAAGAACATGTTTTTTTTTGTTGTTGTTGAATAAGAATTTACTTCTGTCATATTTCTTATGCAAAAGATTTGGTATTAGTTTGCACAATTTGGCTGTTTAAACCACCAAAAATATATGTATATTGAATTTTCCAAACCAAATTTATAATCTTGATTTTTGGTTAATTATGTACAAAATGTAAAATTTGATATAAAACTTAAAAGAAAAATTATATTTTGAGGCTTAACTCATTTTATTTCTTGGAGTAATTAATAATTACTAATTATGTAAAGGCACACCCGGTTAAATACAAGACAAATACATTCGGTTTAGTAAACCTCCCAAATTACCGGTACAATCTGATTGAAGCGAGCCCGATTCGTTTAAACCTCAAAATCTCGAATCCTCTCCTCTCTAACCTGTTCCGTCGGTCCGATTCAGTTCTAAAACCCTAATCGTACAAAAACCCTTCTCTCTCTTCATCCCCGTCTGAATCTATCTCTCACTGCTTCAATGGCGTCTTTTGATCGTTTCGAAGACATGTGCGACTTAAGATTGAAACCTAAGATTCTCAGAAACCTTCTCTCCGAGTATGTTCCAAACGAGAAGCAGCCTTTGACCAACTTCCTATCACTCTCCAAGGTTGTATCTAACATCGCCACTCACAAGCTCTTATCTGAGTCTCCTCTAGCTTCAGTTGACCAGAAGCATCAAGCTTTATCGAAATCAGCTGTTGATGATTGGGTTGATAGGTTATTAGCTTTGGTTTCTTCAGATATGGTACGAATCTGTCTTCAATTGTGTTTTTTTCGATTACCCTACTCTGGAATCAAGTAACTGTATGTGAAAGTTCTCAACTTTGGTGCTAATCTGTGTGAATTGTTGTTGTTGTTGTTGTAGCCAGATAAATGCTGGGTGGGTATTTGTTTGATGGGAGTAACTTGTCAAGAATGCAGCTCAGAACGTTTCATTAGTTCATACTCTGTTTGGTTTAACAGTTTATTATCACATCTTAAGGTATGTAACAGCTCCTATGATGAGGTGTGTTCCATTTTCTTCTATTTACTCTTGAAAGTTAAAGTTTTGTTTTTGTTTTCAAACAGAATCCAGCAAGTTCTAGAATTGTCCGAGTGGCTTCATGTACCTCAATATCTGATCTCCTTACTAGGTCTGTAAATATTTGGATTTGTTATACTTGCTTCTTTCTTCTGCTATTTGTTTCTATAATTTTCTCTGTTTCATGTTTGGTACAAAGCCTGCCGTTGTTTACTTTGAGAATCTATGTTATCAGACTGATTTGCTTTAGAGTTTAGACAACTACTGATGGTGTTCTCGCAGAGTCTGTAATTTTAGCTGATCTATCTATCTTCTTTTACTTCTATTGGTAAATGTTCTATATATGTTTTGTCCTCAAGAAAATGCTTAGTTTTTTTTCCTCAAAATATATGAAGAGACTTCTCATATTGCATTGCATTGTACATGATTATTCAGTTTTATAGTTGTTTCTTTGTGTTCTACCGTTTCCTTGGGTTTGCTTTTCAAGCTTTTTGTAACGAGGAACTTTTGAAAATCTTATACTTTTGTTTCTTTCCTTTTTAAACTGATACAGGCTGTCTAGATTTTCGAATACAAAGAAAGATGCAGCTTCACACGCTGCGAAAGTAATCCTACCTATCATTAAATTATTGGAAGAAGATTCTTCAGAAGCATTATGGGTAGGTGTCACATATAAGAAGGCCTTAAGTTTTTCTCTTAATTTAGTTAGTAACTTAGTATGCTCTTTCTATGCTGCCCTATGTATTTGATTTTTTTTCTTTTCCATAATGCTCTTAAAGCCAACCTGGAAATGTAAAAGTAAGAGCAGTCAGCTTCATTCCTATGATAATTGTTTTGTGCCAAGACTGTTCAACCACTTAAATGTAGATGTTTAACATGTAGAGCTATGCATCAATTCCTCTGTTTGAATCCTGTGTAGCAGAATCATAACCTACTAGAACTGCTGAGTGCTATAAGAATTTAGGGAAGTATCTTATTTTGGCAACGATTATTCCACTCTTGTCATTGCTAGAATCTTCAATTTGAATTTTTGATTTTGTTCGATGTGCAGGAAGGCATTGTCCATCTGCTAAGTACAATTGTAATCTTGTTTCCTGCTTCCTTCCTCAGTAATTATGACAAGGTCAGCTCTCTTCGCTTAAAATGTATTTTTTTGTTTGTCTAGTTTCCCGAATTTATTAATAGTAGTATTTTGATAGCTACATGTCAACAGCTCGTAGTCTAATGAATACACACACACACATATGACTTTCTTATACAAAATTTTCCATCCCAATGGTACTACATTATCATAATCATGTTACCAATATGAGTTTATTTGAAATGCTATTCCTTGCAGGTTGAAGACGCTATTGCCTCCAAAATATTTTCTGCCAAAACCAGTTCTAATATGTTAAAGGTATTCGTCTTTTTTTATATCCTCTGTTTCATATTGTCCATCAAGGCACCAACTTAGCAAAGATATATTAACATGCACTTCTTTCCTTCTATCTCAACTTTCAGAAATTTGCCCACTTTTTAGCATTGCTCCCCAAAGCTAAAGGAACCGAGGGCAGCTGGTCCTTGATGATGCAAAAGTTACTGATATCTATCAACGTACATTTAAATAATTTTTTCCAAGGTTTAGAAGAAGGTAATTTGTTCATTTCTATGTTTGTTTGTTTGTGTGTGGCTATAGTTTTCCTGATAGAACACGGTGACATGTGTTGCAGAAACAAAAGGAACAAAAGCAATCCAAAGATTGACTCCTCCTGGAAAAGACTCTCCTTTGCCCTTGGGAGGTCAAAATGGGGGTTTGGATGATGCAGCGTGGAACTCTGAACAATTGATTGTATCCAGAGTTTCTGCACTCATGTTAAGCAGCTCAACGATGTTAACTAGCTTGTACAAATCCAAGGTAGTGCAATATCGTTTTTGGATTGGATTATTTGTGTTAGCCTTTTCGTACTTGGTCGTAAATAGATAGGGTGGCAACTCAGGTTTCTAGATTAAGCATCATTGTTAAAGCATCAAGTTAAGCATGTCCCTGCTTATGTCATGTCCAAATTTTCGATTGCCGCTCAGCAGACTTCTTTCGTTTCTCTTGATATGTGCTACTACGTAACCCAAACATACCATTTACTTCTAATAGATCCTGATATTCTTTTTTTTTAACCTTCAGATCGATATTCCCGTTGGCTCATTATTATCCCTTGTTGAGCGAGTGCTAGCGGTGAACGGCTCTCTACCTCGAGCCATGTCACCCTTCATGACAGGGATCCAGCAAGAATTGGTTTGTGCAGAACTTCCAACTTTGCATTCGTCTGCTCTGGAACTCTTGCGTGCTACTATAAAGAGTATCCGCAGGTAACTGGTCTCCTTTAATTCTCGCTACTAGCAGAAACTGTAATTTCCATTTAACCTGGATTGTTACCTTCACTGGCGAAAACTATAAAATATTTACATGTAAGACACATTAAAGATTATATTTTGAACTAAAACCTGACCTTAATTTCATTGACACTGATAATTAAGGAGTCATTCCTTCGGTAATTTATGTCTTGGCTGATAATAGTTTCGCGCTTTCTCGTTTTTCCGAATAATAGTTTGTTACTACATCTTCCTGTGTCGTAGGAAGTTAACAACAATCCTCTTATTAATCATTTTGCAGCCAACTTCTACCATATGCTGCATCTGTGGTGAGACTTGTTAGTAATTACTTCAGGAAATGTTCATTGCCAGAATTGAGGATAAAGCTCTACTCAATCACTACAACCTTGCTCAAATCCATGGGTATAGGTAAGTTTACATTATCTTGCCTTTGCTTGTATTTTCATTTCTCAGGTTGATGATGACAATAAAATCACTTCTGCTAACATATTTCTCTGACCAGGAATGGCAATGCAACTGGCACAGGATGTTGTCACTAATGCCTCTGCGGATCTTGACCCAAGAAGTGTTGAAGGATTTGATGCGGTATCTAGCAAAAACATGTCGCTTACTAATGGAGCTGTTCCTCAGGCTTGCAGTAAAAAAAGGAAGCATTCAACTAATTCAGGAGTTGAGGCAGATAATTCTGCTTTTGAAGTGAGAGTTCCTCACAATCACTCGAGTAGCCCAATTACATTGAAGATTGCATCTCTTGAGGCACTGGAAACTCTTCTGACCATTGTAAGCTCTTTTAACTTATTGCTACTATTATTTGCTTTTCATAGACACTATTGAACACTTAGTTGGAAGTTAATAGTTATTACAAGTTGATAAGTTAATCACATATTTTTATTTCTTTTATGTTTCAGGGTGGTGCATTTGGATCAGATAGCTGGAGAGAACGTGTTGATAATCTTCTGATGACCACAGCAACAAATGCTTGTGAAGGAAGATGGGCCAATTCTGAAACTTATCATTTTTTCCCCAATAAGTCGACTACAGATCTGGTTGAGTTTCAGCTTGCAGCACTCCGTGCCTTTTTGGCATCTCTCGTTTCTCCATCACGAGTACGGCCTGCATTTTTAGCTGAAGGGCTTGAGCTTTTCCGAACAGGTGAATAAGATTTTTGGCATAAATTTAACTAATCTTAAAAAACCAGAAACGGAAAGTATTTGATGCGTATATCGGTGCCCTTTGAACAGGTAAACTTCAGGCTGGAATGAAAGTTGCCGGATTCTGTGCTCAAGCTCTCATGTCCCTTGAAGTTGTCATACATCCGAGGGCTCTTCCACTTGATGGTCTCCCATCACTTAGCAACTGGTTTCCAGGAAGCAATTCCCTTGCAAGCCAACAACACAACAATCCTAATCTGAATAATTTGAATGGTATTGCTCATGATGGCGATGATCTATGCAACAGATGGCTGGCAAAGGCGGATGTTCCTTCTAACAATGCAATTCAGAAAACCTTAGAGACGACTTTACCTTCCCAAGAGACCAAAAGATTGAAACTTGGGAATGATTTAACTACTGTCGCATCTCTGAGTGTCGAAGATCATACTGATATGGTCGCATCAGAGAATGTTCAACAAGGTGATGTGCCTGTGAAGGTTTCCGAGGAATCTCTAGGACAGGTTTCAGACAAAGATGCTATGGCCCCTCAAGACGGTTATCAAGTAGTGAGTGGGACTCAGAAGGGAGAGGATATAGCGGTTACGGATGATCTGATGGAGGAAGCACCAATTGGTAAGAAGATAGAGTCCTTAAGTGAATCTGATGATGATTCTATTCCTAGTATTAAGGAAACTGATTTTGATCCGTCCTCTGATTCTGATATTGAATCTTAGTGCAAAACAGAGAAATCTGTCTTAGAAGCTCTTTGTTTCTTAAGTTAAAGTTTTGATCATAATTATAACTCCCCTACTGTAATGTTTCAAATTTTCAAAGAGTTTATTTATTTCTAAGCTTTTTTCGTGCAAATGAATAGTTCACTAGTTTCCAACTTTACATGATAGAAGCCGCTTTTTTTACCAAAATCGTAACCACTGTAGAAAAACTAATACTCTTAGAAAGTCTTTACATATAGCTAAGAGTCTACTGTAAACTAGTCAAGCTAATGTCTTAAAGAAACAATAAACCTAAGAATATCATAATGATAAAATTTCATCAGCTTGAATTCCTCACATTGTAACTCAGACAATCACTACATCGTAACTATATATTTCAATAGCGTCATATCATTGATCCAATGATTAAGAGAAAATTGCTAAGGATTAACTAAGGAAATAGTCAAAGTAAAACAGGAAGCAGCGGATTGTCATTCTTCATTAAATATCATCAAATCGAATCAGAGTTGGCAAAAGCCATATAAAGTCAAAACAACAATGTAAAGAAACTCGAGAAACTGGATATAGAAGAAACAGCAGCCAGAGTAAACACAGTACCTCATAGCCTTCTCCATCTTCCTGCATAATGATTCAATCCAACATACAAAGTTACACACTGCATTATATTGTAAATGGTGACAGTTGCTAAAGAGTTGAGAGCATATTGATGGAAACTTACATATCTTGTTGAAGGCAACAATGTCACAGCTCTGGACGTATTCATTTATGGGTTCAACAGTGAGTTGCTCTTCGATCATGGTGTCAATAGAGACAAGGTCATCGACAATGGTGCACATAATCTGCAACTTCTTGATACCATAACCAACTGGGACAAGCTTTGATGCTCCCCAAAACAATCCTTCCATCTGAATAGATCTAACAGCTTCCTCTAGCTTCTTCATGTCGGTCTCATCATCCCACGGCTTGATATCAATCAAAACTGATGACTTTCCAGCTGATTGAAGGAAAAAACACAATGAGAATCCAAAAGACAACTTCTCATCATAAGCTACAAGTGCAGAACAGAAGCCCAAACTTACATTCCTTCTTCTTTGTAGATGCCTTCACAGAAGCTGCTCTGTCTTCAGCAGCTTTCTTTTCCTCTTCAGTCTCTTCCCCGAAAAGGTCAACATCATCATCATCTTCATCAGCCGCAGCATCCTACAAAAATACACATTTATATGAATCTACGCAATGCAACAACTTTAACAGAGCATTATGAGTAACCAAAGAAACAATCACGAATACCTTAGAATCAGCTGCAGGGGGAGTAGCAACAGCCTCTTCTGTGATTGGGGCTGATCCCTCAACAATGACACCACTTCCTTCAGCAGAGACACCGCTGTAAATAAGAGTTTAACTAAACAACATTAGATTAATCCAAACAGGGAACAACTGAATCAACAAGTAAACAAAACACAATAGAAGGCAATGAAACTTACGAGATCCTCAAGAGGGCATCAATGTGGTTGTACCACCTAGACGCGTTCACATGCTGAGAGGTTGGGGGCTTTGCAAGAGCTGCAAAGACAGTGATATCATCCTTTGAAGCCTGGTACCTATTAAACAACACAAAGGAAAATAATTATAACTTCTATTGTTTGGAAAAGGCACAGACATAGGATCTAATCTACAAGAGACGTCCACAACTTAGCTTAGAGCACCACAAAATAAAAGACAGAAAGGTTTTAATAAAACTTCTTAGCACTTTTGGTGCTCAATGAACTTACCCAGTGATGTAACTGCGAGTGAGAAGATGCTCATCGAGCTTCTTTAATCCAGCATCAGAGTTAAGGTTGGGGAAGGCCGCCATTATTTCTGAAGCTTGAACCTTTTCACTGATATAAAGCAGAACAGAACAGATCAACTACTGAAAAACCCCAACAACTCAGCAAAAGCGAAACACTTTCGATTGCTACAAAACATTGGTTCACTAAGACATTACTTAAAATAACGAAAAAGACAATACAAGGCTTACCGATCTAGAGTTCCTAATCAAAGGTGATCAACAGTATATGTTCTGCTAAGTGTCTAAAATGTGAATTTTCAATCAAATAATATTACACCTATGGATACCTTCAGATCGAAACAAGCCTAATGGTAGCTGTGAGAACAATTGATCTAAAGAGGGAAATCGAAGAAAAACAAACCTGAGCTAAAAGATGCAGACTTAGAGAAGATGAAGAGCGAAGGAGGCAGAGGAGGAAGACACAAGAATTCATAGGAAACTTATGTAACCCTCTCTAGGTTTTTCTGTAGTGGGCCTGTTTTTGGGCCTAATTAATTCCTTATTTAGGCGTTTTCCTTTTCCCTTGGTGGGTTTTACACAAAAATTAGGGAACCGGTTAAGATCAATTTGATAGAGCATCAACAAGAATATGTTGACTTAATGATTTCATCTCTCTATGAATGAAAATATAGAAGCTAATGATGCTTAAATGAATTTTTTTTTTTCAGTTAGAAATAAATTAGCATTGCGATTAATAAGATAATTTAGAATCATTTAGGGAAAGATTAGATGAGTAATGTACCTTACAAAAATTTCATCAGTTTTACTCTTTCACTATTTCTATTTTAAGTTTGTCATTTACTAACAAAAGAATAGATTGAATTGATTTTGAAAATGATAGGTCACCAAACATACAAATTATCTAATTTGTTGATATAGTTCAAAGAATAATTATGGCGTAGCTAATCGCTCAAGTTATTAAACTTAATACTCTTTTCTTAAGTTTGAGATGAGACTAGTTGTTGGATGTTGCAAGCTCACAACGCAAAGAAATATATATAGTAAGGTTTTCATATTTCGAAACAAACACTACTTTTACATTTTTCTATTAGTTATATAACTGTTAATTCAATAATAAGTAGTGTTTGTTAAATTATAACTAATAATAAATTCTTAAATTGTAAAAAAGTTGTGAATGTGTCATGTTCGTTAAGTATGCACGCCATTACAAAAAAATTCTTAAATTTTTGTTACAATCATTTGCGAAAAAAGAAAGAAAAAGGTGGAATAAATTAGCATGCATGTGCTCCATCAGGACGAATGTAGGGATATCAAACCAACGTACGAATGTAATCATTCTTCTATGAACGAACTTTTTCTTTTATCTATGGGAAATTTAGCTTCCCTTTAAGAACAAAAAAAAAAATTAATCTACAAACAAAAATAAACTATAGTGCTGATGAATCATATTAGAATATATTTACAAAATATATACATAAATAAGATTAGTCAATAGAGGTAATTGCCAAAATTTAAAATGAAAGAAGAAAAAGATTTAAAAAAAAAAAAAAAAGATAAGTCCAAATTCACGAGTTGGAACACTATCCATAATTTGACTAAAACCATAGACAATTCAGTTCAATCTCAGAATTTCCTAGTTCTTATGTGTTACATATATAAAAATGACCAAATGACAATGATCTTTGACCAAAGTTTGGTAGTGACAATTAAATTAGGTATATACCTAAATTATTAACTTGTTTCCATCACATGAGTAGAACTTAGTAAAATATTTAACAGAAAAAGGGAAAAAAAATTGAACTTAATTAGTACTATTAACTTGATAATTCTTACTTCAAATTTATCTTATTAGTATTCAGTACCATAAGATAAATAGTCTCCATAGACACAGTTTGGAGAAGATTATGGAAGATCATGAATAAAATTATAAAACAATAAATATTTTAACTAATATTGCCGCAATAAACAAGAGTGTGAAATCCAATTTTCTATTTTGTAAAAGGTTAAAATCAAATTTTGTATTTGTAAAGTTCAATCAAATCAAACATTGCGCCTAATTAAATGATGAAAAATAAACAATCCAATCATATATGTGCGCCTAATTTTTTTTTTTAAACATAGTTTAGACTTTAGAGTTGAAATTTCATTCCATATCAGAAAGAAATTTCTAAAATAATAATATCCATAATTTGAAACTACATAGGTCAAAGAGACACAAAATATTAAATAACTTTATTTATTATTAAAAGAATAAATTAATATATTTAAAAACTTTTTGCCAGTTTTAGGGATGGAGATGGTCTTACATGTAACGTATGTAGTCAATGTACATATACTTGTGTAATTAATGTTGTCATAACTTTTGTAACTAATGTTGTAATAAAAAAATTTCTGTTAATATAAGAGAGTAAATTATTTGAAATTTTCCATAAAGAATTTTATTACTCTAGAAATAAATGTATTAAACAAATATAGGTAAAATATAAAAGAAATAAATAAAATTAATAAATGAGTTATCCAAAAAGAAGAAATTTTTGAAAAAGTCACTGGAGTTTTCTAGTAAAGAAGAGTCCTCGTGTTCCATCTTAATTCTTCATTCACTCATCACCACTTATATTGTATTTTCCTCACTTTCTCCTCAGCAAATAAAAAAATACAAACAGAGAGAAAGAAAAAAACAGAACACAACAGAGAAACTCACAAGTCCTTTATATTGGTTGTTCCGTCTCATTCGACAAAACACTCTAAAACCAAGGAAAAAAAAAATGGAGGGAGGAATAATACATGGAGGAGAAGATGAATCAGCTTTCAGAGAATGTTTCTCACTAACATGGAAGAACCCTTATGTTCTTCGTCTTGCTTTCTCTGCTGGAATCGGTGGTCTTCTCTTTGGTTACGACACTGGTAAAGTTTCTTTAAATCTCTTCTTCTCTACTGATTCTTTCGTGCTTTGGAGTTTGATGGGTTATGTATGTTGATATACACATGCAGGAGTCATATCAGGAGCTTTGCTTTACATCAGAGATGATTTCAAGTCTGTTGACAAAAATACTTGGTTACAGGTTCTTTTTGTTTTCTTGCTCTCTGTTTCAATTATTACACTGGAACTAATTTCGTCACTATGTGTGAATCTTGGTTGGTCTTTGATGTTTTAATATAAGTTATGGTATGTTTTATTGATTGTAACGATTCATTATTTGCAAACAAAATTTGGTAAACATCATGTTGTTTAGTATTTACCTAAACACAAAAGCAAGTATCATCATGAACATACAAAGATACAAGCAAACACACTAAACTTGAACCATACAAAAAATGGAAACAGGAGATGATAGTGAGCATGGCGGTCGCTGGAGCCATCGTTGGAGCCGCCATAGGAGGTTGGGCCAACGACAGATTCGGGAGGAGAAGCGCCATTCTTATGGCGGATTTTCTCTTCCTATTAGGAGCTATCATCATGGCGGCAGCTCCTAACCCGTCGCTACTTGTCGTTGGCCGTGTGTTTGTAGGACTCGGGGTCGGGATGGCCTCCATGACCGCTCCTCTATACATTTCAGAAGCTTCTCCCGCAAAGATTAGAGGAGCTTTGGTTAGTACTAATGGGTTTCTTATTACTGGAGGACAGTTCTTGTCTTACCTAATCAACTTGGCCTTTACTGATGTAAGTGATACTACTAGCCCACAAAGACAGTTCTTGTCTTACCTCATCAACTTAGCCTTAAACCAAAATATCACACTTTGGCTAATTTTGGAGGGTTTCAATGTTCTGTTTTCTCTTGTTTTTAGGTGACTGGAACATGGAGATGGATGCTCGGAATCGCGGGGGTTCCAGCTCTTTTGCAGTTTATTCTAATGTTCACACTCCCAGAATCACCTCGTTGGTTATACCGCAAGGTACTTATAATTGTTTTTCTTGTATTCCAAGATTTTTGTCAGAGGGTACTAATGAACACTCCTTGTGTGTTTCTGTAATGTCAACAGGGAAGAGAGGAAGAGGCTAATGCCATACTGAGAAGAATATATTCAGCAGAAGATGTAGAACAAGAGATACATGCACTTAAAGACTCAGTTGAATCAGAGATACTCGAAGAAGGATCATCTGAGAAAATCAACATGATCAAACTATGCAAAGCCAAAACTGTTAGACGAGGACTAATAGCTGGTGTTGGTCTCCAAGTGTTTCAGCAGTTCGTTGGTATCAACACAGTTATGTATTACAGCCCAACCATTTTTCAGCTAGCCGGTTTCGCTTCAAACAGAACAGCTCTGCTCTTGTCTCTAGTTACCGCAGGACTTAACGCATTTGGTTCCATTATAAGCATTTACTTCATCGATAGAATTGGAAGGAAAAAGCTTCTCATCATTAGTCTTTTCGGAGTCATTATCTCGCTCGGAATACTAACTGGTGTTTTCTATGAAGTGACTACTCACGCTCCTGCGATAAGCTCACTCGAGACACAAAGGTTCAGTAATCTTACTTGTCCGGACTATAAACCAGCTATGACTAGCAATGCTTGGGATTGTATGACTTGTTTGAAAGCTTCTTCTCCATCTTGTGGCTACTGTTCCTCTCCTAATGGAAAGGTAAAAGACTTTAAAATATGTTTTAACTCAGAAAACATTGTTTGAATACCAAATCCCTTACTACATATATGATGATTGCAGGAACAACCTGGGGAGTGTTGGATCTCTGATGATACGGTTAAGGACTTATGTCATAACGAAAACAGGCTTTGGTACACGAGAGGATGTCCTAGCAACTTTGGTTGGTTTGCTCTTGTTGGATTAGGACTTTATATCATTTTCTTCTCTCCTGGAATGGGGACTGTTCCATGGATAGTTAACTCAGAGATTTATCCATTGAGGTTCAGAGGAGTCTGTGGTGGAATAGCTGCAACTGCGAATTGGATATCGAATTTGATCGTGGCTCAATCTTTTCTGTCTTTGACTGAAGCTATTGGTACTTCTTGGACTTTTCTCATCTTTGGACTGATCTCAGTCATTGCTCTTCTCTTTGTTGTGGTTTGTGTTCCTGAGACAAAAGGAATGCCAATGGAGGAGATTGAGAAGATGCTTGAAAGAAGATCTATGGAGTTCAAGTTTTGGAAGAAGAGATCAAAACCTCTTGAGAAACAAAACCAGAGTGCATGAGAGAAACTCAAAACCAGAGAGTGCATGAGGAAAACTCTTGTAAGGATTTCATAAGAATGCACATTGAGATTTGTAACTTTGTATTGAAACTTGATAGTCACAATTCCGTGAGCCTCTGTATAAGAATTAGTGAAATATTTGGTTGTAAATCAGATTATTGGAGATATATCTTACCATATACCATTGAAATGTCACCAAAATCATTTTGATAAGACGAGTTAGTTATATGAAAACACTATTATAAAAAACACACACACACACTCACACATTTTTAAGGATCCCTATGGTCAATACTTGACAAGTGTAAGTGGAAGTAACAAATAGTATTGTACTTTAAAACTTAAAGTAATTAGAAACAATATTTTGCTCTTTTCACATCAGAAATTATGTAAATAAAAAAAACCAATCGAAATACAACTTCATGCATAATTTTTTTTTTATTCTTAATTACGAAACACAAACCAATTACGTTAAATACATTAGGAAACATAAGATAATAGGAGGTAACATGTGTATGTTTTGGCTATATAAAAGATGGTTAAATTCGATGTGAAACAAAAATATTATGAATGTGCATAATCAATAACTATGGCTTTAGACAGCGACACGTGCTTGGCAGTCTCGAGCCCGGCGTTAGCTCTATTTACCACCGAAACACAAATATATAGATCATCACCACCTTCTTTTTGCATTACTCTTTTTATGTGACTCATGACTAATGAGTTTATATCATCAAAAGCGAGATACATATATATATCTCACTCGATACACTCCCACTCCACTTTAGATAAATCAAATACGTTCTCGTTTAGGGATATGTGACGTTCTTATATCATAACATGTCCCTAAAGATATGTGATGGTCCTAAATTGCTTGTCAAGATGATCATCAATGCAAAAGAAGGTGGTAATACAAGTTATAAAACATGTATATGTTTTGTTACTCATAATTAATACATTTTGCCAAACTTTGCTTTTATATACAAAAAGAATTTGGACATTGTTTCCCTATCAAGAAAAATAGTCGTAATTACAAAGATATTCTTGGTCGCAAAGTGTAACCAAGTTCTAGAGTTGACAATTGGTTACTTGGGCCATGATTTGGTTAGTGCTTTTTTGCTTTTATCTTCTTTTTTTTTATTTTTATTATACCTCGCATAATTCTTACATTTATCTATTTTTTCAAAACTATTATTTTTATTTAGATGTAATAAGAGTTGTATGTTTGACTTGTCTTACATCAATTTCAATTTTATCGTTATCCATTAACAAGTTCTTTGGCTCTTTTTAGATGAAGATGCTTTTGTTTTTTTTTGTTTTCACTTGAGTTTTCGTATTGGAACCTCATCCGTGAAATCATTTGAATTGAGAGTTTAATGATTTAGAACGCATTATTAATGAAACTCATTTGTCAGAATAGAATCAAACACTACTTAATTTTTTTTTAATGCAACTCATTTGTCAAAAGTCTTTGTTTAAAACCCATTTGTCCATTTAATCACCTCGACAAAGTCCTTTCTTAACCATTGTAATTTTACCAGCAAGAAACAATTATGCCAGCTTAATGTTTCTTGAATAGGTAGCAAGGGCTAGATATACATGCATCAAAGGCGAAACATTAGTGTACTTCATAAGAGTCAAAATTAAAGACGAAGTCTCAAATCTTTCTCCCATGCATCTAGAATTAGAAGTGCTAGCTAGTATAGATACTATAATCATCCTACACAACTATTTGTAGCATACATATATAAAATGTAAATTAAACTTTAAAGATCCTTACTAGTAGGCTTAATAAATAATACGCACTTGCCTTTTTAATTCATTTCACTATAGTCTATGCTTTGGTAATTCGATTAGTAGAAGAAAGCTAGTACATTTTGATATTCCAGTTGTAAAGTACATAGAAACAATGAGTGGCAGATTTGTAAAAAAGAGAAAGTAAGAAGGGTGAAAAAGAGACAGAACAGAACTAGGAAAGTACAAAACAGTCCAAAACAAAAACAGTGCACTTGTGTCTTCCCTTGTCCGAAGGCTTTACTACTACTGTGGATATATTTTTCTCAAACAGAAAAAAAAAAAAAACATTTCTCCCTCAAGAGTCTCCTTCCATTTCCCATTTTCTGCTAATTTTCTTTCACTTTCTCGGCTGATTTTTCTTGGGAAATTTTTTAAAAAGAACATCCTAAAACCCTACCTCAAACTAGTATTTTTCTTTAATGTTATATATAAACCATTTCGATTTGATTATTATTGCAGATCTGTGGATCTCAACACTCTAATGCTTATAATGGAAGCTATGATGAGATCTAAGCATGATAACAATACCAAAGGGAGAATATAGAAGCTCTTCTAAACAAAATAGTTTTGTCTTCTTTTTTTTTTTCACTCGCCGCCATTGTTGTTCTACAGTGAGCTTGGACAGTTGACACCTGTAATCCAAAGTGAGTTTCTCTTGTTGGTGATTTTTGAGGCATACTCTTTTAATTATATTTAAAACTTTCTTCGCTTTCTTTAATGTAATCAAGATTTTTTTTGTTGAGTTACTTTGCAACTGCCATGTTTATTAGGGCAAGCTTCTATATAGATAGCTTCATGAACAAAACCATTAGTTCTTGTTCTTCTTCATCTTCTTGAGCTATAAATCTCTACTCTAGCTAACTTGTGGGTATTTATTATTTTCAGACCATAGCTTATAATCTTTTTATAAAAAGAAACTCATATCCTATAGGTCTTAATAGGTTTTACATATATTTAATTTAGGGTTTCTGAAAAGGCTCTTAAGCTATAGGTCTATGAACATGAATGTTTACAGATAGGCTTTGCAGATCTACAACAACAAATTAGTAACTATTAATTTTGCTGAGACAAAATTATTCATTATTTCAGCTTTTTTCAGTAATGACTTTAATCTTCTCCTTCCTTCTTTTTTCTTTTCACAGATTCAAAGTCTATCACTGCAACATACTCAGAGGCTTTTTTGTGTTCTTTTACTTATCATAGCGTTGATAAAAGTATGAGAGTAGCGTTTCAATGGAGTTGGACGAAGACGTTGAGGTACAAAAGCAGCAACAACAACAACAAAGCAGGAAGCTACAGAGATTCTCAGACGACAACACTGGAATAATGATGAAGGATTGGAGCAATCCATCGTCTCGTATCATTAGGGTTTCACGAGCTTCAGGAGGCAAAGATCGACACAGCAAAGTCTTGACTTCAAAAGGGTTGAGAGATAGGAGGATACGTCTCTCGGTAGCTACAGCAATCCAGTTCTATGATCTTCAAGATCGTCTTGGATTTGATCAGCCAAGCAAAGCTGTTGAATGGCTTATCAATGCAGCTTCTGATTCAATCACTGACCTTCCTCCCATCAACACAAACTTCGACCAGAACCAGACCAAATCTGCTTGTAGTAGTGGAACATCAGAGAGCTCGTTGTTATCTTTGTCGAGGACAGAGATTCGTGGGAAAGCAAGAGAGAGAGCTAGAGAAAGAACTGCTAAAGAAAGAGATAAAGATTTGCAGAATGCTCAAAGCTCCTTCACTCAGCTTCTCACCGGCGGCTTTGACCAACAACAACAACAACCGAATAATAATAACCGGAATAATTGGACCGGTGGTTCTGATTGTTTTAACCCGGTTCAGCTCATGCCAAACTCATCTTCATCATCTCAGCTACCTCAAGAGCCAACAACAATGAATCAGACTAATCACCCATTCTCCTTTGTACCTGATTACAACTTTGGAATCTCTTCTTCTTCTGCCCTTAATGGAGGTTACAGTAGTAGGGGGACCCTTCAGTCCAATTCACAATCTCTCTTTCTCAACAACAACAACATTGCTCAAAGGTCATCCATTTCCTCGTCTTCTTCTTCCTCTTCTCCAATGGATAGTCAAAGCATCTCCTTTTTCATGGCTACACCTCCTCCTCTTGACCACCACAGCCACCAGCTTCCGGCTACTTTTGATGGCCGTTTGTATCTTTATTACGGCGAGGGTAACCGGAACTCCGATGATAAAGGAAAAGATAGGAGATAGGAATCAAAATGCTTTCACTTTCAACATCTCTCCTCAATCTTGGTTAGTGTTTTTTTTCTATCTTTGATTACAATCTCAATTCTTTCAATGTTAAAAATAAAATTGTTAATGGATTAGTTAAGTTTAGTAATAGTACCATGTTGTCTGATTAGTTAAAATTTGGTTTCTTGAATTCACAAAAGAAAGATGGTTTATTGGGGGCGTGGCATTGCATTGATGAGTCATATTTTGGTTTCTTGATTTCATTACAATTTTGTGTGTCTCGAAGTACTGATGACTTACATTTTAGATTTAATAATTAAAAGGCATGTGGATGAATTTGAAAAGAGGGCTTCATAGTCTGTTTTGTCTCCTCATCTGTTCTATGTTGGGTTCCCTTCTTCCTCAGCATCACTTCTTTTGCTCCAAATTGTGATCATTATATTACTTATTTTCTTTAAGGTTAGATCCGGATTTAATTTGTGTGTCCAACTTTTGATGTGCTGAATTCATTCACATATACATAATTCACCTAATCTTTTGACTCAATATGTTTCTGATTGATATACATATGCTTACCAATATCCAAATGGTTTGAATTTTTTTATATATTAGTATCAAAAGTTCTTTGTTTAGGAATCTTTATGGAAAATGTAGTTAACTGTTATGGATAATATATTTAATATTGGTATGAAAGGAAGAATCAACGTTTGGTAAAAAAGACTTTTTTCTGTGAAAGAATCAATGAAAGTTTTGTCCTTTATTATAGTTTATTCTAGAGAAAAGATGGGAAGTTGAGTGTTTTAGCCTGGCAAATATTGTAAAATATGGTTATAAAACATTGGCCTCCTCAAGTGGCACCACATGCTCTGTGTCGGAATCTAACCCATCTCTTCATTGTTGTCCCATGAGCTCTTTGCCTTTACTTTGGGGCATCATCACTCACATCTTCATCAGATCTCTTTTAACTTTACATTGCATAAAACATTTTCTCTGTAAAGGTTGGATTTGTTTCTAGTAATGAGGAACTTGCTCTGCTGAATAGATGAGTTATAATGTCACCTTTCAAATTAATGTATTTTTGCGTTATAAAAGATGATAGAAAATGTGTTTTTGTGTTTAGGAAAATGATTAAAGACCAATGGTTCATACATTACTTGCACATTTTGATTTCTTGCTAATGTTTGTTTAACAACCAGATTGGGGCTTGTACCTTCATCAAGATATATAGTTGATTTATGAAAATGTTCCTTGGAATTAAAATGCAGGAGAGGAAGTGTAATTTTGAGGATAGACAAGATGTTTGCGCAGCCCTGAGCATATATATGGATCCTCCATGCTCCATAGCAACCATAAGCCTGACAGGTTGTTCAGACCGCGAGGAGTAATTGTTGTTTGATGAGAAGATGTATTATGTATGAATCATATATATGTTTCTATGTGTGTTCATGTTCATTGTCATAAACTTTGTCCGAAACTCGGACCAATGTTTTTTTAAGGTCATCCTCACTCTGTTGGCTACATGCTATGTCTGAGCTTCTTCTAGGTTACAATTGGGGCAATACGAGTGTTCTGATTCAGTTTTCAAAACAACACACTGTCCATGATAGTTGTTGATATGCAACTTGATGATGCAAACCATAAGTTTAGCAAGTACTGTGTGATAGTGATAAACGAGCATAGATCAAATTACAAAGAAACATCAAAGTGTTAGCTTCAACTTCAAGCCTTCAAGAACAGAGCATCAAGTGTCGAAATAAAGAGAAATATTTATTACAGACTCTTTTATAACATAATCCCTTCTGTGTTACAGCGATTCCCATCGTAATGTGTCTATTTTAAACACAGACCACACACATATGATCTTTGCTCATTCGCAGACTTCTATTACAAGTGTATGTACAACGGCGTTTTCCCGTTTCAGAGAAACTCCCTCAGGCATCCTCCTGATGCTTGCGGATTTGATGCGCTCCGTCCACATGGCTGGCAAAGCAGTATGTGTCAAAAAGTCAGAGAGTTGCGGTTTTTAGCTTCAGGACATTTGTGATCTCTCTCTCTGTACTCTTTCCAGCATCCTCCAATATATGTGGATTTGGTTACACCCACCACCTGCAAAATCTCAATGATTAACACCTTCCACATGTATAATACAATACAGCCTAAGACTCAATGATATGTACGAAAAGCTACTCAAGTTTTCCACAATTCAACCTCATTTTCATTGAAACTGTGAAGAGGTAAAGAGAATCTAACGAAGGTCGTGGAGGTAATGTATTATCTCAACAAAAGCATGAAACTTCAGTTTAAGAAACATCATCACCCAAATTAACACAGCTCAAAAATAACATGAGCACAGACATAGCAAAAATCATTATATAATCCCTCAGATTGGTTCTTAATTTAGGCGTTTTCTTCTAGCATCGTTGCTAATTCAAACGACCAAAACAGAGCAGTACAAAAAAAACAGAGAATAACACAATGTAATTGTACCTGAAACCGGTCGTAATGCGAAATCAGAACGAGTTCATCTCCAGACAATAAGTCCTCCTCTTGATCAACATCTTCGCCGCAGTCCCATACGGTTCCTCAAACGCATCAGACAACCAAGAAGCATCACACACTTCTTTCTTCGACTCACTCGGCCTAATAGCCACCAATGTCGCACCTTTCAAAACCGTGCCATCAGGTAAATCCAATTGCGGAGCATACCAAAGCCTCATGTTCAATGCAGGCACAAGCGTCCGCTTCGAAGCAGAGCTAGCAGATAAAGGAGTAACTCTAAGCTCCTCAAGCTGTTCTCTATTCATGCACAAAACACCTTGTCCATCAGCATCAGATAAAACCAAACGGTCTAACGTCTTGTGCTCAGTGATGATCGGCTGGAGAAGATAATGCCGAGCCGAAGCAGCGATTAACGAGCTAATCGTCCAAACTACACGCAGCTTAAGTCCACCATTAGTGTAGAACGACTCAGGTATGTTACCATTGTCTTCATCAACAACACAATTCTCAAGATTCTTGACTTGATTCGATGGAATCACAGAAGATGCGCCGAGGATCATACAATTATCAAGCGTAGATCCAAAATCAGCTCTCCATTTCAGTAATATACCATCCTCGATCCCCAATTCACCCGTCGGGAGTTCGATTCTCAGAAACCTAATCTCGTTAAAGTTTTTCAAAACCTGCGTCGGCGAGTGATGCGTAACGCCGCCTTGCTCGATCTCACCGCCGATTTCATCGTTAATCGCCGAAAACGACGCGTCGAAGGAAGACGACGACGAAGACCGTTTCGGTCCTAGAAACTGCCCTAACGCTTGAAACGGTTTGAAAATTGGAGCGAAGACGAGACGGAACAAGGCGGAGAAAGAGCCACCAGCACCGACGGCATCCGAAATCGAAGAAGCGTTAAGTGAGAATCTCCGATTATCATCAGAAGAAGATGAATCATCATCGGAGATAACACAATCAACGCGTACGAGAACGTTCTCAACGAAAGGGACGAGAGAGTGAAATCGACGGGACACGATACAGCAACGGCCGAGATCTTTGACGTCGGCGACCTTATCGAAGATGAGAAGGAGAAGAGAGTCAGGGAGAAGATCGAAATGATCGAAAGAGGTTAGAGATTGAGGCTCTGGGTGGATTCGTGAAACTGGATCGGAGCGAAGAAGATAAGACATGTTTGAGGAGATTATTTTCAGAGTGTGAGATCTGAGGAGGAGGAGAAGAGAGAGGGAGAAGACGCCATTGATGAAGGGGAGATTGAATTGAATTGAAGAAGATGATGATGAAGAGGTGTTGGCTCGTGATTGCTTTTTGTCTTTTAGTGAAGAGAGAGCAAAGAGAAAGAAGATAAATGTGTTACTACGTTAATTATATAACTTTGTTTATAGTAAGTAATTTGCATGATTTATATATATAAAAAAAGTTAATTATATAGATTAGGATAGGTAAACTCTCTTAATTATTAAAGTAGTTTTTCGAAATTATGTGTGTGTTTTTAATTATCAATCCCACAAAATTACGAGCTATTTTAATGTTGGAAAATAAACTTTTAAATATGTTTACTAAAAATTAAATGAGCTGTGGGAGTTTAATGAGAGAAGAAGAAGACTAGAAGAGTAGAGTACTGTTGTATTGCTTACTGTTTCCGTCATGAGTTGTTATATTCCATTTTTAAATATAATTGCAAAACTAATTAGTAATAATTTATACAAAATAAAATATTTGCTTATTGGTTATTGGTAAAACCAACCAATGCATTTCCAATATTTAGATATTCATATTATATTGATTATTCACACATGACACACAATCTAATTATTTGTATTAATACAAAAACTATATCATCTTTATATAAAAACAAACAACTATATAGTAATCCAGTTCTAAATACGATATCGAACATGTATAAATTATATTAAAAAGGATCTTAAAGAAAATTTTACTCAATTTAATTTGAATTGGTTTTCTCTATTTTTGAAAAGTTTTTTGATTTTCAAATACCGTGAAAAGTGTAAATTTAAAGGAAATAGCATCTAGCAATATATGTAGTTATGGACCATAAATAATAATACTGGTGTTGGTGACAACAAAATGTTTGGTACGTATTTTGACTAAGAAAAAATATGTTAGGTAAGGTTTCAATCGCATGGCTCTTGTGAGAGATTTCTCAATTCTTATTCTTACTAAAAAGGTGAATGAAAGCAAATCTTACTTGTAATCTACCAATACCTTTTTTTTTCTTTAATTATGTTTTAATATGACCAGCAATATTTTTAATGACTTTTCGAAAAGAAAATATCTTCTTTCGGTTACTTAATTTGGTAAAAAGCATTCTAAAGAAAGAAAAGAAAAAAATAATAATGCTGAGACTGTTTATTTTGTGACACTTGTTATGCATTACCAAAAAACTTGCAAAAGCATGTAAGAAAACTTACAATTCTCAAGACTTGGAACAATATTTTCAAATTTACTATAACATTTCTAGGAAATTTTATTAGGTTTCCCATAATTTGAAAATAATTGTATGAACGTTTTAGAAAATCAAAAGAATTTGTATAACTCTATATATTATGTGTTTGTAAAAGCTTTTGGCAGTTCTCCAACAAAGTGTGATGAAGAACATTTATATGTACATTCGAAAATGTTATTTTGGCTACGGATTATATTTTTCTTACACGGATGTATAATTTATTCAAATACAAAAAATATTGTTTACATTGTATACAATAATTTTCACTTCTAGACTTCTAGTTTTACCACTATTTTTACTCCACTGAATCACAGGCTAATTTCATAATCGGAATATTAAGAAAAAAAATGGTTACCACGATGCTTAAAGTTAAAACGTTTGTGCTTAATTTGCTTGGTCCAATTCTTCTTGATAGCATATTTGAACATCATCACACGTCTATATCAAACTTTATCCATGGAAAACAAACAATAATATAGTAGTAATGTAAATGTATCTCTGAATAAGTACTTTAGTTATCAATCAATTATATAAACCAAATCTACGACATATTTGTGTGGATATTATAGTGTTTAATTTAGCTAATGTCACAGTCATCCTTAGTGGAACGTTTCTTTTGTGATGTCTATAAATATAGTTTACAAGGTTATAAGTAAATATGTGCATATCCATCCACATAGAGTCATATTATTTCGCTAGTCTTGGCTTATAAGTCGCAATATATGGGTCTCCACCAAGTGGACGAGTTTGGTGCAAGTTGCATTTATATCAGTTTTATAAATCATTATTGTTTGACGTTTTTATTAACTAAATGAGATTAGGTATATTCGTGGATTTAGAGTGGATAAGATTTGAGAAAAGCGTAAGACAACTAGTTGATATTAACTTAATAATTTAAATTTAAATTATTGTTATTTAAAATTTTAGTAATTACTATTTGTTCGTAATTAAAATAGTAGAAAAGTTAGACCGATTCAAAAATAGATGTAGAAGGCTTATATGATAGTCTTAGTAGCAGCTGACATTATATACCATAATCTCTTTTAAATTACAAATCATCTTAATATAATATGCTCTAAATTACAAATTATCTTTATATATTGTGCTATATAATACTAGCTGATATTAAGAAGTAGAAAAAACCTTAAGGTTGCTAAATTAAGATATCCAGAAAATAAATAATACATACACCAAAAAAGAAGTTTTATAAACTAGAGTAATGAACAATCAGCATAAATATTTACGATATATTCTTCTCAAGTCATATTCCCGATCAGTATAAATTGGTGATCCCGACTGATCTATCAATAACATGCACACACTGTATGTTTTTAACAATCATATGATTAAGACATACTGATAATTATATAAAATAATAAGGATACAAATGACATTCTAAATGTGAAAACATATCTTAGTGATTGGAACAATGCGAGAAAAATAATTGGTCGCAGAGATGCGCCAGATCATATTTGCTACCACCCTCAATAATTAATAATTATAGATAGTATGCATTTGTAGGTTTGTGTATAACTAATGTGAGGTCTTCATTAATACATTATTTTTTTATAAATTTGATTTGTTTTAGTAAAGTCTTCGCATTGACCGTAGTATCCCATTTCCACGTTTTTTTTCCTTGGGGTCTAACTTTTTTTCACTTGCCATCTCCATCATAAACGATAGAGCTTGTTTGTATACATAATGAGCTTTTACAAGTAAATAAGTAATAGGGGAAGGGTCTATCTCACTAAACAAAGATCTCATTCTCATGTAAACCAATCTAGATAACCTAATGCTACATATATAAGACTCATGTGATCGATTCGTAAGCGTTACGTTCTACTTTTAACTTTAACATAATCATACATAACGAGTGTTTGTTTGTTACAATTTTTTTTTTTTCGATGTGTTTGTTTGTTACATATATAACCTAATGCTACATATATAACCTCTTTTGTTTGTTACTCTCGCATCTCTTTAACGAGTGTTTAAATGCTTACGAGCACCACAAATCACACTAATCATATACCTAATTTTTTTAATTCGTTTTATATAATTAAAATACTATAGTGAATGCCTTTTTCTTAATACATTTTCAAACATAATAGTGTAAGCATATATGTAACCTTTCACATATTTATGTGTAGTAATTAAGCTGATGTATGTACGTGTTTGCGTTTGCTTCACGTAATCGGCAATCACATGTCAAATGCCTTTAATTAGTTTATTTGGATCAAGTAGATTTTTTATTTTTGTTGTTATCAGAAGTAAAGAAGTAAAAGCTTAAACACCATTATTTATGTCTATATTTATAACCCTTTATTATATTCACATTAGCATTAACAATTTTTTAAATTCACTAAATATGTTTAGATTACATCGTAAGGATTCACCGGAGACACGGCGTCGCATGTGTCCATGTGTTTTGTCTGTACCTTTCCCCGGGAAATTCGTACGGAGATTCACCGCTTTTTCACTTTCGTCTGCTTTGCTTTTTATACTAATCTAAAAAATCATTTGTATCAATTTATGTATTCCCTATATATTGGATATATGAAGAATCAATTATTCAACAAAAAACGTTTATTACTATTGAATACCGTAACGTGTATTGTATAGAAATTATGGATGATATAAACTCTTTTTTGGAATTGTAATTTGCACAAAATAACACATTCTTCTTTTATAACAACAAAACATCTGTATTTTCTGGGACCATTTTGACCTAATTGTATTTTCATTTTTATGCTCTCTAACCCTTCAGCATCTCACGCTCTTTCTATATCCCATTTTATATATACAAAGGTCGGGATGAGTTTCTTCGTTCGTGGCGTGATTGAAGGTCTTACGTTGGGTTGCGACTTGCGACGTTCATTGCGGAATGAGCTACAAAAAACTTTATATTTTCCAAGATATTCACTTGTAAATATTCCTTACAACTTACTAAAATATTTTTTCTTTCATAGTATCGAAGTCATATATAATACTCCATATCTCTTTTTTTTTTGTGTTAACGTAATATTGTTCGAAACATCTTTTCAGTTATAACATAAAGATTAAAAAAAAAAACAATTTTCGATAAGTTTATATCAGCTACATGATAATGTAACATTGTACCAACAATGATAAGTGTCTGTAAGACTTATAGTTAACATAATTGAGTTTCTACCAACTCTAAGGGCCAAGAGTAAGCTATTACTAATGTAAAATGAAAACGATAAATAACAGAGTCTGGCGCGTGAAGTTTACGCGCGGCGACTTCTCTCTCAAACCCTAGTTAAAAGTTTTTCGTGCGCCGCCGTTCTGCTTGCCTCTCCGGTGTCCGGTCGCGACCGGTGCCGTGAGAGGGCCCTTTCTCTTTTAATCTGTTATTCGTCTTGTTGCCGGTCTAGTTCTAACTTTCTTGAGTTGGCCCTGTTTTCTCACGGCTCTGGGAGAATCCGCCGTGCGCGACGGCCTCTTTTGGTGGTTTGGTGCTCCTCGCTTGGGCTCCTTTGCTTGTCGACGGCGAAGGAAATCAGTGAAGATCTGTTCCTCACCCAAGCGTCTCGCATCTCGACCGGCGGAGATTTACTTTTGTAAATCGCCTCTCCCCTCGTGTTTCTCCTACGGCGGTTCTAGCTTGTCTCGGCAGCAGCTGTGGTGTTGCTCTTCCGTCTTCTTAGGGTTCACAAATTCCAAGCCTTGGCTTGGTTCGCCGTGCTACGATCCGCTTTTATCGGAGATTGGGAAGCTTTCCATGGTTTAGTTCGTTTCGAGGACGATTCTGTTTCCTGGATTTTGCTTCCACTGCCCTTTCCGTGTTGGTCGTTTCGTATGCCGGAGTTATGACTTTTGGGTGGTTTTTGGTGGCTGTGATGAAACTTCTCCGCCGTTAGGGGTTGTTGGTTTCTGTCGCTTAAGGTCATTGAAACCTCGACCACTCTGGTTTCTCTCTGTCATATAGGTTTTCAGGGCTAAGCTCCTTTTGGCTTCAATTTGAGTTTTCTTCGTCGCTTCTTGGCTAAGGATGGGCATCTCTCTGTTGGCAAATTTTACTTGGAGCAGTAGTAGAACTATTAGGAGGATGCTTCGTTGTGGCTCGTCAAGTGTCTAGCTTCGTATATGGTGCTCCTTTTGTGCCTTAAGGTGGCTGCGGTCGTGTTTGATTTGGAGATGTTGTAGCCTCCGGTGGTGGCTAGCGCTTCTTCTCCAATTGATTTCACGACAGGTTTATCAAGTTTAGTTGCTTTAGCTCACGGTCCTGGATTTGTTTGTGTCTGCTCGTTGTTGTTGCTTTGAGTAGAAGTAGGTGTTGCTTTGAGTACTCGCCACTGGTTGCTTGTGTTTTGTGCTCTAGAGGAGCTAGTAAGGCTGAAGGCGTACAGTGTGGTTTTTATTTCCGTTATATTGCTCTGCGCTAGCCGACTTCGGGAATGAACTTGGTAGAGGGAGCTCACACTGCTCGTAAAATTCAGCTTGTGAGGTTTCGTTCAGGGAAAGCTCATGGTTTTGGTCGATGAACCGCTCTCACATGTCGCAGGGGAGTATGTGATCTAGGGTTTTAAGTCCTTAACCGTTGACGGCCCAGTCTCGGACCTCCTGTGAAAGGCTTCTAGTGCAAAGAACTTTCTGCAACTCGACGTTTAAGATTAGCAGTCGCTCTTCTTCTTAAGTAACTGATCCGTATAGAACATCAAATTCGTAATCGCTTCATCGTACTCCTAGCTTGACTGATCTGGTTGAGTGGATGGACCGAATTCTCCAGCTTGTGAATTATGCTTCCATGTTTTTGCTTTTTTTGCCATGGAACCCCATGTTTTTGCTTTTTTTGCCATGGAACCATTTGTTAAAGGTTTATAATCTTTGATTGTAACACCTAAACTGTTTTCATCTTAATGAAATATTTACATTCTTAGCAAAAAAAAAAAAAATGAAAACATTATCTGGAGAATTTAAAATGTTATTCACTATAGTTGTCCCCAACATATAATAGTATATATTATCTGTATATGCAAAAATTTTGAAACATTTAAAGCTTTGTCTAAAGCTAGTCTTTTTGTTTTCCTTCTTTAGTTTGTGCTGAATCACACATTACTTTTTTTTCATTTTCTCCATCAGCCGGAGTCTTGAAAAGTGAATGCTTTGAAAGCTAGCTTTTGGACTTTTACAAGTCTTTCTACAATTATTTCAACATTACAAGAAGTTTCCGACATAACTACGTACCAACCACAGCTACCTATAGTGGACGTATACACTTATATATCAATCAGGAGATGTTTACAATTCTGAGTCACAACGCATGACATTTTGACTTTTAATATATTTATCGGAAAAGAAAAACTCATAACTAACGTCTAACGATGCCTTTTTGCCATCATGAATTTGACTTTGTAAATGGTTATTTTCTCGTCCTTTATTAATCTGAATCCAATATGGCACATCATCCTCGAGTCATTTTCATATCTTCACATCATTTGTTTAGCAAAAAATTTATCTTCACATCATTTTGTTCTCAAATTCATTTATCACACCATAAGGAATTTATGGGCCTTATGTTGAAAGCCCAATACAGGCGCATAAACAACGACGACCAAACAAGTTTTATGATCCCTCTTAAGTGAGAGTATTGTCCATCAAGAAGATAGATCATCCCAAATTTAGTTTACAAGTTCCGACAGAAGAAGCTAATACCCATAAAAAAAAACTTTGATATATGTTTCCAAATATCCTACAAGATCCATTAATGAAAAGGATTACGAACCTCATCTTGTATATCTAATTGACTTTGCATCAGAATGTCCAAATGGAATTTGATCCATTGCATTCTCTCTTCGACTTGGATAGTAGAGCAAGTTAAATTAATTCCATAGTTATCCCTAACTTAATTTTAATAAACAAGATTTAAAAAAATCTAATTCTTCCTTTCAAATCTAGACACATGCATGTGACACAAGATAACCGATAGTATAATGTTTTTCTTTGGAATATATAAGTAAGCTTTTTCTTACAACGGACCCAACACATCAGTAACTATTATCCTTTTCACATTCTTATATTAAATTTACACCGACGACTGCAAAAATAGTCGTCGTCTCATCACCAAGTTTTTAAAATAGTACTCTACTATCAAAAACATAGAGAAAAAGTTCTGACTAATTTAATACTAAGATCAATTTAAATTATGTAGCTGAAACTCGTGATTGTGATCTGATCTGTTTATTGAACCGTTGGATGAAGTCTTCGACTCGTTTGTTCAACTCTTCGTTCGACATCTTTGAAAACTCTTCAGATTCTTCTTTAACATTCTCCCACTTCTCTGGAACTACCATCCATGTCGAGCTATCCGACTTCCTTCGACCATAGCTTTTACGTTTGGTCTCTATACCTTCGCTGAGCCTCTTTCTCCGTGGCTTATCTGATTTACTTCTCCCGTACAGTTTAGGGTTCACATGCTTTCTTGCGTCGCAAACTTCTAGGCTAACAACAGTTTGATCAGTAATCGGTTTATATTTCTCGATAGCGACATCGTGTCTTGGTTTCTCCTCGTTCACCACTCGTACTATTTTCTCGGGAGGAGAAACGCAAACGATCTCTTTCACCACCGGTGGTGCTTCTTCTTCTTCTTCTTTAGGGTTCTTGGTCTCGACATCTTTAGAGTTCTTGATTTCTTCATGTCTAGTGTACTTTTCTTGGTATGTTAAGACGGGAATATGAGAATAGTTATCTACACGACTTCTCATCGTTGCCGCTGCGGTTGTATATTCACTGTAAAAGTCTTGACTCTCTTTATGAGTGAAGGCGCCATAATCAGCGGCTATTATGAGGATAAGAGTGTTGGAGATGAAGAACAAGACCTTCGTGTCTTTGAAGATAGAGGATGGAGATAATTCGAAAACGTAAAAGATCAAAATGTAGGTGAAGATCGATAAGAAGATGGAAAGCAACGAAAAAGAGTAGTAACAACGTCGTTTCTTTGGCTTGTAAGGCTCGAACTTAGGGTTCTCGATCATGTAAGAAGACATTGCTGTCATTTTCACGTATAAGGAGAGGAAACGAGAGATTTGGTTTGTGTTGATCTTTTGAGGTGTTGTAGAAGAAGCCTTTATATAGAGAGTTTCATGGAAGTGAATCATTGAGTTTAAGCAATGTCGAAATTGTCCTTGTAAAGTATTTGTATTAATTGCTGTTGTGACACGATTCAAGATTAGTCGCGTCATAGTGAATTACGTGGAAACTAAAGGGAAACTCGTATTTGAAACATCCTGGTAGGTGCCCGGCAATTCACATTTAGTAATTAAGTTAGGATATATATCTTGTCTACTTGAAGTATTACATTTGTATAAATATGTTTTGCTAAATTACAAAAAAAATAATTAATTTGGGAAACATAGTTTGTCAAGGCATCGATCACGCTCGAGTCTCGACCATTGGTAGGTACATCAGAGTTTCGAGTTCGACACGTCATCATTAGAGGCAACAACACAATCGAATTATATATTATCGGTTTTATAAAGATTTGAGACCTCATGTAAATGAGTCATTACATTTTGTGAAGTATGAATTATATAAACAAAACATATATGTATAGCACTTTAAATCTAAATTTTGCGAAACTAGAATTAAATCATTAATTCGACTTTTTGGGTAAATATTTTATGTCTTACGTGGTCACAAAGTTGTCTTTATAGATATATCGTGATAGCTAAAAAAAGCTAGTCTTCTTCCACGTAAACGTGAAAGTGGGTTGTTTTAATTGAATTATCTAATGATTCACTATCACTTTACGAATAAATATACTGAAAGCTGGTTCAATAGCATTTTTTCACCTACAAAATTAAAAATAAAATAATATCTGGTTCAATAGTACCTTTTTATACTAATTTTGATAAAATAAAGATAAATGTTCTTCTAAACAGTAACCAATAATATATCTTAAACTACCCTACAAAACAAATTGCGTAGTTTCTTTTGAAAGTTTAACTTGTTCATGAACAAATTAACAATTCTGAGAAAAAAAGATATCAAAATTACTTTTCTATATTTACTATTTACTGCTTTCTATATGTCGTCTAAAAACGAACGTGCAATATTATTAGTTACCATGTCATTTGGGTCATTCATTAATTTGGTTGTTTCGGTTTTGGTATCGACAACTACTAATATGTAGTGTGAGATGCAGATACCTTGTAACCCTTCATCACTAATCAGTATTAATCTTAAATTAAATTTATTAGTGACCACGTTGCAGCTACATAAGAAAGTTAGTTGTATTTTTAATAGTCAGGTGAAAATTTCAGTCCAAATTCCTAGTCATCATAGTATCATGATCATGTATTAGATATTTTCATCATTTAAGTTATAGTTTTCCGACTGACGTGGTTGAGAATGGAAGGAATCATCATCCATGCAAAATATTAAAAAACGTTTCAAGAAATTTTTCGTCTTATGATAAAATTATGCATCCGATCCTCCCGATATTTCTAGGCATCTTCTTAAACGAATGTTTTTTTCTAATCGTTGAACCGGTTTCTGATAATACATTAATATTTGACATTTTTTTTTGTTACCAAAAAAATAGCTGTCCGAACTCCGAAGTCATTTTAGTGTATTTATTTGTAATAAAAGACTTCTGACAGTATGTAGTTCACAGTTTAAGATAGGGTAATTTTGTACTGCTAATTCAAAGACATCTACTTCTCATCGTACGTTTAGTTCACATTACGTAGTAAAATATCCCTAAAGTTTGTACGTTGGCTCTACATTTGTAATAAAAGACCTTTCGAGGCTCTCTAGTACACATTAAGATACGAAATTTTCCTACTGCCTTCGACTCAACCGTTACATTATAATTAATATTTATAAAATATGTAAGTTGAGTGAAAGCTAACTTACATATTATTTAACCCCAAAAAAAAAAAGAGTATTACATTCAGATTTAAGAGAAGAGGTTTGAATTGAAATCTAATTGTAGGTATCGAGTATTTATGTCGCCTAATGACTCACGAGATTAATTAGTTTCATTAAGAAAAAATAACACATGAATCTATAATATTCTTACTTACTTAATATAGCGTTAGAAACACATCTATATGAGGAAACATTTATCTTATTTAGTAGAGAGTATAATGGTATAAAACTCACCAACCAACTTTTCAACACCTCCGTTTCATATGATTAAATGTTTTTGTTTCATTCGGTTCGAAATTTATAAGTTTTAATTGCAAAAAGATAATTTATTTGACTTTTTGGCTTTCTATCTTGAAGTGTTTTCGTCATCGGCTAAATAGTTATAACTTATAAATCAAGTATTAAATAATGTACATTAACAAAATGTAAAAAAAAAAAAACAATTTGTTTCAATGTTTTGGCTAAATAGTAAATATCTTTTATAAATTGAAATGGAGTGACTAGTATATGTTATTCTATCATAAGATTGATGACGAGCCAAAAATCAATATCATGCATTTATTACAAATAAACCATAGATGTTGACGTGCTTAAAAGCTCATAAAACGTCGCTAGAAAATTAGAAGATCATGAACTGATCTATCTTTGTCGATAAAGATGATTCTCGAATAAGAAAAAAAAAAACAAGCTGCATTTATAGCTTATGTTCTTGATCAATCTTAAAAGTCTCAAGTCGATTGATCTTCATGTGATTAACGGCTCATAAAAACATCACAAGATAAATAACAAGGCATATATAACGGATCATGAACCGATCTATCTTTGTCATGAAAGATGATTCTCGAATGAGAAAGAAGAAACAGCAAAACAAGCTTCATTTATAGTTTGTGTTCTTGGTTGTGTTTATGTTCCCTTTCTTGCAGCACATGAGTAGTTCATTCTCCATCCTTTTTATCAACCATATCATTCTCATATTTCATATTCAAAGCTCCATTTTCTTTGATCTTATCTCAATTACACAAATCAAAAATTTAATAAATATTGCAAGAGTAACTACGATAATATCAAACTTTTTACACAAAATTAAATAAACAATGTCGAACATGAATTAGCATTTAATGGTAAAAAAAGATAAGGTGGAATTATTTGTCTTTTTCTCGTTTGGTGGAGTTGAGAGACAATCTTCAAGCGGTAAATAGTAAATACTGAAGATAGCTAGCGGTAAGTAGTAAATATTGGTTTCCAACAAAACGAATCAAGGATGATCGATGATTTTTACTTGTCTAGTGGTAACAAAACCAGTTTATATAACTGAGAACATCTGACCCTATACCTTTGAACGTACGTTAGATTGTTTGAGATAGAGTGATGTTTGAAATATTGTTGGCTCATAATTTATGTTTTATTATTACGTACTTGTAGTTGTAGATTCTGTCAACAAAATTATTGTATCTTTTGTAAGAAATGTGAGTGCTCAGCTCCTCGGTAATGAGTACCAAATACGTAATGGCTTCCAAAGAGATTCAAGAAAAAAAGAACAAAAAATATAGAAAAATATCACGGAAATCATTATTGTCTTTGTTATTTAAGGAATCAAGGTAGTCAAGAAATATAGCGACTACCTTGGCTTTGGCAAGAGTCCAAAAACGAAAATTTTCACCAAAATGGAAAAACAAAACTTGCTACCTACGCCTTTGAGTCTCTTTTTAAGGTAAGAGAATATATATATTTGAGACTCCTCCCAATACATCAACTTCGTTTTGGGGTTTCTTTGGTGTTGTTGTCTACAATAATGTCTCGACTTCTCTTCAAGCTCTCTCCCCTCGTAAGCTCTTCCTTGCTTTTTCTTCAGTTTTGTAATTCCATTTGCTTGTATTTTCTTAGATTATAGGGTTTAGTTTCTACTTTTTATACTCTATATATTCGATAGATGGGGATTGGAGGGTTGAGATATATAACCGTTCTTTAGAGAATTGAGAATTTTACTTTTATGTTTGCTTAAATTTAGCAGATTCACATTCACAAGAGGAGCGTTCGTTCGTTTTCTTCCTCCACGACCGGCCCATGTAAGTGGATTTGCAGCATGATAGAACCCTCGCCGGAAGGCGGCTCCCTCGGACAAGTCCTGTTGTTCAACTTAGCAAATTTCGAGTTAGTCAGAGCGGACAAAACATATCCCATTGAGCTTTATGACGCGCAGTTGGTTGGAGCTTCCCATGGATGGGGATTTTTCTCCAATAGACAAGATCGGTCTGTCGTTATCAGCGACTTTCTGAACCCCTATGCTTCCAAGTCAAAACCAAAGATGATTCCTCTGCCTTTCTTTACTCCAATGTACTCTGGCCAAACCGAAGTCGTGTGCAACGTGGCCATGTCCTCTTCTCCTCCTGATCAAGACGACCAAGATTGGTTCGTTGGCATCAAGTTCTTGGGTAGACAGCTGAGCCTCTGCAGGCCCCGTCATGACCTGCGCTGGACTAATATCCTAACACCTTTTGAGTCATGGGATAGCTCAAAACTGATGTATTCCAAGAAAGACCAAAGGTTCTATTTGCTTGCTCCTGGAGGAAACTACTTATGCTCATGGGATCTCGACTTCAAGGAAGACAAGAAGCCTAAGTTCCATGAGTTGGTGTTGCACAACCTTCCCGACATGCCACGTTCCCACCGGAAGCGGTTGGATTCCTACTGCAGGGAGGATCACTGGGTGGAGTCACCTTGTGGCGAAAGTTTCCTCGTCAAATGGTAACCTAAAGTATAGTTTCTAGATATATAGAGGAACTTTGCTGAAACAAAAGCTAACCCTTTAGGTCTTGGGCTGCAGGTACTCAGAATACACTCCTGAAGGGTTCAAAGCACCGACTGCAATGGTGTTTAGAGAGGAGTACACACAAGATGGGAGGAAAAACATGCGTTACACAGATGACATAGGAGATTTGTGCATTTTCATTTCAAAGGGGGAGGATTTCTGCGTCACGGCCACCTCTTGCCCTGGACTCCCCCGCAACTCCATCTTTTTGAATGGACGTTTGTTTGCGACGCTCAGTATGACCAAGAGTACCTTCGGTTGCTATGAGTTACCCCAAGGTTCACCAGAAAAAATCCCCTACTCCCCCTACTGGCTTCCTCCGTTTTCTCCCTAGTGCTCGATCCTTGCTTCATTGCTTGCTGTTATTGTCTAGTTGCTTGCTTCTCTTCTGTTTTACTGATTTCAAATGTCAAGATCATCTAATTAACGACTTCATTTGGTATTTTGGAAATATGTTACAAATTTGAAGGACTTCTGTAAGCATGTTCCGTGTGTCACGTATGGAGTCTAAGATTATTGACCTTTGCTCTCAACGTAAATTACATAACAACTTTCTTACAGTTCTAGATCCTATGTTAGTTCGTCTGTCCCCCTTGTTTAATTTTGATATCCCTTGAAACCCCAACGAGATACTCAACCTTATCAAGTTAATTAATCCTCTTAATCGCTAAACAAAGATTCATCAGCAGCTAAGAGATTTTTTTTATTATATCCACGTTATTACAACACAGAGAACACTATTTCGACCGAGACAGAAAACACATAATATTTCTATGATAGGTTGAATAATTTTATGACAGTCATCATGTGTTTTATATATATGAAACAAACACCAAAAAAGATTTATGGTCTTTTAAAAGCTGGATACTGTATGTCATGGTTTTGAGAAGCGATAGAGTATAACATTAGATACGTTTCCAAAGAAAAATCTCATATTTCCAAAAAGTGCAAAGCCATAAGTCCATAACTCCACATGATTTATTTCAAAAAGATTTTTTTTCTCTTTTCTTAAACTCTTTTGCAACTGCAACACTCCAAATTTAAACTGTATACGTTGAATGTTATGTTTGGTATTGTCAAATAACGAGTCTCCTCAACTCCTAACACCGTCATAAAGTTATGATAATTTTAAAAGTTTGACTCAACACTTACTAGACTAATAGACCACGCACGTTAGTTTTTAGATAGAGTGATGTGTGAAATATGGTTGGCTCAGAATTTATAGTACATTATTATGTAGTAGATTCTGTCAACAAAGTTGGTTTAAAAAAAAATAAAAAATAAAAAGATTCTGTCAACAAAGTTATCGTATCTTTGTAAGAGCAAGGGCATTAGCGTGTGTACGCCGAGTCCCATGCATTTTTTCATTATTAACGGTCAAGCACCTGAGGTCAATTTCGTTGTAAACGGAAATCAGTACAATTTGGCGTACTATCTCACTGATGGTATTTATCCGAAATGGGCCACTTTTATTCAATCTATTCGACTTTCTCAAGGTATGAAAAATTCCCTTTTCTCTAAAAAACAAGAAGCTGTGCGGAAAGATGTAGAGCGTGCTTTTTGAGTTTTGCAAGCTAGGTTTGCCATTGTTAAAAACCCTTCTCCTTTATGGGATAAAAACAAAATGGCAAATGTTATGAAAGCATGCATAATACTCCATAATATGATTGTAGAAGATGAACGACATACATACAATGTCCGTAACATTTCAGAATTTCAGCACAGAGAAGATGTCGATCAAACATATACCGTTGGTACCGCCGGTGTAGGTTCAAATATAGGCACAACAATTACTCGTCGAACCAGAGTTCGTGATAAACAAGCACATGAACAATTAAAACATGATTTAATAGAACATATATGGTCTAATTTTGGACATCTTCAAGATTATGAAAATTAAGTTTTAAAGTTCTGAATTCAATGTTGTTAATTTTAATATTTGTATGTTTTCTGTTTTTTCAACTTTATGAACTTTGTAATAATAAAATCCAATGAATGGGATGATCTATGTTTTATTTCCATGTTTTTAATTTAATTTTAAAAATTATTTTTAAAAATTAAAAATATTATTAATTTAATTGAAGGACAAATAACAAGAAACACCAATGCTGCTACACTAAAATTTCAAAAATGTCCTATGATCTAAATATTATAAAAATAATTGAGGGACCAAATTTGCTGTGACACCAATGCTGATGCTCTAAGAATAATGGGTTTCCAACTTTCCATAGAGATACTATTAAAAAAAAAAAAAAAACAAATGTAAAGGAAAAGCATTATTATTGTCTCTGTTCTAGTAGCGACTACCTCTGGCTTTGGCAAGTTTCCAAAATTAAAAATTTCACCAAAAAGGAAAAAAGAGCTTGCTAGCCACGCCTATTTCTCTCTTTTAAGGTAAGAGAAGTTATATGGTTGAGACTCCTCCGAATACATCAACTTAATTTTGGGGTTACTGTAATTTCTTGGTGTTGTTATCTGCAATAATGTCTCGGCTTCTCTCCAAGCTCTCTCCCCTCGTAAGCTCTTCTTTGCTTTTTCTTCAATTTTCTAATTGCTTTTGCTTCTAGTTTCTTAGATTAGAATAGATGGCTTACTTTTCTACTTTAGACTAGATTAGATAAGGATCGGAGGGTTGAGATTGACCTAAGTTTAGTTAGAGAAGGTGCTTTCAGTTACTTGATTGGTCTTGATCTCTGTGTTGCTTAACTTGCCAGATTCACAAGAACAGTAGAAGCGTTCGTTCGTTTTCATCCTCTGCGACCGGCCCATGTGTTTCGATTTGCAGCATGATAGAACCCTCTCCGGACGGCGCCGGAAACCTCGGAGAAGTCATACTGTTCGACATAGCAAGTTTGGAGTTAGTCAGAACGGACAAAACATATCCCGATGAGCTTTTCGACGGGCAATTGGTGGGAGCTTCCCATGGATGGGGGTTTTTCTCCAATAGACACGATCGGTCTGTCATTATCAGCGACTATCTAAACCCTTATGCTTCCAAGTCAAAATCAAAGATGATTCATCTGCCTTTCTTTACTCCAATGTACTCTGGCCAAACCGAAGTCGTGTGCAACGTGGCCATGTCCTCTTCTCCTCCTGATCAAGACGACCAAGATTGGGTCGTTGGCATCAAGTTCTTGGGTAGACAGCTGAGCCTCTGCAGGCCCCGTCATGACCTGCGTTGGACTAACATCCTAACACCTTTTGAGTCATGGGATAGCTCAAAACTTATGTATTCCAAGAAAGACCAAAGGTTCTATTTGCTTGCCCCTGGAGGAAACTACTTATGCTCCTGGGATCTCAACTTCAAGGAAGACAAGAAGCCTAAGTTCCATGAGTTGGTGTTGCACAACCTTCCCAACATGCCACGTTCCCTCTCGAAGCTGTTGGATTCCTACTGCAGAGAGGATCATTGGGTGGAGTCACCTTCAGGCGAAAGTTTCCTTGTCAAATGGTAACCTAAGTATAGTTTTTAGAAGAATTTTGCTGAAATAAAGAAACTAAACATCCATATTGCTGGTAACGTGTATACATGCAGGTACAGTGAATACCCCCCTGAAAACACCATTAACTGTTGCAAATCACCGATAGTAATGGTGTTCAGAGAGGAAGAGACGAAAGATGGAAGGAAAAACATGCGTTACACAGAGGACATTGGAGACCTTTGCATTTTCATTTCAAGGGGAGAGGATTTTTGCGTCAAGGCGACCTCTTGCCCTGGTCTCGACGCTAACTCTATCTGTTTGCATGGCCGTTTGTTTGCAACGCTCAATATCGCGAAAAGAACCGTTGGCTGTTACTTACATCCCCAAGACACACCAAGAAGGATTCCCTATTCACCTTACTGGCTTCCTCCGTTTTCCCCGTAGCCCTCTATTTGCTCCATTGAATCATTGGTCTTATTGTGTGGTTGGTTCTCTCCTGTTTGAATTGAAGACTTCATTTGGTATTTGGTGTAACAGCCAACTGATGTAACTTGTCTCACAATTCAGATCCTATGTTTAGCTTGTTTGTCCCAACTTTGATGTCCATGAATTTGATTTATGGAATTTACTTAGGGAGTACATCACTCATATACGTACTAAAATTAAGGAATTAAAAGAAGCAGATACATGGATACAATTATAAGACCATAGTGAACTTGAAAGTAGGAGAGACAATCAGACAAAGAACATTAATCTTTCATGGCTCTGGATTCTCTAATTACACGTTTCTAAAACTTATTCCTCTTAACCGTTGAACAAATGATTCATCAGCAGCATGTCACGATTTGATATTCCAATAACTGCAACTTATAGATATTAATACCCACGTTATTACAAGAGAAAACTATTTTGACCGAGACAAAAAAAAAAACACACATAAATTTCTATGATAGGTTGAATACTTTTGTGAATTGTGACACACACACAAAATATCTTGGTCAAGCTGATATGTCATTGTTTTGACTTTTGAGGAGCGAGGGAGATTAACATTAAATAAAGAGATCAAAGAGTTCCAAAAGAGAAACCTCTCATCTCCTCCAGACCCATAATTCCACATGGATGATTTCTTAAACTATACTGTCTACATTGAATTTTATGTTTCGTATTGTCATGTCTTCAATATAGATTTAACGATTCACCTAGAGTCTAATTATACATTTAAATGTTATATTTATAATCAGTTCGAATTAATCAACAATTACTAGACGTCTAGACCCTATATGTAAGTTTTAGATAACTGATGTATGAAAAATATGGTTGAGTCAAATTTATGGTTTATGTACTTTGTAGTATATTGTTCTGTCAGCAAAGTTATTGGGTACCGAGTAAAATGAACTGTGAGTGGGCCTCGATAATGAGACCATCCTCAATGCTGATCCTTAAGCTGGTTCTTAAGCTAATTTTGATTAAAATTTAATACATAATTCAACAAAATTTATAAGGTACGTACCTTATATAAGGTCAAAAACTGGAATTAAAGGCATAAGATCCACTTTTAAGGATTATGCATTGAGGATGCTCTGAGTATCGAGTACGTAATGGGTAAAGAGAAAAAAAATATATAGAAAAAATGTAAAAGGAAAACATACAGTTATTGTCTCTGTTCTAGCAAAAACAGCGACAACCTTGGCTTTGGCAAGATTCCTAAAACGAAAATTTCACCAAAAAGGAAAAAAAACTTGCTACCCACGCCTATAGATATCTCTCTTTTAAGGTAGTGAAGATATATGGTAGAGACTCCAAATAAATCAACTTAATTTTGGGGTTGTTATCAGCTGCAACCATGTCTCGGCTTCTCTTCAAGCTCTCTCCCCTGGTAAGCTCTTTCTTGCTTTTTTTGTTGAATTTTGTAATCTCTTTTGCTTGTGTTTTCTTAGCTTAGATAGTTAACTTTTCTACTTTAGATTAGATTAGGTAATGATCAGAGGGTTGAGATTGATATATTATTTAGAGAATTGAGGATTTAATTACTTTTATGGTTGCTTCAACTTGGCAGATTCACAAGAGGAGCGCTCGTTCGTTTTCTTCCTCCACGACCGGTCCGTTTCTGTCGCTTAGCGTCGGTGCAGGACCTTCTTCGGAAGGCGTCAGCATCGGTGAAGTGGTTTTGTTCGACCCTGCGAAAGAAGAGTTACTCAAGCTTACGGACAAAGCAATTCCAGAAGAAATCATTTCAGCCAAATGGATCGGAGCTTCCAAGGGATGGTCATTTTACTCTGACACACAAGACCGTTGCGTACTCATGAGCGACTTTTTGAACCCATGGGCTAGCGAATCAAAACCCAAGCTCTTGACTCTGCCTCCGCTTAACCCTCTGCTCTCTTGCCAAACTGATTTGATCTGGAACGTGGCAATGTCCTGTTGTCCTGATGACGATGAAGACTGGGTTGTTGGCATCAAGTCCTTGGGTGACCAGCTCAGTTTCTGTAGGCCACGTCGTGACTTGCGTTGGACCAAGTTCCAAACCCCTTTTGACTATTTCCCAACCTCGAATCTGACGTACTCCAAGAGAGACAGGAAGTTCCACTTGCCTGGTCCTGGAGGCCATCACTTGTTATCCTACGATCTTCACTTCGACAAAGCCGACCAGCCTGAGTTCCACGAGTTGAAGTTTCGCAACTTTCCAGAGTCGTTCAAGTATGACTCAGAGCTATCGGAGCTGTTTCCTTCTTCTTGTAGGACAGAACGCTTTGTGGAGTCACCCTCCGGAGATGAACGTTTCCTTGTCAAATGGTATAATAATACTCTGTAGCTACTATACCATATGTATATACATTATCGTTGAACCATTGATGATTGGTTTCTTGCATGCAGGTACGCCAAGGGTTGCTTGGCTTATTCGAGTAAAATCTCCTATGAAACGCAGCGGTTCATGGTGTTTAGAGAGGAGGAGACTACAGAAGGAAGGTTCATGTGTTACACTGATGACATTGGAGATCTCTGCATCTTTGTTTCAAAGAGCGAGGCCTTTTGCGTCCCGGCAAGCTCTGTTCCTGGACTTAAGCCAAACTCCATCTATTTTGTTGGCTTTGGCGTAGGTATCTACGATCTTACCACCAGAGATGTCTCTAGTTTTAATGCTCCCAAAGGTGCACTGAATCATATTGTGAACCGTTACTGGTTTCCTCCATCTTCTAGCTAGTGCTACGACTGCACGGCTTTGTTTGCTTCGGTTTTACTATCTATCGACTTGCTTAGATCTAAATATCGGTCATCTATGTTCCCTTTTGACTGTATTAGCTTATTATGAATTTATGATCAATGGAATAGTTCTTCTTCTATAAATATATTTTACATACATAATTCATTTTATTTGATTTTACATGAAACATTTCTTGTTAGCCACCAACTCATCTTTTATAATTTATAACTCATCTTTTAACATTTATTGTTAGCCACCACCTATATATAAACTATGATTGTCACGTGTTTAACAATCCCAACGACAACAATACATGTATTTGATCCCAAAAAAACGAAAAAAAAAAAAAGACATGTATCAATAGTTTTGATTTTATCTCACCGTATGAAAGCATTATTTCCATTAATACAAAAAAAAAAAAGAATGCCATATACGCCGATGATTCATTTATGATCGACCACAAGATTTTGCAATCCAAAGATAAATTACACAAAATGGACCTCCGATCTGTCAAGACCAACTTAAAGGGCAGGTTGGGCCGGGTAAGTTTAGGGTCCGGTATTGATTCTGCAAAAAGTTAAATTGTATGTGTTGACAACTAAAAATATACATACTGTGTACAGTTTATTGCAAGGTCAGAGAATCTGTTAAAATTAGGGAGATTGTTTGGTGACAAACTTAAATAAAAAATAGTATCAGTGTTATTTAAGAAACTGAGAGAAGTGTGTATCTCTCTACTAATAAAAATGACAATTTGAGCTATCTATGAGCATCTTTATAGGTGTAACTTAGAAGATGTACCTTAGGTAAATATATGTATATTAATAATGTTAAAGAGTAATTTAAGAACCTTTGATTAAGTGGTGATTATTGGTTGAACTTGTAGTATCTTAATATTTTAATAATATAATAATGTAAATATGTCATTTATTTTTTAAATTAAATAAATTATTAATAAATTGAAAACTTACAAAAATAAACATAAAACATATTTGAAAATTAAAATATAAAGAAAATACAATTCCAAATTATTTTGAAAAAAACAATAAAGATAAAAATGATAAACACAAAAGATACAATAATAATTTAAGCACAATGGTAACATAGTTGTGTAAAGTTGTACGGAATTTGCTAAAATGGTACTAATTTGTCTATAGATCATGCTGTCATTACAACGACCATCTTCAAAGTTGTTTCCAAGAGTGCTAGGTTACATGTGAAGTATCTTAAAGTGGGTGAAGACAACTTACCGATGGGAAGCGACGTGTTTGTTTGCGATCACCAACGTCCCAAACGCTGCAACGCTAGTTCATCATCTCCTCCAAATGACGTCGGCGGGAAAGGGTAAGGCAAAAAAAAAAAATAAGTAAGAGTTTGTCTCTATGCGTAATGATTATTATCTTAACCTTAGTTAAGACATATCTATCTATTCATGCATTTTGCATATGTATGCTTAATACAGTAAAACCTCTATAAATTAATACTCTATAAATTAATAAACACTATAAATTAATACATTTTGTTGGTCCCAAATCAGGTCAATGTAAAAATTGACCAAATTCGATAAGATAATAAGATAATAATTGTTTTGAAATCCTCATCTAAAATATAGTCCCAATAATATCATAAATTAATAATCACTATATATACACATATATTTATATAAGTAGATATATTAATGTATTTGTAGATATATTAATGTATGTTTTAATTTTTTTTGTGAAAATAAATTTTCTCCTAGAGTTCACCTCAATAAATAATTTTGTGTTAGTATATTTTTAAAAAATAATCTTGTAATATATACCATCACAAGTCATAAAAATAATCAAATTTTCTTTATGTTTTCAATTTTTAAATATGCATAATATTCATTTTTACATATAGGATGTGAAAATATAACAATTGAGGTTATTAAGATACATTTGAATTATCATTTGTAAGTGAATTTATCTATAATTTTGAAGTTTTTAGTCAAATTTCTTTTTAAAAAAATATATAATATTCATTTTCAAACTTCTATCTAATTTATAATATCTAAAAGATTAGTTTTATTTTTGTAAAATTGTGTCAATCCATATCTTTAAAATATTTGAAAATTAAAAATACCACTATAAACTAATAATTATTAATTTACACTATAATTAATATTTATTAATTTATAGATAAATTAATATCACTATAAATTAATAAAATATTTTGGTCCCAAAATTATTAATTTATAGAGGTTTTACCGTATGTTTATGAATCTTAACCTTAGTTAAGACTTAAGACAGATCTACCTATCTATCCATGCATTATGAATTTTACAAATTGATACATGTTTTAAGTCTTTTTTATATGAGACACTCAATTAACTAGAAATATTTTTATTAGGATGAATTAATCAAATATTTCTTGAAAAAATTTAAAGAAATAATCTCATAACGATATTAATGACAATTAAGTAGCAATTTTGTTACTTTCTTAATATGTAACTAGTGATGGACCCGCACGTACGTGCGGGGTTATTTTTACAAAATTACGATTTTTTAAGTAGATACTATTTTGATAAAGTTTTGTTATATGAGTTTATTTGATAAACTATATACAGACATACAGTTGTAAAACAACAAAATGAATACATAATACAATTTTAAAATTATTTAAATGAAAATGATAAGTGATATTGCGTGTTCATTTATAACTGTTTGCTTAGAGATGTTAAATCGGATTTGGGTTTGACTTTAGTTTGAATTGTTTTATGTTTAGTTTAGAATGGAAAACCCGTCATGTCCCTTTCCGTTTCGTCCTGACCCGTCCTGTCCCATAATCATTTCTTTTTAAAACATTATCATTTGCCAATGTTTATTATAAGAAACTTGGTAAAAGATTTAGACGGGATACCCGTATTCCTCGTTTAAATATTTATTTTTATCAAACTAATAAAAATCTAATTATCAATATAAGTCACATGCTCCCACCATTTTCATTCACAAGGCACTGTCTGTAATCCTAGATACACAATCCTTGTTCGATTTTTAATTTTATTGATCTTTCAGTTTCATCTTTATTTCTCATTACTTTCTTCAATTCAAAGATTCATGTTTTAGCCTTTTTGTTTTCTAAAGATTTAGGTATTTCTATTTTTTTTTAATACATGGATTTATTGTAGTTATGTTATCCGAAGTATACGTTATCTTTTTGTACCCGTCATTTCATGTTTAAATATTTGAAATACATAGGAAAGTGGAATTTAAATTTAGCAATTTAAATTACATGTCCTCGTATCGTACTCGTAGTTTTATATTTGATAGTTGAAAGTGAATTTAACTTTATGACCGTGTCTCATAACAATTATATATAATCATGTTTTCGAATTATATGTTCCCATCTCGTATTCATTCCTATAAGTTTATAATTTTTTTAATAAATAACACCATTTACATGTAACTAAATATAATTTTAATATATGTAAAATTTCATATAATCGTCCAAAAGTATATTATACAAGTCATGGCAACCACAAACTTTCATTTATTTGTTTTCAATTAGATTAAATCATAAAATATAATCCATTTATTATTTAAAAATTGGTAATAAGTCGTTAAAATAATTTAAATGTGATATATCCACTTGTTATTTAGTTTTAATCTTAATAGAAATTCTATATGTTTATAATCTCAAAATGTAGTTTATGATTTGATAAAACAATTATTTAATATTTGATAATAGTAATGATATGAAATTTCCAATGGATGAAGATTTATTTTGTTAAGATTGTGTGAAATTAATAAGAAAAAAGAAATTTAAAATAATCATTAACTAACTGTTTGACCAAATAAAAAATCATTAACTAATTGAATTAATGATAAATTTTGTAGATATCTTTTGTGCTATAATTGCTAGATTGCTTTTTGAATATGAATATTTTTATGTAAAATAAGAAATTTTTGTGATCTAGAATGTTTATTCGCATGATTTTAGCAAACAAATATTTAATTATTGATTTATTTAAATTTTATTTTTATTTAAAATTATATATTTTTAAAAAATTTGATGATATGATCAGTTATGTATATATACTATGTAGAATTTGATTAGTTGATTATTTCATATGCTAACATATTTTTTATCTTTTTATTTTTCTAAAAAAATGTTATCTTTGTTTTATTATATTTCATTGTATATAAATTATTAATTTCGAAATTATATTAAAATATTAAATTAATATTAAATATGTTTATGTATATTCAAAATAGATATGTTAACATATATTTAATTTTGAATCTAATTGTCCACTTTTTATGGTAAAATATTATTATGATTTACATAAATATAAATAGTTTTTGTTTTTGTTTTTTTTTTTGCTGTCATTAATTCTGTTTGGCAAATTGGTTTTAATTTCATGAAATTTTTTTTAAAAATTGGGGGTGTTTGGCTTTAAGTTGTCCTTCCCAATTAATATTATAGATACATAAATAATAATGAGAATTAATATCAAAATTCGGTTATAATTATAAAGTTATATTAATGACTATATATTTTGTTTTATATTTTAATTTTTTATCAGATATAGAAATGACAAATCAAAATCCGGTTATGATCTGAGTATTAAATAACTCCTATAGTATTGGTTGAACAATTTTAGGTATATTCTCTACCGATTTCCTAAAAACTAAATATATATACATATATATTTTTTTGGTCAACAACTAAATAATTTATAATCTTGAATTAAATTAAATTGTAACTATATTTTACATCGTATATTCCAAAAATATAGTAAAGATCACAATCTTTCCAATAATAAGATAATCATTTATTTATTCGCAATATTTTCGATATATTAGTTCCCTTAATAAGATTGTATATCAAAATCTAACTTTATGACCAAGATAAATGATTTAGAAAGTCCTAACTTATTTGATGCTTATATAAAAAAATATCGAGAACATTCATTTCTTTCATCAATACAAACGTTTCCAAGCAACAAATTTCAAAGTTGTCTATCCTTATTTCTCATGGTATCTTTTAGGAGTCTTTCAGATATGCAATCCTTTAAGAACATGTAAAAATGAAGGTTAATATTATATTTGAAAACAATAAGATATCTCTAGTACACATTAAGATATATACGAAATTTTCCTACTGCCTTCGACTCAACCGTTACAGTATAGTATCTATACTATTTCTAAGCTAACTTACGAGTTACATACTACTTATTTATTAAAAATTAACCCAAAAATTAGAGTATTACATTCCCTCAAATTCAATTACTTACAATATTAGAGAAGAGAAGAGGTTTGAAATGAAATCTAATTTTAGGTCTCGATAAGTAATTTTATGTCGCCTAGTGACCTACGTGATTAAATAGTTTCATTAAAAAAATAATAACACATGAATGAATCTACAATATCATTAGAATAAGTGTCAAAACACGATCTATATGAGGAATCATATATTATAGTTAGTAGAGAGTAATATAATATAACACCAACCATCATTTAGATAAGTTAATGAAACTATTGGAAGAGTAACTAATTATGAGACAAAACCAACAAGTTTTGCTCTGTTCTACACAAACACGTAATGGGCCTACTAAAGTTAAGTCCAATAAGAGAAAAGAAGAAGGCCTCACGAGTAAAACAAAGCCCACAAGGTTCAGTTCACAAACTCTGCATCAAGACATTAAAAACAGAGAATCGCTCCAAACCTGCAACATTCGTATGATAGATCACCTTCTGCTTTATGCTTCATGTCCTCTATATAAACAATAACAATGTAATCTTTTGAATTAAGTTGAATAAAGGTTTTTCACCATTATTGTCTTCTTCAAGCTTTTCTCAAGATCTTAAAAGATCTTTCACTAATTAGATAAGTTAAAGGTATTGAAATAACAAATTTGTTTGCACAAAATCTAACGTTGATTTCTGTATTTGCGGGTGCTCTTTGATATTATTGGGTGGGTCTGGGTCACGTACACACATTTGAAATACTAATTGAAGACAAAACAAAAAGATATATTTGGAGGATATGCAAAATTATGTACTTGCAGATTCTGTCAACCATGTCAAGTCGTTTAAAGCTTATATTTGGAATCCAGGAGTCGATGACTCATAAACATTAAAATTAAGGAATCAATATAAGCAGAGACATGGAGAATTTATTAGGTTTAGAAATTAAGGTTTATAATTTGGAGTTCAGACTTTTTAGATCAAAATTACTTTGTTAGTAAAAAGCAAATAGTGTTTCCTTAACTGTTTGTCTAATAGTGTAGACTCTTTATAAAATCCTCTCATAGTGATGTGAGAAGTACTTATGTCCGACTTTTACCGAAATGTTGTTAATTTGGATTTTATTTTGGTTGAAAAATGAAATTTACACACGCAGCTAAAGTCACGTAAGATGGAAAAAAATACCCACCAAAAGGTTTTTTTGCTTCTCACATATTTTTTTTTTTTTGAAACAATGCTTCTCACATATTTTGTAACGTTATAATATAGATTTTGACATGAGATTTGTGTATCTATTATAACATTTTTGAAGTACAATTTTTTGACCACACTATTAGACATCCGATTTTACTAAACAACCCTTTATAATAACACACTCAACATCAATCTTTAAGGATACAATTGTTATTTCTATAACCGGGTCGGTTTCTAAACAATAACTAAAACCCGATTGGAAGTTTTGGATCTTGTAACCGAAACGAAAAAAAATTGTACTCGATAAACTTTTTTGTTTTGGTTATCGAATACGGGTCTGTGTTTACGGCGAGAATCTTTCTTTTGTTGGCTACAATCAAAAAACAAAACCGGACCTACCCTAAATTGAGATTCCTCCATATTGTAATTGTAAAGATCATATTGTGGTTGCGACGCCGAGGGAGGAGTGTAGAGAGGTTGAGAGTGACGGTGATGGTTACTCTGTTTATTGTAAGAGAGGTCAAAGAGCAGCTATGGAGGATCATTTCTCCGCTATCACTCATCTTAATTCATGGAGATCGCAAACAGGTGAATTTCAATTTTGGTTTACGATTCTAGAGATTTGATTCGATTAGGGTTTGATTCAATTAGTCTTTTGGGAAAATTTGGAGATTTTGATTCGATTAGGTTTTGATTCAGTTAGGTTTGTGGAAATTTTGAGATTTTGAATCGATTAAGGTTTGGGAAATTCAGAATTTTTGAAACGAAGAAAACACGATTTCTTCAGGCAAAATTTGGAGTTTATGATGGTCATGGATGAGTTCAAGCGGCTGAGTTTGCAGCTAAGAACTTAGATGTGAACGTTGTAGAAGAAGTAGGTGGTAAGAGACAACAGAACGTTTAGGAATGGTCATTTCAACACTGTCGGTGGTAATTACGGTGTTAATGGTTATAATGGTGAGATGAGGAAAGCTCCAGCTGTGGAGAATACATTGCCTGTGAGGTTGGAGGATCTGTATAAAGGTGTTAAGAAGAAGATGCGGTTATCTAGAAAGGTCTACGATGCTTCTGGGTATGCTTTTCTTCTTTATCTCCCTCTCCATCTCTCTATATACACACAAACCAGAATCGAGAGCTAGAAGAATCTTTCCTTTAAGCATTGCAGTTGTACACATCTAATTGGATAGTTTTGGTGCTGGTTTGGCTGAGAAAGCTTATACTTTGAATTTCTTCTTTTGATCTCTGGATATGATTGTTATGCGTGATCACATTGAAGTTGTTGGAAAGAAAAAAAAGTTACTATGAGCTGATGACAAGACTGGCATGCTTAGTGAAACATAACAATGATTCTTATAACGATTTAACAAGCGTATTTTTACATTATTTTATTTATATGACCATGGAATATGCTTTAGATTTGACTCGGAGGAAGACTTGGTCAGTTTGTTAAAATGAGATCCTAATCTATTTATGTTGTCTCGACAGGCACACAACATGACACTATCTGAATTCTTCTTGAATGTTTACATAACACATAACAATATTCAATTTAGTTTCCCTAAATAAGAAAGTCCCAATTGTGTTTTTAAAAATACAAAAATAATATTGAAAAAATAAAATAAAAATCTCTGACCTGTGTATACATCGGTTTTTGATTTGGGATTGTAAATCGATGAGTTTATGAAAAAAACGGAAGGTGTGCCGTTGAGAGCAGCAATCAAATCGGCCACAAATTTGGGTATCTCAAGAATTATCATCAATTTGACTCTCAACAATTAATCATTATACTTGATTGATATTATATAAATCAACTACAAAAATGACCAACCAAACAAATATATTAAATCATTTTTGTAGTTGATTTATATAGTCTAGTATATTCCCAAGATATTAAAACATGTTTGAGAATGACAATATATATATATATGTTTTAAATCATTGTAGAAGTATATGATAACTATTAAGAATATATATATTATAGAAATCAATTTAAAAATCAGTAAAAAACATAATAGAATATAATAACAACATAAACTTATAAATATACATGTTCATAGATAACTAATACAATTCAAATTATATGATTTAATGTTGACGGTGTTTTTTTAAAAATTAACTTTTCATTGAAGTTCATGTCAAATTATTGTTATTATTGTTTATTTTGCTTTCGAACTTAGGTACTATCACGCTCATTATGAACATTAAAACTAATATCAAAATATTATTCTAAGCTATAAATTCTAAATATGTTATATTTTCAATAGGATAGTACAATATAAACATAATTTTTTCAAATCAGTTGGAAAAATTAAGCAAAACATATGAATATTGTATATCAACAAATTGATTCATGAACATTTTGTGATATTGCATCACCCAAACATATTTTGTACAGAAGATAATGAATTATTTTTGTCTATTGTGCAAAATATTTTTTGGACTATATTAAAAAAATAATGACACATATTTTGTACATCCGATGATAATATGTTGTTATTGTTTGGTGTGTTTAGACTCAACATTGAGAGAATATAATTAATTTAAATTGATACTTTAAGGTATTTCATGACTCCGATGCCTCCACCACCGAAGAAGGGCATGCCTCAAGATCCCGCTGTCATTACAACGACCATTTTAACTTTAGTTAAGACATCTATCTATCCATGCATTGTGCATATGTATGCTTAATATGTTTTTGAATCTTAACCTTAGTTAAGACTTAAGACATATCTATCTATCTATCCATGCATTATGCATATGTATCTTTGCTTTTATTTTTGTTTTTAATGTAAGCTAACATGTATAGTCGATGTGCATGTTTTATAATATTAATCCGTTTTACAAAGTGATTTTAAGTTTTTGTACGTACGTAGAGGTGTCAAAATGAGCCGTAGCTCGCGAGCTGGCTCAGCTCAGCTCAGTTTTTATGAGCATGAGCTCTATTTTTTAGGATCATTTAATAAATGAGCTATATGATCGAGTTCAATTTAGATCGTGAGTTATATGAGCGAACTTTAATGAACATGAGCTAGATCATGAACTCCACTTTTTTTTTAAACTAAATATTATATATTATATATATAATATATATTACAATATATATAGAAAATTTGTAATATATGTTTTCCATTAAATAAAACAAAATTTACTTTCCGATGAACACGTTGAAGATGCTGCTCTTCGATCATCTCAATAACAAAATTCTCACCCAAACATATTTTTCTTTTATCATTCTATTATTTTAATTAATTTTAACTTAAGTTTTAACTTTTGGTAGTTGGTTTTATTTACGATTTGAGAATTAAATTTTACTTCATTTTGATTTCTGAAACTTTTGTATTATGTTATCGGATTTATTATGAATTTTTTTTATAAAGTTTGAATTATTGTTATTTATAATATTTGTTTATATTAGCTCGCGAGCTTGCTCATTTAACTCATGATCAACATGATCTGAGTTCGAGTTTACATATTGAAGCTCATATAATAAATGAGCTGAGCTGAGCTGGCTCATGAAATACTCGAGATTGTCATGATCTGAGCCGAGCTGAGCGAGCTGGCTCATTTTGACACGTATAACGTACGTAATGGTTATCATAAGTATTAAGTATTAATAAAAACCAAAAAAGAGAACACAATAAATATTTATAATGATCACTAGCTAGCTAACTCTGGTTGTGCTGAGCCAAGGGACAAACATTTATATAATATGAACTTTGCTTTTATGATACCGTACCGGTCTAAATCGGACAAAAATCTCCCGGTTCATTGTTGGACATTTTGCCAGCCTATATAAAGCTGATTAATAATCGGACCAAGTTAAACCGATAATTAATTAAACCAAGTAATTGGATTAAAGTTTATCTCCATTAATAGTCTACGCAACCAACCGAACCAAAATCAAATTCAATGACCGAAACGGAGTCTAATTTTACACTTCAATGTTATAAATTGAGTTAGTGATGACAACCGACAATAAGATGATTAATCGTGATCATCGCAATACTGTATCTTTAGCCATTATTATGTTTATAATACAATAGAAAGTGATATACTTATAAATACATATTCACTATCCTCCATGTATCTTTATTTGTGCTTTCTATCTCTGTTTTTTTTTTTTCTTTTTTGAGCAATATGTGCTGTCTATCTCTTATGATCATTATTTCAAAGAAAAAAATTATGATCTTATGTAACAGTTTACATTTCATTTAAAATTAGCTTGTCATTTTTAATGTATATTTTATTTAATCATAAACATTGTATATTTATAATATTAATTCTAATCCCACGCATTCTTCCTAGTTATTTAACAAAACGAAACAACGCCACGTGTGAGAGAAATCACTACTCATGGTTTACATGTCCCTAACCGAAATCATCTCTACATTAAATTCCCGGTTCTATAGCGGTTCTTTCAAATTACTAATGAGAGAGTAAATTGACCACATACGACCCTATTTTGATCGATATAAACGGCCATTTCAAACAAGGCGGTTCATTTTTGTTCTTCTAACATTTGAATAAAAATATTTAATATCATTTGTGACTATGCTTTTTGTTCTTCTAACATTTGAATCAAATATTTAATATCATTTGTGACTATGTATAGTCAAGAACTTAAACAACAATTAATTCATAACGACAAAACATAGTTCATACTATTTTACTATATATCTATTATATAACTCTGTTTATAGATCGGATTATCACTTACTATATATCAATAATAAATTTGGTTTAGAAATTAAATGTATTGTTCACATATATTAATCAAAGTCAACAACAAAAAAAAAAAAAAAAATCAGATTCAATATCGCTCTTGGGATAAATCAAATACTACATGGTATATTAGGTATACTTCTCTAATATGATGAAAAAACATAATCTACTGTGAATTTCACTTAGATTTATATCAAACAAAAACCAAAAAAAAAAAGAAAAAAAAAACTCTATCGTCTTGAATGGTGATGGTGATAAGGTGAAGAGGCGGCTTGAATTCGAATTTTCCGTTTTTGAAGAAAACTTTGGAGGGATCTTTTCATTGAGGCCTTTGGATTTGGAAGCTGATGATCATAATGATTATGATGAAACCGGGTCGACTCGTTTGAAGGATCCGACCCGTTTGATCTGTTCGCCATTGATATTATCGACTTAGCCTGCATTCATACATATAAAAACACATTAGTTATAGCTAAATTAATTAATTTCACTAAAAACCTATGAATGTGTAATATTTAATGTACACACACATACCTGAAGATGGGTAACATTAGAAGAAACACACATCTTCCCATTGTAGAAAATTGTTAATCTCTGAGATTCTTCCTTTGGTTGTACTTGATGATCTCCAGAGATGCTTGATTCTATCACACTACTACAAAATCCAATAATTGCGTTAAAACTTATCAGATTCATGTAATTTTAATAAACTCTGACTTTAAATCAATTTTTTAAGAGACTCAGAGAGAGAGAGAGAGAGACTTACGATGTATTTTCGGAAGAAGAATAATCATAAGTAGAAGTTGGAGAAAGACGAAGTTCCAAGTCGCAAGTTTGCTGCATAGTCTTCATGTCGTATGGTATTGTACTGTGATCTGGTTGGAGATAAGTTTTTAGTTTTATATATATAGAGAGAGAGAGAAGGACACACGGAAGAGACGGTGTGGGAGAAACAGAACACGGATTTTATAACGGCGGACTCTTATTAGGACAAGACATACAGACAGACAGAACACAACTCTCAACTTCTTTTAATTCTCTCACGTGGAAAATGCTTTTTCTATTGTTTTATTCCTTTTTGTGTTTTTTTTTTGGATTATTATTTTTTTTTTTAAAGAAGAGAAAAAGTGAAAGCGCTAGTTAAGTTTTTGTTTGATACTTAATACTTATCGTAAGTTTCGCACATTTTCTTTCTTCTCCCTTTTTCCAAATAATTTAATAAACATATTTTCAGTTATTTTGGTTGACTTGTATTGGTTAAATTACTTATTTTATTTGTAGTATTTTTAATTCACCGGTGTAGACTACTAGCGATTACAATTACTATAGTGTGAGTGAGGCCTAATATTATATTAGGTTTGTAAAAGTGTTGACGGTGGTGGAGTCACAGCCACCGGTGTATTATAATGCATATATACATATTCTGACTTATTTTCAGGCGGCGTATCTCTTTTAGTTAATATTATCTCTGTGTGATCCTTGCTCACGCACTAATTAAAAAATCTTGGCGGTGTTTTTGACATAAAGTGTTTTGATGTACACAATTTGATTGATATTAAGATAATCGATTCACTAAAACACGTGTTTAGATTCCTTGCAATTTGCTAAATGTAAACATATGTGCCGGAAAGTAACGTTCCAAGCCGGAAAAGAGTGAGTAAAGTTCCAATTTGTATTTCTTTTTCTCTATTAGTTAAAAACTTAAAATTCATATGTCGACTGAATAAATATAAAATCCCATACAAAATTGTCATCTTTTCCCCCTATAAAATAAAAACAGTCATCGGAGACTTTTACTGTATTGACATTTCATACCAAACTCATTTGAGTCAATGTATCAATAATCTTCGTTAAGGCACGTGTTTTGTGTCTCCCATTCTCTTCTCTTTTTCCATATTTTCTTATTCAACATTCTTCAGCAAGATTATAATTATACGTTAATTTCTTATCAAATATAAATAAATGAGAATAGATATATACCATAAGATAACAGCCAGCCTCCATGTGACCGACTAGTACGTTCGTAAAATTTGGCTAAACGCATGAACCAACAAAATGATAATTTTATTTGCCGTCAAAAAAGTAACTAACGTTTATTTATCTTTCACCTTTGCGGCCGTACGTTAACATGAAAATTATAAACACGTGAGTCATGAGAAGTATGATATCATTATCAACGACCTTAATTAAAACCTTGTTGGTTACCTAAGCACCACATCAAATGATTCACGAGTTGATAAAATATCATTGTCAAATCTTATTTACGTACCTACAAAGTAAGTTAAGTCGACGGAATACTATTCAGTGTGCTGATATACCGACAATATAGACAACCAAAAAAGCACGTTGAAATATATATTAAAAAAAGTCATCGTTATGCAAAAAATATATTAGTCAAATGATGTATAAACACGACAATATCTCTACTTTCGAACTAAAGATGTGGTTGGTGTTTGTGCAAAATAACAAAATTATCGACATGGAATTGTGGGCTGTAGATCCAAAACTTATCTCAGTGATGTGAAGTTTGCAACTTGGCACGGTTTGACTCTGTTGGAATCCATCGTTATCTCGGTCTATTGTTATCTTAAAACCTTCATTTATGTGGCTGTCTTTTTTTTTCTTGCTCTATAAAGCTTTTTTCCAGAAGTAAACAAAATTTATTGCACTATAAGCAACATGAAAACGAAATACTGAGAACTGGGACGATAAATAATTTTTAAAAGATCATTTGATTAGAGCAGCCAAGAAAAAGAATGAAAGCATTTTTATAATTTTTTCTATTATGACAACTTCTTTAAGTTATTGGGTCCAAAGTTTGTTGGCCAAATAAATAAATCCAAAATTTACATCAAAAACTCATTTTATAGTAATGAAATTTTAGAGGACAACAACCACTACAAAACTCAATAGTCTCATAGAATAAGTAACACAAACGTTATTTGGATAAACTAAGAAATTCTATTATCAAGACTAGTTTCAAAATATATGGCAGCTATTTCAACTCTATGATGGGCCAAAAGAATATATATACACATAATAATCAATATATACCATGGAACTAGTATCACAACCTAGTTAGTAACCAACAAAGTTTTATACCTAAAGGTAAAAGATTATCATCATAATCAATATGGCTAAACCCCATCAATATACTTAAAATGCATAATCATTTTGTGAGATTTCAAGAAATCATTTCACATGGAAGGCTTTAGGTACCACCAACACACAAAGATTAGTATTTCCAGATATCTGAATTATTACAAACGAATCAATGAACAATGCAAAGTTTAGTTTCTATTTACCAACAATGTTCTCAATTGTTTCAAGAAACCAAAATCTAAACCAGTCATAACACTTGAGACGAGATTTTCAAATGATTTTAATACCAGTCATACCCATTCTATGAATGATCATAACTTCCGATCTCTGATGATCTGCTAGCCCCTGAATGGAAAGAGATTCTTGGTGATTCCAATGAACAATCTCTAATAAAACATATACATAAAGAAGCCTGACAAATCTTATGCATTGAGTAAAGATTTTTTTTTAAATTGGTATTAGAAACGTAATTTCTTTCATATATCATGAAGTGCAAGAACATAATTTGTTGTCATTTTTAAGGTATGAATAGAGAGTTGTTAGTGAAGTATAGGTTAGTGAGCGACTATTCTGATTTTTGAATATTTAAAGAAAAGAGAAAGCAGACGAACTAGGCAAATGAAAAATGATGGTGTGTTTATTACCTTAGGAGTTTATGTATGCATTCATGACCAAGGCCAATTAGCATCTCGCCACGCAAAGCGACATCCTCCAAAACTACTACTACAACCGTCGGCGTTTAACCCGCCGCAACGAAGTTCTTGATCACGTTTCTCTGATTCTTCTCTGTATGATGGGTTTGAGTATCTCGGGTGTTGGATAAAAGGTACGTTCTTCCACCACAGTTTAAGTGCCTATAAACGAAAAACAAATGGCAGTCAAGTTGATCAAGTTTTCAATATATGTTCTTGAAGATTTTGAGTATATGTCACTTACATGCCAATAGATCCAAATCGCAACCTTATGAGGCATCAACCAGAAGAAAACAGCAGGATCAGACACCTGTGTTGGAGGTATTCTTTTCGCCTTTAATGTTGCAGAGAAATAGTTACCGAGATGAGGATGCTTCGATTCAATGGAGACAGATAACTCCTCTCCAGGTTCATTAGCTCTTATTTTCCAGTTCCCAAGCATATCCTGAAAGGTTATGTAACTTCACTCTTAAGAACCGTTGATCAATCACTTAAACTGATAAAAAGATCAATCAAAGACCATACCAATATAGAGAACAACATACCATGAAAGGACTGACTTGTAATGATTTAGCAACCAAGTCAGATTCAGGTTCGAATACAAATGTCACTCGTTCCCCCCATGGCGTATTTGTAACCTACAAAACACTCGATTCATATCAATACAGAGACAGTAATACCATAAAGCCAATACAACAAGTAAGTGACTACACATTCTCTTCTTTGAACATATTTAGTCAGATTTAGTCAGATATCTGAAACAGTAAAGATGGTTCATCCCATATTCAGATTAGGTTCATCGCTATAGAATTATCTAACATATATCAACACATACTAGATATGTCAGCTACAAAAAACCTCTTTTCAGTTTTGAAAAGTTACACATGTTTGCAAAAACATTAGTAACCAACTAGACAAGATTGAAAGCTGAGAGACAAATCAAGAAACAGAGGAGCCAAAACATATCTAGATTATATATATGTACCTGAGCAATGCATTTAGTCAAACGCTTACTCGATCCATCCAAGTCGTAGCAATAATACAAACTCAATGGGTTTTGTTCATACCCAACGCTTGGTGGTATTGTCAACAGATAACTGCATACAACATTACAGATTCATCAACATTATAATTCTTCAATCACAATTACAGTTTCTAAAATGATAAAGATTCACAACAAAACTGTTTCAGACCAAACACTAAACTCAAATTTAAACAGCTCCTGTTCAAACAGAGTCTATATTCTCCAATTTTGGGAATTGAATCCAGTTTTTTTTTAATTTCGATTTAGGACAATTCAACAAACTTTAAACTTACATTGGCCCGGTGGTGTGAGAAACACGGCGAGCTTCGTCGGGGGAGAGACGATCCGGCGGCGTGGTGATAGCTTGATCGAGGTCAAAGAGAGCGTAACGAACAGAGTAACGGAAGGAGTGGCGGACAGGACGGAGACGGTCGTGCCAGACGGTGCCTTGGTAGAAAGAGACATTTGGATCTACGACGGCGCGTGAGGGGAAGAGACGGTGGAGAAGGAAACGAAATGGGAGGAGAAGAGAGAGTAAGAGAGAAGTGAGGGAATTGTAAAGGATCGAACAGAGGAGAAAAAGCAATTCCATATCTCTCTGGAGATAAAAGAGAAGATTGAAAGACCAAATAAATTTCAATCTTATCATAAGAAAAAAAAAAAGGAAAAGTTATTACATTTTTTTGTTTTAAACTTTTAATTATAAAGTTAATTAAGCAAAAACGTCTGTTTTTATTAATTGTTTATGATTGTTAATGGCGGCCAATGGATTGGTTAAGCTTGGTTTTGGTTTATAGCGTGGACGATAGTAAACCGCATATTTGTATTTGCAATCCGAATGGTTTTTTACTAGTTTTGACTTTTGAGAGCCATATCTTTCCACGTCCATTTTTTTTGGTTATATATTATTAATTGTTTCAGATTCTCAATTACAATTTTCATACTATTACTAGATTTTAACCCGCGGTATACCGCGGGACGACATTCCTAAAATGTATTTTTTTTATTAATTTTGTTTGGTATATAAGAGTGCACAACTATATTTTGATTGTTGATTCTATGATTTAACCCGCATAATATTTTATGATAATTTATTTTTTATATAATCGTAATTTAATCAAATTAATTAAATAAGTATAATATTTAAAATAATGAAATGATATTGACATAATATTCGTTTACATAGTATAATTTCATATTAAAATATTTTATGAGTTATACTATAGTAGACAACCCGTATAAATATCTATAATCATAATATTGGGATGGCAGCAGCGGGGGGTGTATTACGGGATGCGGACGGGAATTGGTGTTGTGGTTTCGCTTTTAATATTGGGATTTGTACGGCTCCGTTAGCAGAACTATGGGGAGTCTATTATGGTCTCTACATGGCTTGGGAGAAAGGGATCACACGGTTAGAGTTGGAGGTGGACTCGGAATTGGTGGTCGGTTTTCTAACAACGGGGATTGAGGATTCTCACTCGTTGTCATTCCTAGTATGGTTGTGCTATGGCTTCATATCGAAGGACTGGATAGTCCGTATTTCTCACGTGTATAGGGAGGCTAATCGTCTGGCGAATGGATTAGCTAACTATGCGTTTTCTTTGTCCTTGGGCTATCATAGGTTTATGACTTGTCCGGAGGATGTTAGCTCTTTTTTATTTGAGGATGTTATTGGGTCTGCGCATCCACGTTTTGTTAGAGTGTAGTTTTTTGTTTTTGTTTTTTAATTCTAGGGGATTTCCCCTTTCTTCCACCAAAAAAAAAAAAATCTATAATCATAATTATGTAAATTATAACATGTTCCATCACATGACCCGTTCTACACAATTATCAATAATACTTTAGTACATTCATTTTTGTATCGTTTGAGCTATATACATCCGTTTCTAAAAATTCAAATTACAACATATGCAAAAAAAATTAAAATTTTTATTATACATATGTTTATGTAATAATATAAATTTAAAAACAAATAAGATCATTTAAAGATGTTAGAGAAATATTTGATTTATTAGGGAGATATTTTAGGAAATTTGTTAAATGTAATGAATATTGATTTCTAATTTTGCAATTTTATTATGATTTAATTACAAATTTTATCTTAAACTTTTTCTATTTAATCAAATGGTAAAAGGTTAATTATGAAAATATCACAAAATAAAAGGGTAGAACACAAAAGGTACTTCAAAAATGTTAATATAGATTTTAGAATAAATATCATATTTTCTTATATATAAGAAAAATATTTACATTATATGTATTTTAAAAATATACAAAATATCCATAAGATTTAAAATTTTACTAAGTTCTGAATCTAATAAATCTGTTTTCCTAGATATCTAATTCTGAGTGGCTAGTTTACGTATTGGCTAAAGACATACTCGTTCTGTTACACAAAAAATGTTATTGTAGAGATTTTTTGTTTTTTACAAAGAGTGTTATTCTATATTTTTAATGTACTTTTAACACTAAATTTTCTAATTTACCCATAAATTCAAAGCTTATTCAATGAATTTAAACTATTAATCAATTATTAAATAAGTACAAACATGTATTTATTCACAATTTTCTTAATTTATGTGAAAAGAAAGAGTATATATCTGTTAGACAATTAAAAAACACCTCATCACACATATAACTTAAAAATCGATAAATTAATATGTATTAATGATTAAACAAGATTCAATTCAACATTGAAAACAAAGATAGGTGAAAAATAGATTGATATATCATATATATCTAATTAAAAAAATTATGACGTTTTTTTAGGAAATGTACTCACACGAAGAGAAATGATACAAACAAAGTGAACTAGATAAAAACAAAAAAAAACATATTAAATTTTAAACAAAAATAAAAAATTAGAAAATTAGATTAAAAAAATAAGTTAACAATCTAAATTGATAGCGCTCAGGTTCGACGAAGATAGTTGTCTTATATAGCAATTTCACACCGCATGGAGAATTTATCTCTTATTGTTTCGAACTTTAAAGTAGGCCTGGGCGTTCGGATATCGGATCGGTTTCGGTTCGGATTGTTCGGTTTTCAGATTTTTTGGATATTGATTCTAACATCCATTCGGATATTTATAAAATTCGGTTCGGTTTCGTTTTGGATATTTCGGATTTCGGTTCGGTTTGGATATAATTGTGATAATTAAATTTTAACCAAAATTTATTGGATTCGGTTTTATTCGGATATTTTTAAATTTAATTATACTCAAATAATCCATACTATCCAAGTATATATAAATAATAGAAATGAGGCATATGACAAGTTCAAAGAACCAACTAACATAATACCATACCAATATATAAAAGTGAAGCATAAAACTGTGTCGATGCATAAAAGCTTTAAATAAACCAAACTAAACCATAAATTCTTAATGAAAAGTAGCAAAATTCAGTGGCATCCTAAATCAATTAAAAATAATTTTTAATTCGATATGCGGCAAACGTATATATCCTAAATATATTAAAATATATATTGTATATATTCTAAAGATATTAAAGTATATATTATAAGTTCGGTTATATATGGATATCTATTGGATATCGGTTCGGATCGGGTTTAATCCGAAATCCAAAAATAATGAAAGCTAACAACCGATCGGTTATTTTTCCAATATCGGTTCGGTTTTAATTCAATTTTTTCGGTTCGATTCGGTTCGGATTTTCGGATTCGAATTTTATGCCCATACTTTAAAGTATTCCAATAAACGTCTTAACAATATTGCTGGAATATTAGTTCGTGTTACGTATTGAATCATGTATTTGATCTCTATATTTATATTTTGATATTTGCTCTGCATTACAGTGATATTTAGGATTAAAATTTGAGAATGCAATGAAACCGATAACGAAAAATATATACATAATACATCCATGGAAAACTAGTAATGTACACATTATAGTAAAATGTGATGCAACCAACTTGACCCAATAAAACCAAAATATGCATCGTTGTTGATACCAAAAACCCAAAAAAAGAAAAGAAAAAAGAGAACATGCATGGTGACTAAGACTTTTCACGAAAACAACCAAAATCTAAAGACCCATAAGTCTTCGAAAGCTTCACATTGGCTAATTAAAGACCTAGATGTTTTGTTAGACAATTAAACAAACACTTTCGTCACTCGATGATATCACTATATCAGTATGTGTTAATGATTAATCAAGATTTAACATTTAAAAAAAATGATAGGTGAAAAACGATTGATATCTCTAATTTAACAATTTATGGTGTTTTTCTGGAAATGTATGCACACATATATAGAAAAATGATACAAACAAAATCAACTAAGAAAATTCATAATTGAATTTTATGTAAAACAAATAATTAGGAAACTAAGACAAAAAAGTAAGTAGTTCACCAAAAAAAAAAAAAACAAATGAGTAAGTTATGATTCAGAGATTTTCTTTCTACAGCTTTTAAAAAAAAAAGTTAAGTTTTTACTCTTATTCCTAAAAATCAGTTGGACTCTTATTCTCCCTAAAATAAAAATTCTCAACTTAATTTCTCCGAAACCAAAGTTCGAGACCTACTTATCCACAGATCTAGGTTTTTACTGGTTTATTGTTTATTTAACCATCTAATAAAGAATTTAAATTTGATTAAACTTCAAAAAATTTCAAAATTCCCTTTAGAGATTATCACCATTGTTTAATCCAGTATTGAGGATTGAGAAATTTTGGGATTTCGGGATAGGTTCTAATGAAAATTTAGAGATTGTCGAAATTTAATCGAGTTTTGTTTAGTTAATTAAATAGTAAACCTGTAAAAACTCAAAATTGGGAGTAACTAAACTTCAAAATTTAGTTTCGGAGAAAATTAAGTTAAGAATTTTTATTTTAAGAGAAAATAATTTACTCCTAACATCCACATACCACATAATATTGGGAAATATTAGAATAATACAACGCAATATATCGATACCAATAAATCCAGGACATGCATGTTTGTTGTTGATACCAAAAACCAAAAAAAGACACGCATGATGGCGAGGACGTTTCTGCGAAGACAACCAAAACAAGGAAAAAGACAAGAGTTTTCGATATTACTCATAAGACAACCAAAACCTGAAGACCCATAAGACTCAAATAAGTCGTCGTCTCGTCGATATTCAACCTTGTATGAAATAGAAATTTAGATCGAAAATAAAGTATGGTTCAGAGATTTTCTCTCTAGCTAGAGCTTTCAAATCTTATAAACGAAGTTTAATTTGTTCATTATATAATACTAAAAACGAAATTTAAAACGAGAATATTATTTCAGTGTTAAATCTCAACATGCTCGGATTAGGCGAAGATAGTTTGGTTAAATAACAATTTCACAATATTACGCAAAAGTTATCGGATGAAAGAGCATGGACCATTTCTTTAGGTTTATAATTTATGATTGTAACCCCTAAACATATAATTTATGACTGTAACCCCTAAACATGTTTATAATCAATGAAATATTTACATTTTTAGCAAAAAAAAAAAAAAAAAAAAACCATTCCATGGAGGGTTAATCTCTTGAGTGTTTGTTCAAGTCTTTCATTAAACGCCGCCTTAACAATATTGCTGGATTTTGTTTTGGTTACGCATAAAACCATGCATGTATTTGATCTCTTTACCTATATTGCGATTTACTGTGATGTTTAGGATTAAAATATGGCAATCAATAGTGCAATGAAAAACTAGTAACAAAAAAAATATTTATATCTAATATTAGAGTAAAATGTAATGCAACCAACTTGACCCACTAAAACCAAAATATGCATGGTTGTTGATTCCTAAAAAAAAAAAAAAAGAACATGCATGATGACTAAGACATTTCACGAAGACAACCAAAACCTAAAGACCCATAAGACTAAACTAAGTCTTCGATAACTTCACCATATCTCTTACCTCGTTCAGGCTCGGCAAGGGATTTTTTTTTGGATAATATCATTAGAAATGAAAAGATTAGGGATTAGAAATTGTAAAGCCTAGAGTTTTTTTGTCTAGCCCAAAAAAGAATAAAAACCAGACAACAAAACAGGTGAAACACAATAAAGAAGACTCATCTAATCCGAAGTTGCTTTAAGTTTCCAAAATGCTTCCTTTGGCGACGAGCTGAGATAACATTCCGTTCGGCAAAGATTTGATTATAACAATTCACACTACGTCCAAGAGAAGGGAACCGCATGAAGAGTTAATTAATCTCTTGAGTGTTCGAACTTTAAAGTCTTCCATAATTCCATTAGATACCTAAACAACATTGCTGGATTATTATTTTTTGGTGATGCACAAAACCATGTATTTGTATTATTATTGCGATGTTCTATGCATTTACTGATATTTTCGATTAAAATAACGGCAAATGAAAGCGGTAACAAAACAAAAGAATTATTACATCCACAGAATACTGGTAAATAGTAGAGTAATGCAATGCAACCCAATAAAACCAAAATATGCATAATTGATGCCAAACAAAAAAAAGAACATGCATGGTGGCTAAATCTTTCTCCGAAGACAACCAAAACTACTAATTTTCTTTTTGTTATTAAAAAAAAAGAAAAAAAAGACACCCTTGAGACAACTAAATCTTCGATAGCTTCAAGTACCTTATCCCTTAGACCACCATTATTGGTACCTCTCTCAAACTTGCATGTCTCTAGTCTATATAAATGCATGAACTTGGGTCATATTGATAAGTAAACTAAGAGGGAACAACATTAAGATGAGATCCTATAAACATTTTTGCATGCTTCTCCTTCTCCTTCCCCTTCTTGTGTTTCCACATGAAGTCCATGGCGCACAAATGGGAATCCGCAAGCTCAGTGAGTAATTTTTTGTTTGTCTTTAAATATTCGTAAGTTATTACTATTTTGCTTTTTTCGTTTTAGTTAAGCTTGTCAAGCTTAACTAAAGTTCGGTTTATTTAGGTCTTTTGGGTTTCTTTTATATAAACTGAATCTAATATAAAATGCGATATTATACATTAAATCAAACTATTTTTACTTTTTCAAGAAGTCAATAAATTTACATTTTATAAATTTAGCCAAAACAAAACAATTTTGGTTGTACCACATTCTGATTTGGTTTATCCGGACTGAATATATTACATTCTCATTAGAATTAACAATCAATAAAATTTGACAGTCTAATAAGTAATATGTATGTGTAAACTGTTTTATCGGTGCTGATGGTGTAGAGGAGACAAACCATGTTGATCGTCCAGTGACGGTCGAGCCCACTCGGTTTCCATTTACAAAGTTTCCGTTTATTAAGCCGCGCACCCCGACTCTTCCGCCCCATCGAGAACCTCTTTGCTCGAAAGTTGATTATTGTTCGCCTCCTCAGTCCCCAAAGCTTTTGGGATCTGGTCATTAACCTCCATAAGGTGTCAAAAGAAGTTGAATGAATTAAGCGGCCGATGTAGCTGTTAAGCTACGTACCTATCTATCCAGTTACTTTTTTTATGCTTTTAATATCGAATTATGTATTTCCAGTTTGGTTGCAATCTCTTTTCGAAGCTGATTTGCGTGTGTACCATGTTAATTATTTATGAATGTACTGTATGTTGAATTTAAATTTAAAATATAAATAAAATGGTCATGATCTAGGTCAATGACAAAAAAAAAAAAAAAAAAAAAATCAAAGTCTCATTTGATTTATGGCCAGGGGCGGACCCACAGCCAAGGTGGTGGGGGCAGCTGCCACCAGCAAAAAAAAAAAAAAAAATATTAAAAAATTATTAAATATTATTAGAAAACAAAATCTGTCCCCACCAAAAAAACTACTTTTCTTCCTTTTTCTTGTAAAGCCAATTAATCCATATACCAAAAAAATATATATTAATATATAAATTAAATACTTACTAATCTGGACCTAATTTTTTGTTATTTTCTTCTTCTTTAGTCTTTTGGTTTTTTTGTGTGACAACAAATCAACAACTATCAATTTGTGAGTTTATTTTCCTGCTTTTTTTATAATCGTTTCTATTATATAAGCATTATTTTTTAGTCAATTAATTTTATTTAATCAGTTCAAGCTTATAACTATGTTTCCTGGAAAACATTATATAGGTTTTTATGTTATACATGACTATATTAGTTTTTGCAGTGATAATTGTTTATATGTTTATTCTATGGTTAAGCTTTTATGGAAGTTTGTTACATAATTTAAAATTTTAAAATTAATAAATTTTAAAATATAAGTCTATAAATTAAAAAATTTCTAAATTTTTAATTTATAACATGTTTTTTTTTTTAATTATTTGAATATGTCACAAATGAAAATGTGGTAAAAAGGTTTCAATTGTTAAATGAGCGTCTGAGTGGTTTTGTAAGATGTTTTAAAGTTTTTACATGACAATTTTATGTCTTTTATAATTTAGTATCTGATAGTTTTTTTACTATATTTTTGCCTCCATTGAACAAATTTTCTAGATACGCCCCTGTTTATGGCGGGTTTCCTGACTACATAAGTACCAATCAAAGTGTATTAAATTTTGGTCTGAGATGGAGAGATGAAAAGCTGAAAAGGAGGTCCTTTGGTTTTGGTCATTAAAAAAAAAAAAAACGAGCTCATTAGTTGAAGCGATGATTTGATTAATAGTTCTGACGTTGGCCCAAAAATGTATAACGATTTGTTTGTTTTATATTAACTTACGGTTAGAAATAATCTTGGCTTGGCTATTTACTGGACGATGCTAAACTGCATATTTCATATTTGTATTCCATCCGAATGATTGATAATTAACTAGTTTTGAGAGCCACATCTTTCGTTGTCCATTTTTTTTTGTTTTTATAGTAGTAATTTTTTCAGATTCTTAACTGTATATAACTGTATATATTTTTATAAATTGTAATGGAATACTCTATAAATTGTAATGGAATCAGTTACGAATCTGAAAAAATCAAATACTATAAATTGTAATGGAATCAGTAAAACATCTATAAATTAATACTCTATAAATTAATAAACACTATAAATTATAATTTTTGCTGGTCCCAATTTTTTTTTTATGTTTTCTGTTTATAAATATGCATCATATTCATTTTTTGTTTTGTTTTATAAGATGTTAAAAGATAACAATTAAGGTTTTAATCATATATTTGATTTTTTGTATATAACTGTATATATTTTTAATTTATTGTTAAATTATTTTTCTAAATATAGAATTCAATTCTAAACTACAAAAAATTATATAATTTTAAAACGAATCTTATTTTTGTAAATCGTCCATTTCATAATTTCAAAAAACTTTAAGAGTTAAAACTTCTACTATTAATTAATAATTATTAATTTACACTATAAAATAATAAATATTAATTTATAGATAAATTAATATCACTATAAATTAATAAAATAGTGTAGTCCCAACATTATTAATTTATAAAGGTTTTACTGTACTTTTTAATAAATATCACATTTTCTTATATATATGAAAATATCACATAATGTATACAAAGATACATGAAAATACGGTACTCCCTCTCTAATTAAAAAGTTGGTTTTGGACCTTTTGGCTTTTTTACACAAATTAAGGTAAAATTAATTATTTATTAATAAATTAATTTATTATTACTTTTTGATAAAAATATAAAATATAAATTATTAGATAACTACCATATGAGAAAATCATAAAGTGAAAATATAGTTTTAGTTTTTTGATCTATAAAATCAGTCTTTTTAAAACAAAACTAGATTCGGACCCGCACGTACGTGCGGAATTGATTTCAAAAATAAAATTTATTATTAAATATTAAAAAATATTACGTAAACGTAACTCTTAGGAATGTTATTAACATTTATAATGTAAATCCATACCAGTTTAGTATTTGATTCGTTTTTGAATCATTTTAAACAAAAATAAAGATACGATTTGGTTTTGTTAAAGAGAATTGTTAAAACAAATGGTAAAAGAAATGTGGTTTCTCTATTCCGGGACATAAACCCAGTCCTATGCGTTCTAATATCTCAAGTTTTTCCATCTCATAACTATTTTAATAATAATTTACCTATTTGAGATTGTATATTTTAATCAAACATAGAAAATAGGTCAATGTTTTAAAACATAGAACTATATCATCGATATAAGTGTAGATGCTATTGATATGTTTGGAATCTATATTTGCTCTTTGTGTCCCAATCCAACCGCGTTAAGATTATATGCATTTAAAATGCCTCTGCTAATTATTCTTGTTTATGGAAATCCAGCTTGTGCCTCCTACTCTAAATTGTTGCTTTTTTGCTCTAGTTTAGATCCAGATTTCAATTCGTAGAGCTACGCGCGATTAGGAATAGCAAAACAGGATTACTACACTCTCTGAAGAAAAAGTAGACAATTGAGTAAAAACAAATTTGCTGAATCTTTTGATTCACGTTTATAGTATAGATTAAATATGTTCATTATCTTTTGGTCACAATGCTTTCATTTACATAAACCATAACAATACTTTTGTTTTTCCAAACAAAAAGTTAAGTGAGAATACCGATAGCAATTAGCGTTCTTCAACAAAGGTAACTCTCTTGTTTCAATCTTGAATGTTTGTTTAGTGGGATGAAAACATAGACATCATCATACATTAGTATATAAAAATTTTACAACCAAATACAATTTATAGAAGAAAAACAACTAAAAACATTTGTCCCATGATGCTTCTTTCAATGTTATCTACAAAATTCCCAAAAAAAAACTGATGAGGATGGATAATATATGAACGACGAACAGTAATTAAGACTACTCATATTACAAATCTCTGTTAATGGTTCAAGGAGAACTCATATCAAGACTTCTCTGGTATTATCCAAACCTCAAATTAGTCACTTCAATGTTTTTGTTACTTTAGTATAAGCAACACTTACCAACAAATAATCTTTTATTTAAAATAAGTTTCTTACCTGATTTTTTTACTATAAAATGTGCCTATGCTTAGTACCCTGAAATTGTTTGATCCATGAACCATAGTACTTACTCTTAAGCACCTTGACATATGCCTTCTTCATTGTGTGATGCATTTTTGATCTCTTTGAACATTAAAATACATAAGATTAGTAAGTGGAATGAAAGATATAATTGAGTATTAGTTCTTATCTCATGTAGAGACTTACAATATAATTAATTAGCAAGAACGACTTAAATAGGTTTCTTCCAATTCACCATATTGCACCAAGACATTTGAGTAGTTTGAGGTAGGTGACCAGAAGGTGTAGCCATATTTTTTTGCTATCGTTTTCCTCTCTAGAGATGGCGAGAGAATTTGGTAAGTTAAAAATGATTAAAGATATCACTACAATATTTATACTTAACAAAACCGGCTGATAATTTATAGATAGTTTTTAAGGTTTGATAAGAAGAAATCTTTTATACAATCTCATTAAGCACGTAAAATTTAGTTTGAAAATAGGAATATACTCGTAACAATCCGAATATAGTAAAAAGAAAATCTATATTTTATAAATAAATATAAAAGTCTATTAGAAAATATGTATAGATTTCCTAATGGTTCGTTGATGTTATGAAATCTTTTCTGAATTGGTAGTTACGTTACTAAAATACAGAAATATAAGTTTAAAATGATGTGCTTATTGATTTTTATAAACTGTATTTTCAATTCTTTCCTCAAAATTTTGGCTTTTGAAATCAGCATTAAATATTTGAAGTATAATTTGGATAATGATTAATATTTAATTTTCATTATTGTAATCTATATTATTTCCGTCATACCAACCAAAAAAAATCTATATTATTTCCGTGTATATATATAAATTAAATAGAAATAAAGATCAAGAATTTTATGAAGTGCGATTAATTATGAGGTGGAATTGATTGTAAATAAAATTAAATTGTTTACCTAATATCAAAAACGTTTATTTACCTAATTTAAACTGTTTACGTATATATAATTAATACTATAAATATCAATTTATTTTAAACACTTTCAAAAATTAAAATATTATAATAGTTTGAAATATATTTGTTTAAATTAGGTAAAATGTATTAGAAAAATCTAAAATATGTTTACAAATATAAAATTTCGAATTTAATAGGCCACATTTTATGATAACAAATTTATTATGGTTTCCATGAATATTGGTTAGTTATTAGTTTTGATTTTTTATTTATTTTAAAGCATATTTTTTCATTTGAAAATCTGTCAATAATTCTGTTTGGCTATAGGTTTAGGTCACATTTTATTTCATTATTTTGATTTAATCTTGTTTGGCAACACTTACAAAAAGTGCTCCCCTTTAAATAGGATAGATGTTTTTCCAAAACATCAAAACAGAGGAAGTATTACTCTGCAAGCTTGTTCATTGAGTACTATGTGTTCTCCAAACCAAACATACACACGTGTCACTTTCGCTGTAAATCAACACGCGTCATGTTTTTATTGGTTATTACACAGTAGAGATGGTTACATATAGATCAGATATATTTCATCATTTCATGGCGATGAAAACAAAGTAAACATGTGGATTTGATTGCACAATTTAGATTTTATTTTATAAATAAAAAAACAAAAGCAATTCAATTTCACAACTTATTGTTTTGTTTTGTTAATTCTTCGATTACTCCGCTTGGGTGACTGTATCGCCATTTCTGTTTATAAACACACAGCAACACTTGTATAGTTAAAGTGTTTTCAAAAATTGTGCAAAAATGTCTTCGATCATCCATGGAGCTGGAGCTGCTACGGCGTTATCTACTTTTAATCCCGTCGATTCCAAGAAACTCGTCTCTCCTTCTCGCACTAATCTTTCAGGTTCGATTTCGAAATTTTTGATTGACGATCTATCTACATTTCTCTGAATTGTTTTGGAGCTTCCGATTCTGATTGATTTTGTGATGAGATCTTAAAAAGCAGTTTTCGTTGTTTGATTTTGATGTAGTGAGGAGTCAGAGATATATTGTGGCTGGATCTGATGCGAGTAAGAAGAAGAAGAGCTTTGGTTCTGGACTCAGAGTTGGTCACTCTCAGAAATTGATTGCAAATGCTGCTGTTGCGGTAAATTGTCTCTTTTGATTTTGTATTTTCTTAGGGTTTTTTTCTCCTTCTCGTCCTTTGAATATGTAATGATTTCACGGCCTTTGTTCCTTTTTTGTGTAGACGAAGGAGGCGGACACATCTGCGAGCACTGGGTTTGTATTTTCACATTTTTACTCTTTGCAAATTGGATTATTACTCAATTTTGAGCTGATTGAAGGATTTAGATACTGCTTGTACAATTCTCGGATTAGATCTCATCAATGCCTTTGGTTTCCCTTGCCTCTGCCTTGTTTGAAAATATATTGCTTCTGAATTATTAGAGTGTTTCTATATTTTTGTTACATGGTAATGGGATTCAAAGATGGTTAGAGACAAGGAAGTTTTAAACTATGTGCTATTGAGTGTGGTGATTTAGAATCTTAGCCAGTTCTAGATTAGACAAAAAACCCAAGTCTTTGTTGAAAAGAACTTGATATAAGACATATCTCTAGAGATGCTAGTTTTGAATTTGATAGTTGATAATGCTGGCAAAAGCTGAGTGTTTTGCATGTCTTTGCTTCATAGTCTTCCTATTGAAGCCTTTCGTTGTAGTTATCATGCTAGATGTTTTGGACCTTTTAATTAAACCATTAAGTTCATTCCCATGAACACATGCTAATCCGCCCCAGAACATTTCAGTATTTCAAAAAAGCATTTTGTCTCGACATAATCTGCAATTGATTTGGCTTGTGTTACATTCACAATTCATGAGACTTTCCATCCTTTATGTGCTCTCTGCTTTTCTGTAGTTGTTGGTCACAACACGATTATAACCAAACTTTTTCATATATTTGAACCTGCAGACATGAACTATTGCTTTTCGAGGCTCTTCAGGAAGGTTTGGAAGAGGAGATGGACAGGGATGCAAATGTATGTGTTATGGGTGAAGATGTAGGCCATTACGGAGGCTCCTACAAGGTAACCAAAGGTCTTGCTGATAAATTTGGCGACCTCAGGGTTCTCGATACTCCTATTTGTGAAAATGCATTCACTGGTATGGGCATTGGAGCTGCCATGACTGGTCTAAGACCCGTCATTGAAGGTATGAACATGGGTTTCCTCCTCCTCGCCTTCAACCAAATCTCCAACAACTGTGGAATGCTTCACTACACATCCGGTGGTCAGTTCACGATTCCCGTTGTCATCCGTGGGCCTGGTGGAGTGGGACGCCAGCTTGGTGCTGAGCATTCACAGCGGTTAGAATCTTACTTCCAGTCCATCCCTGGGATCCAAATGGTTGCTTGCTCGACTCCCTACAACGCCAAAGGCTTGATGAAAGCCGCAATAAGAAGCGAGAACCCTGTGATTCTTTTCGAACATGTTCTGCTTTACAATCTTAAGGAGAAAATCCCAGACGAAGAATACATCTGTAACCTTGAAGAAGCTGAGATGGTCAGACCCGGGGAACACATTACCATCCTCACTTACTCGCGTATGAGGTACCATGTGATGCAGGCAGCAAAAACTCTGGTGAACAAAGGGTATGACCCTGAGGTTATCGACATCAGGTCGCTGAAGCCATTCGACCTTCACACAATCGGAAACTCAGTAAAGAAAACACACCGTGTTTTGATCGTGGAAGAGTGTATGAGAACCGGTGGGATTGGGGCAAGTCTTACAGCTGCCATCAACGAGAACTTTCATGACTATTTAGATGCTCCAGTGGTATGTTTGTCTTCTCAGGACGTTCCTACACCATACGCTGGTACACTGGAGGAGTGGACTGTGGTTCAACCGGCTCAGATCGTGACTGCTGTTGAGCAGCTTTGCCAGTGAAATCATACTAATCCAGTGAACCATTATTTATCATTTACCTCTCAGTTTCCTTTCTCTCTAGTTTAGCTTTTTAAAGAATTTGTCTAAGTGGAATTGGTTTTGTTGAAGTTTATCTCCTTCGTCGCGTCTTGGAATGTTTCGTCTTTGGTTTTGTAACTCTGAATGTTTCGTTTGTTGTTTACCTCCCACTCTTTTTATAAGCCCTTAGAATTTTTCTTTACACTTAGTTTCCAAACAAACAAAGATCTTTACATTGATGGTGCTAACTACAAAACATTTAAATATTAGATTTCTATTTTACACTTAGTTATGAACACATACACAACTTATTTCTTTCTGAATCCAAACAAAGACATTATTACAATAACCCCATGTTAAAAAAGAACAAAAACCAAAACCTTCTAGTACCAATAACCAACCAATTTACAAAAGAAACACCCCTAGTGAAAAAGCTTTTGCATTCCAAAAGGGTTCTACTAAAAAGAACCCACCCCCAAAAAGAAGAAAACCAACAGTTTACAAAAATTACAAAAAGACAAACATTGCTTTTTCTGTTTTCTTATATTACCACTTGGCTGATTTACATTTAGCAGCTCTTCCTGTATCATTCAAGAACGAACCAAAAGTCTTGATGACTTCTTCGTACGTTGGCCTTTTGTAATCCACAGCTTGCTCTATTACTTCTTCCGGTTTCGCCCATTTCCACTCCGCAAACTCCGAATCCGCTTCATTGTTCGCTAGATTGATCTCTCTTTCGTCCTCATCGTTCCTCAGTCTCACTAAAAACCTATGGGATTCATTAAAGTTTCAGCACAAATGAGCCATATTCTCTTCTTTGGCTCGAAACTAGGCTGTATCGTAAGACTTACCATTTCTGTGCTTGACCGTGCCATTCACCGCCCCAAAGACGGTTTACCTTTGCTTTTACTGCAGGTGGGAAATCATATGTCAACCAACTTGGGACCTGTTTTGGCCATTGAAGAACCAAAATTTGTAAAATTTCTGATTCATATTGGTTTTAGTATTATATCAAGTGTTGTATAAGCTTAACTGACCTCGGAGACTATTTCAGCTGAAACGACCCCAGTTTCTTCTTGTAACTCTCTCATGGCTGCTGACTTTGGATCTTCCCCATCTTCAATGCCTCCCTATAACAGCCAAGGTTTACCATAATCACAAACAGTTTCAGTTCGTCGATCTAGTAACATATATTCAAGATTCTTTATCAAATTCTTGATCATCATTTACGTTTTCTCTAAGCAACAAAAATACATAGAAACAGAGAAAAATATATAGAAAACTCGCAAAAAATATATCATATCAAAAGAGAGTGAGCAACACACACACACACCTGTGGCATCTGCCATGCTCCAGGAACATTCAATCTAGAAGCTACAAATACCTGTTAATCATAATTATGGTCAGTAAACTCAGTACTAATACAAATGGGAAAACAGTAATATCAAATAAGACAAGCTTAAACTAAAATTGATATAAAATGTTACCAGATTATCCGAGTTGATTAGACAAACACCAACATTGGGACGATAACCAGGAGGTAGATTCTCCATTTTGCTGAAAGTAAAAAATTAGAACTCAATAACTTTAATCTAATATAAAAACTTATGATATGATTACAACAACTTAATAAGTTCATCTAACATGAAAATTACGATGAAATTTATAAACAGATCATAGAATCTTGACAGGTTCTCTCCTAAACCAAAACCTTATTACTCTATTGTCTGAATTTGGATCGAACACAACAAACTAGATAGATACAAATTTAAACCATGTTCAATTCCTAGTCACACTAAACAAAAGATAGAAAAGAAAATCAAGAAATGTTTACAAATCTAGAGAATAAGAAAATAAAAGAGTCAAGAATCATAAACAGAGTTCGTAATTCAAACACATAGAAACAAATCAAGAACATACAGATCTGAGAACAAGAAAAGAAATAAAACCATCGAACAGATTAAGGAAACAAACCTTGTAAATATATTTTTGTGGTTTGACTTTTGGAAAAGCAAGAAATGAAAAGAAAGAAAAAGAAAGCTTATAAACCCAACGAAGCAGCAACGAAGAACATGTGTGTATGTGTGTGTTGCTTTGTTTTTCAAAAACACAAAACAAAAACAAAAGCACACGTATATATTATAAATCTTTTTACATAATATATACACAGAGAGAAGAGAGAATTGGATTCGGTCTTTTGGAAACGATGACGTTTTTGCTTGTGAATAATCTCAGGTCTGACTATTTGGCATCTTATTCTAACTGTTTGTATTGGGCCGGGCCCACCGACGACTTATAAAAATCCAGTTGCCACGTGTATAAATAAACATCAATTGTCAAAGATAAATTAAAAAGGCATTTTTGGTTTTTTTTTCGGTGTTTAATTAATTTTTATAGACGTTTTAATTTACAATTTTTTTTCCTTTTTGTCAACGTTTTTATTTATGTTTGTTTGATTTATATATATGATGACCCTGGACCCCTGGTTGTAAGTTTTGGTGTAATTAATTTTGATAGACGTTTTTAATTTTTACATTATTTTTTTCTTATTTGTCAACGTTTTGATTTATGTTTAGTTGGTTTATATATATGATGACCAGGTTGTAATTTTCAAATTTAGTTGACCAAAATAATAAATAAATATACTTCAGGTTTCTTAACTTGTAATGTTAAAATTAGTTGACTTTACTAAGAGGGAAATTAATTACAAATTAGAAACTATGTATTTGCAAAATTAAAATACAAAAAACTTATTAAAAGTGTGATGTCATTGACACTTTGTGATAAGGACAACAACCAAAAAAGAAAATATACTACTGTATTAGCAAGTTGGGCAAAAAGAAAAAGAAATGATTTGGAGAAATTATAGGGTAATGATAAAAATAAAATAAAAAGATGGTGTAAGTTAATGAGATGAGGTGGAAAGCAAGTTAGTAGAAAAGGCGTACGATAAAGGTAGAGAAAAAAGGTTTTTGTGGGAGGAGATGGAGTCAATGAGTGGACAGAGAGACGAACGTGCGGTGGTGGGGAAAGCCATTGGAGTTGACTTAATAGTGATTTCATGATTTCATTTTTTTGTCATTATTATTTACGACAAGAAACAGTATTATTATAATTTGTCTTTGCACTCAATCACGGATCATGAATAAAGCTGCCCACCCACATCTCTATCTCTCTTCTTTTGTTTTGTTTTTCTTTTATCGGGTAGGTTACTTGAGTTCATCGTTATCATAGAGAAAGTAACACGTATTACATAAACCATTGTTTTGATTTTTGAAGCTACCTTGATACTTTTCCACGACCAATCAAAAACATTTGAAACTTTTTACCATCTTCTAGAGTAGAGTCAAGACTTGTGGATAATAATCATGTTGAACCCAAATCTTAAGTGCAAAAGAGTGCATGATGTACACTATCGTTGGTGTGTGTGTTAGAGAAAGAAATAAAACTATCATTGGTGTGAGAGAACTTCAAAAAGATCATGAATACGACCACTTGTGGTAAGGATTTAGGTGCAACAATTGAAACTAGTTATAGTAAAAAATTCACCAATAATTTTATATTTTTGCTAAGATTTTCTGATACTTAAAACTTGATTTCTTCACACACCACAACAATATATTAATTATTCGGACGAAGAAACTAACACACACATCAGCTAAATCAGTTAATATTCGTGTACACTCCAATTCTGATTCTTAAACACAAGTCACTTCAAATATTCGTGCATATCCATTAAAGAATCAAGACTATTATATATCCATTTCTCGTAAGTTATTGGTTCGTTTTGTCATGTTAAACTAAGAAAGAGTTTTTTGTCCAAAAAAAAAAAAAACTAAGAAAGAGTTTCTTTTGGAGTTAAGAGGCCACGAATTTCCCATTAAATATCAATTAGGTTACTTAAATTTCAATTACAAATGACTATCTTAACTTCATCATCGTTTGAAGGTATTTTATAGTGAAAGATTACATGAATGGCTTCACAACTAATAGTTTTGCTGAGCCACAAATCCACCATAGACTACACCACGTTTATAATGAAATCTTCTACTCAAAATATATTAATTGGGCAACGACTATTATATCTTTACATATATAAACGTAACCCTATATATATATATATATCTCTGATAAATTTGCTTCCATTTATCTGAATATATATTCTCATTAGCTAGAAATCGAACCCATAACATTGCAGTTAGCACAGAAGCTAGGAGACTAAGGTGAAAAAGATTAAACTATTTTGTATGCAATGCCCTAGATTTAGTGCAAATGTGCAATATATAATAATGACCACACAGAAATCTTTTATTTAGGTACACAATTGATATATATGATAAGAGAACATGTAAAGTAAAAGTCTAATGTAACATCAATGCGTATGTGAGATAGAGTATGCAAGTTTTGCTCAAGAACATGCATAACCATGTATACAAGCATTCAATCCCACAGCTATTGCCAATAATTTCAAGTTTTGCATTAATAAACGGTAGAGTTTAATTTTTAATCACTGGTTGAAAGTTTACAAGGGTCGATAAAATCTACCACAACTTGATCAAGCATTCATTCAGATTTCATTGAAAACGGATTTGGACATTCAAATCAATATCTTGTCACGCATGGGGAGTTTGGAGGTATGATCTTCAGAGATGATGAGAACATGTTTATTTTGGACCACCAAAGGCCCATTAAAATACATGTCATGTTGTTTAAGGACATGCCCGGCTCTCAAAGTTAATGTTTTGTTTATTGTCCGTCATGGTACTTAGGCCATATCATATGTGACCCAACTCGTTTCGTTTTGTTCTTTTAACGCTATATGGACTAGCTAGTGGAACATGAATTATGGTAACTATTAAGAAAATAAAAGACTAAGAGAGGACATAATAGATGGCTTCGATATCATATTAGTGATATATGTACTTTAGCTTTTAAAATTGTTTTAATTATCTCATGTGGAGTACTTTATATGTGTTTTGGAATGTATAAAATTTTTACAGTATCTATTTACCACTTTTTAATTAGGGGATGAACTTTATTATGAGTTTTGCCATTAGCTTTTTATTGGATCTAATTTCTAGCTAGCTAAGTTTGAAGTTTTTGTTTGGTTCGTCTGATTCTCCCGCGAAAGGAGTTGATCAGTTTTGTTTTTATTCATGTTGTAACATGTGATCTTTGAAGCTTGAAACTGATATCATTCGCCGAATGATTCCAAACTATTTGACTAAAGACTAAACTCTACACAAAAGCATCATAGAAAGAAAAAAAAAATATAATAATATCGATGGTCAATTCAAGTTTACATGCATATCGACATACTAATCATTTGTGGTCAAATTGAGTTTACATGCATGTAGTAGGGATGCCATCTTAATTTTTTTTCCTTCTTTATTTTATCAAACTAACTAATACTTCCCTTGTTAGATAAGAAATAACGATTTAGTATTAAACTTTTCTTCATTTTATAAAAAGTGTGTACTCTCATACAAACTAATACTCGATCGAGTGTTGTTTTTGTTATTTTTTCTAAAAATTATAGAAGCAAAATTATGTAATGTGTTAATAAAAAGTAGAGTAGATATTTTCTATTTAAACAACAAAATGGAAGCAATATCTACAATTTTGTGATAAAATAATATATAGAAAAATGAAGTTGCTATTTAAAGTTCGAAGGAAATGGGGAACAGACGTGAGACCAGGGGGAGATGGTTAATAGAGAATACGCTACGAGTTTGAGACCTCACAGGCTCACATTTAATTTCCCTGCCACGAGAACACATCCCATGCGCCACATATATGAGTTTGTATTCTCTGTTTTAAAATTTCTATATTTTAAAAATTTGATATTATGAGTTTGTATTCGTTTTCTAAAATTATACAATAGTAACAGGGTCTATATGCATGACCGTAAAACGTCCACGTATCAGTGGTGCATATATATGAAACCCTAGCTTTTATATAAAAATGCATAAAATTTGTGTGTGTGTGCGTCTCTTCTTGGTTCATAGAAGACAGTAAGAGCTCAAACAGCCCGACCTTTTCGCAAGGGCCAAACCGCAAAATCTTTCGTATCTTTTATTCTTTATTCTTTGTTGTCATATTTTTCTGACATATTGTTTTACTAACAAATGAGTTTTCTATGTCAACAACGTATGTCTAGAAGGTTGTCGACCTAAAATTTTGTTTGATACTTTTAACAAAACCCAAACAGAATAGAAAAAAGTATTGTTGGGTAATCATAAATCATGTGCAAAAATTCTAAATTATCCAAAAAAAAAAAAAAAACCACAGTTACAGGAATCCAATTGATATATTTTTTCTTGTGATTTACAATTTTAAAAACAAAACTGAAGACAAATATCTCTGCCAAATTAAATTATACTGATAAAATTTAAATTAACCAAAAATGAGTAATGAACTTAATTAAATCATACTGCGAAATGTATTTCAACTTATATATTAAGTGGGAGTCCGATCGAATTTAAGAACACTACCGGTGCCATATCTTTATAAAGAAACTATACTTGAATTATGTGAATTTACGTTTGTGTTTGATTAACCATATGACAAATTTGATGGTTATTTCGAAATGAGAAACACAATGTTAGTTACATTGGATGTTCGAATCGTTTGGTAACTGCAATATTGTTAGCTTTTGTTTTGTGCTTTTTTATTTTTTTTTCTCTCCGTAAATATTTTATAAAATGTAGTCGTGTTGATCCAGGAGAAACTCAAGTTCCCAGGGCACTGGAAGTCTAGATACATCAGCTGCTTGCTTCTCCTCTTGATTCGTGGCAAATCTCTCCGGTGTCACGTGTCCTCTCGTCTAAACTTACATAAGAGACAAAGATTTCGTTCAACCACCTAATTAAACTACTAAAAATATATTAATAATTTAAATTAAAAATACTATAAGAGAGCCACAATGGGAGCTGGAAGAGGCAAGCAAACTAGTATATGCATGGGTCGTCGTTCACATAGACATAGACCTATAGTCCTCTTAGTCCAGGTGCAAAGAAGCCCCTATGGAGCATGAGGTCGAACAAGCTGTTGCCACGTTTACTAACACGTGTTAGATCCACATGCCGAAGAATATATAAAATCTGTTGTCTAATATATATATATTGTAAATATATGATCGAGTTCATTGATGAATGTAGTCTTATGTATATATGCAGTGTATGCATGAGACATTCCATTGCTCCATGTCTTGTGTTTGATCCATCATTTTCCACGTAATACCAAAAAAAAATAACTACTACATGTTTATGAACTATCAACTTTTAGTTAACCTCTGATTTTTTCATTTTTGTCGGATTTATTAGTTATTTTAATATCCGACTAATTTTTACAGAATTTTATTTTTTAATTTACGTTAACTTAGATCATTTTCAATGGAGGTTAAAGTATCCCTACTTTTTCAAAAAAAATATTTTATATAAAATACTTCAATAAAGATGTCCTAACGAGTGTGTGACTCTCACAAGTCCATGAAATTACGGGGAAAGCTGACGCCACCAACATATAAACACACTCCCGTTTTGACTTTTTATCCGAACACAACGACCCTAATTTAAAACATTATGACTTCTCTTGATTCCCGTTAAAGAGCACTATGACTTTTTAGTATTCTATTAGTATATAGTATACTCTATCTAGTATCTCTACTTGCGATAAAATTGTTTACGAGGCAGCAGTCAAAGAAAGAGACACGTCTGCCACTAAATATGGACAATGTTGGTCTGAGACAACAGAGTCCGTCTTCACTTTGACGTCATGTGTTATCTCCCGATATCTTTGGCGTACAGAGTAAATGCATTTTTTTCTTTTAGTGTTCATACTACATGCATAAGAAAAAATTAATACGTACCTCTGGAGATTTAAAATGTGTATACATTTTCATATTTTTAGGTTTATGGAACTTAATTATCTTTCTTTTTCTGTATTTTTTTTGGTTAATATATATAGGATGTTTCCTAGTAATTACGTAAATCGATTTAATATACAAAGTTGAACGTGTTTTCTTGAGTTATTTATAAAGTAACACAACTGTAAAATTAACTGATCAATCGAACTATTGTTTCTTCCTTCGACATCATCGTGAGCGAAAAAGTCGATTGTCTCTCCTTTGACGAAGACTCCAGGAAAAGACACATGTCCATTGTCTCAAATCCAAGCAAAGATGTGATCACCTTATGGCCTTAATTCTTATTTTGCATTCATTGGATCATGATCCTATCACAACTATTTACTTACATCAATGTTGTTGAAGGGGAAAATTACAAACTGCATATATCTATCAATATAGTCAAAGCGTACGCCATGAACTATATATTCGTAATATTTCGACACAAATTAAAAACCCTTTTAATTGCATGAGTGGTTTAAATTAATCAATCGAGCGTTCGGTTTTTTTCATTACCATTCCTCCCATCATCATTCACGTGGATATCACATGTCAAATTCACGACTTTTTTTTTCATTTTCGAATTCACGACTTTATCCATATATATCAAATTTTATTTTCGTCTTGTTGCTCTTCGATCGTAATTTATCGTTTCAACCTCGTTATATATCTAATGTTTTTGGCAACCCAAATTTTCATTCTATAGCATCTTTTGGTATAAAAATGATTTTACTGTTGCGACTTCCAAATTAGTCTCTTGGTATAAGTTCGAGATTTTCGGTTTTTTAAAGTATTCAAAGCTCATCAACTATAAATGAATCGGACAATGAATAATTCGTCGATAAAACCCACCCAAAAATAAGATAACAATCTATATATGTCACATGGACGGCGTTTTGTTCTTGGAAAATGCTAAACATGCACAGATCATTCAATTGACAGCCGAGATATTAGAATGCTTCAATACTTTTTCTCCTTCTTATAAGTATGTAGGTAACGTAGTTCATGCTCGCGTACGTGGCATTAAAATATGCTTAAACGTGTTATTAGAATCTACTAGTTTGTTTACTTGGACAAGAGACGTATATTGCTGGTTTCTTAATTTTCACTATAGTATAAAAATACTTTTTAGCTGGTGAATGATTTTTAATTAAAGGTATTACAAAAAAGGAAGAAAGAAAATATAAGAAACCGTTCCTTCTTCCAAATCAAAGCACATTTGTTTTGTAACGGAGTAGTACAAAACATGACAATTTATTGTTTTTTGTTTAAAAGAAAAAACAAACAAAAAACAACAGTTTTGGAGAGGGACAATTGAAAGTTCATCTTTTGAGAAAAAAGGTGACCAATGAGTGAAGATGGTCCTTACTTCCTTACTCACACAATGGTCGGCACAAACTGTCCCCGCATAGATACAGCTATTTCGATTGCCTTACTCTCCAAGTCGTTATGAATATATTTATGGTGAGTTTTGCTACAATCTGCCTTTTCATTAATGATCTTTTGGTTTGAGGGTCCATGACACGATCGATATGTATCTTTATTTTGTAATGTTTTAAGAAATTTTCATTTTTAGAATATATATACTAATGGCAAGAATCCATTCCTTGATGATTCAGTCTAGATATGTACCACATATGATAGCTAGCTCTTTGAATGATGTTTTCTTTGGTACGTGAAGGACTACTGTAAGCTCTCTAATTATATTACGAGGGTTAAGGGGTTAAAAGGATCGTAGTATGTAAATAAGGTTCATCTTCTTTTTTTTTGGGCAACTTTTTGTTCAATGTAATAACTTGACCCGACGTTATTGATAACTTTATGAGTTTTGTCGCATGCAGTACAAAAGCAATGAGTTTGACGTCTTGTTTCTTTGTGTTGTGTGGTAAACCATCGTTTTATCGCTGCCCCCAAAACGTTTATCTGCAGATTAGGGTAATGTGACCTTGTTGTATATTGTTGTTCGGAAAGACCTATCATTATACATATGGCTCTAAAGTGCCATTACGATGTTCACGTGTTGCATGACTAGCAAATCAATCTTATTATATAATGTGACATTTATAGCCCGCTAAATGTATCTAATACGCAGATTTATTCATTTGAACTACGGTTATTTCTATTTGATCCGCTTACTACTTTCACTAACACCTTTCTTATATATATCGCAAACCATTCTCACCTTATCGCTAATTAGTTTTGTTTTACAGTTTTTACTCTAATTATGTTTGTTCCCACGAGACATACAACGACCCTTTATGCCAATTGCCAAGTAACTGTCACTATTCTCACCAATCACTATCGCTTTTCACAAGTCTTTTGTCTCTTCCCCTTCCACGAGATTTTATCATTTGAGAGTCTTTCTTATGATATTTTCCTTACAACACGAAATACTAGAAAGCTTATGGCCATAAAATTCATTTTTTTGAATAGCTCAAAACTAAATACCGTTTTCAAAACCATTACGAGTGTAGTTTCTGTTGTATTGATGATCAAGTGTTAGTGTTGATTAATATGAACATGAAAACCTTAAGAGTAAGTTATTTAATTAACAAAAATTGAATTTTATATTAATACACCAGAAAAAAAATGCAACAGAAACCAGCTGAGCAAGCAAAACTTCTACTTACACAAGCTTCAAGCTGGCTTCCCACCGCTTCACAAAAGAAAAAAATATCTTATCTGCTAAAATAAAAACTATAAAATCTGCATCTGCACAATAAACCAAACCATAACCGGTTTCGGTTTACTTCATACTAAGCCTGGTTTAACATATCACTCGAATTCACAAACGTGCCGTGGAAACCATACGGTACTCTTGACGGCAATTTAACGGTTGCTTCTAGTTCCAACGTAACGGCGTTTACAATCTGTAGCTCCGATTCCCAACTCTCCTCGTCATGAACAAACGACATTATGTAACCGTCATCTTCTCCGTCTGATTCTAACCCTCTAGGTAAGAAAAAAGGTTCGCCTCCGTATTTTTTACCGCCGTAAAAGTGGTTTTTAACTTCTCCCGTTGAAAGATCAACTTTAGCGAATCCTGACACTTTAGGCCACGGTTCAGCTATCGCTAAGTACGCGTACCGGGTTTTTCTCCCCAGAAGGTTTCGGTTTACCATACCCGCTTCTAAATTCATCTGAACCGAACCAGGAATTATGGTTCTTCGCGTTGATTTCCCGGTTTTTAGATTTAACCGGATCTCAGACAAAACACTGTTGAGCTGCTCGTCGCACTCGTTAAAGATCGAATCCGCCGGAGTCATACAAGATCCGATCACCACTACCTCGTCGGTCTCCGGTGACTCCCAAGCGTTCCATAGATGGAAACAAAAAGTCTCCGGTGATTCGACCCATACCATCTCCGACGCGTCTTTAGCGTTTCTCGGCAAAATCCCAAACCGGGAAATTTTCTCTCCGTCGTATTTAACCGGAGATTTCCCGAGAATCATATCGGAGAGCTGAAACACAACTTGTTGATCAGGAATCACGACGAAATTCTCGGTGATCGCGAAATCGTGCATCATCGTCGGACTGGCGAGAGGGATCTCAACGTCCGGCGATTTCTCACCGTCCGGCGAGATTCTGAAGTATTTCAAATACGGTTTCTTAACCACGTCGTAGCTTAAAGCGAATAGCTCCTTCGTCTCTGGATCGATTTTAGGGTGAGCGATCATGGCGGAGTTTAACTGACCGTCGAAATCGAATCTTCCGACCGTCTCTAAATCGCCATTGTCGGTGATACGGACTTGGTAAGGTAGATCATCTTCGGACATAGCTAATAACCGGTCGTGAAAATAAACCAAACCGGCGTTAGCAACTCCGGTTCCGTTTTTGTGATTTAATAAACCGAACAAACCACGTGCGTAAAACAACATCAGCCGCGCGATTCCGGTGTGGCCGTGTAGCTCACCTATGGCTTTAGGAAAGATCGGCGAACCGAGTTGTTTCTCCTGAACCAATCTCTCGGTTTCCGTAAACCGGCACGAGTAACTCGCTTCTCCATTACTAATTTTAACGGCGTGAACCATACCGTCACCGTCGAACAGATGATGACCAGAAACAGGTTCGAAGAGTGGATTAGCGCCGTTACGAAGGTAAACGCCGTCAATGCAGTCAGGGATTTTGCCATCAACGGAGATAGATGATTTAACGGGTTGCTCCGGAACCGGAGCGTAGTTACCGGAGATCTGATGGCGAGGATCAACGGTTTTAGGAAGAGGTTTAGAACGTTCGCGTCTAAGCAATGCGGTTTCGGCGAAGTCGAGAGCGGCGGAGGCGGCGCGTTGGAGAGGGTTCCAACGTGAAGTGTCCTTCTCGGGAATTATGGGGTTCGGAGAAGGGTAATTTGGGAAATTCAGTAGAGCTGGAGTACTGTCTCCTGAGACGGAGGAGTTTGGAGAAGAGATAAGTTTACGGCGTCCTTGTGTTCTAGTGTTGTTGGTGAAACTAACGGAGGAAGACGGAGAAGGAGCGTCGAGATCGGACGGTGCAAAAGAGAGATTGAGTTTGGTTGGGTTTGGTGTTAATACGTAAGAACAAGCCATGAGAGAGCTTAAAGAGTTATAAAAAAAAACTAAAAACAAGATTTGAGAGGTTTTGAGGATTGAAGAGAGATAGAGTTTGAGCTTATATAGACTTTGCTTTGAGGTTGGACTCTTTAAAATATTTTAATAATTTCGTTTTTTATTTATTTATTTATTTTAACTTGGAAAAAATAAGAGAAAAATTGGTATTACTTATTTTAATATTATAGTATTTTAAAATTTTTTTTATGAGAGTCCAAGACAATGCCGAAAGTACTTCTAAACCAATTTGAAATGAATCACAATAGACTTTGCATGGTAAAATATACTTATTTCTCAACTTATTACTTTGACCATGCACGCGAGGTTACGTCATTGAATATGTCCGTTTCTTTTACATAAAGAAAATTACTAATATCGCTTGAAAAAAATTATATGTTTTCGTATATAACAAACATAATTTTTGAAGTATATGTTAATGTTATACTTATTTTTACAAAACATACAATAAATCGACACGCAACAGACGATAAATATATATACCTTTGATTCCTTTACGAGTCGGGCGTGAGAACTTCCAGAGAAAACTCGATTCTATCACCTGCGTGCGAACTTGTGAAGATCTTCAAATCTTGTTAGACTTTAGAGTACACATGAAGATCTAACGAGTACAAAGGTTGTTTTAAAATATTGATCAAAAATATTTAATAAAGGATCATACTTATAAATGTAAATACACATTTAGACCCATGCATATGTAACAATATAAGTACGTATGTAAAATGGTTATAGTTAAAAAGATAACACAAACTAATGATCCTAATGCTAATGAACTACTATACAAAACTCTTCTTTTGTTAACCTAGAGACATATAGATTGGTTACCTTGTCGAAAATTCGGACTCCTCTAATGCAATATCAAATAAACGGATGAGAATTCTCATACGATCTCCGAACAGAGACGATAGGCTGAGGATTAATTTGGTCGTTTAGTCACACAAATTATAAGATTACTAATAATTTCTTGATATAATATATTAGAAAGAATTTTTCATAAATTTGGTCGGTCCACGTGAAATTATGTTGGGCAGGTGGGCCGTATTAGCAGAAGAAATACAGAAAATAGACTAGCAATTTTGGGTCCACTCGACTAAAATTTCTACGTGACTACTTATTTGGTCTTTGGGTCTCTCTCTCTATATATATTTTTTTTTCTTTTATCATCCTTAAATTTCAAACCCAAAGTCTCTTTTTTTTTTCTCTTTTAAATATGTTTTAGTTTGAATTGCAAGGAAGAACCATTACACATTTAATATATGGAGTTAGATATGCTTATTTCACTTTTTTTCTAAGGTAAAAACTTTTTCATATCTTACACATGCATGTCTTCGTTTATACTATATATATATTTCGTTATGACTTGTGAGGCACATTCAAATAACTTTGGGTTTTTGCTTGGAATTTAGAATGTACAATACATATATATTAGGATCTCAGTTCAGTATTATGGTCAAGTTTCGTCCACGCCCTTGTATAAACTGTGGAATAGTCCTTACAATACAAGTTAACTAATTATTTTATTATCAATTATAATACATCCTAGATACATTTAAAACCCTATACGTATTAAATTAGTAATTTTGAATAACCAAAACTTTATTTTAAAAACTACTGTAAATGTGAACGATAAACATAAAAGCTTTGGAGACAGAAAGTCATTAGAAAGATGGGTGCATGAATCTGATGTCCCCGGCCCTTTTCTAAACTTAATTCCCATTTGCATATTAATATTCTACTAAACATATCCAAAATTTTGTCAATATTTTACTAAACATAACCAACTATGTATATATATATATATATATATGTTGCAATGTTAGAATGATTATTCTATGTGTAACCGATCTAGTTATGCCTTTCGGCGTTTATTCTATCGTCGTTTCGGTGAATCTTCTTAAAGTACTATACTTAAAACATAAGTTTTTTCTGCGTGGTTGGGTAATTTATATTTGTTAGTTTGTACTGAATCTTTATACTATATAGTATATATGCCACCATTTCTATGTTTAAGTGTTTTTTCGCGGTTACAAAATAAATTTATATTTTGGCATGTAATATGATGTTGTTCGCACGTTGAGGAAACTTATAATAAGAGTAGAGACAATAGAGGTGTGCTGATGAATAAGTTGTGAGATTAATGTTACTGTCGTATATCAACACCCTTGTCCTACCTTTCCCTTCTTGCCTACTCCCTGTTTTTGTTTTGTCTTTCAGATTTATATTATAGAATTACGATATTTAATAAGTGGGATTCTTGTATATCCTTTTGTTTTGTCCATGAGTGATTATTTGTAAATGTAACTAAAATTTGTAATAAGAGAAAACTTTAAGTGAGTGGTACCAAAAACATCACACATGATGTAAAGATTTACATATGTTTTGAATACTTGATAAAGGATATACAAAATTTGGGATACTAACACCAAAAAATTGAAGAGAGGAAATATTATTCTAGTATCCTTCAATCATGCATGATTGACCAATATGAACGCTTTTAAATAGTGAAAATATATGTATTTACCGTAATTCCCAGATAATTTTCAGTTATATGAACGCTTGTTTACAATGCTCATATTACTTTCTCTGCACAACTTGTATATTATCATGCATTACAATTGATGCATGTAACCAACACAAGTATATCACAAAATCATATTTATACATTCCAGTTTAGTGAAAGATCTTTTGAATTTTCAACTCGAAACAAATTGATACGAAGTGGATCTACTCATGACATTTATATATTACTTAAGATCTCTTCACATTTTAATTTCGACGTGAGATTCGTAACATGGAAGAGCCAACCATGTCCACTTGATCATGAGTCACTAGTCACTACACTTATGATTATATCCTATCATGCAGATGCAGATATGTTTTGTCACATTAATGAAGCTACACGATCTGATCATGAACTGACAAGAGGGTGAAGTATGCAACTGAATGGACATTGATACATGCATAGAGATAGGTAGAAGTGCATGTGTAGTGGTGCAAGTAGATGTATATAAAGCTGTCGTCGTAGCAAAATTACATTAGAGTTGGGAATCATGTGTAGGGTCAATTTTTGGGTCGGCAAGAGGTAATTTGTACTTGAATAAAAGTCCCGTTGGTTCTTAGTTGAGATGCAAACCCAACTTTATACAAATTTGGTAAAAGTAGGAACATACTTGTACGATGTCCATTTGCTATATATACACATTCATAACCCTTTGATTCTTGTATAGCCAATATGTTTTTGAATAGTTATTTTTATGTGGTTTTCAGATCACTACGGACGTAATACCAAAAAACATGTTACATGGGAAAATTCCAAGCTAATATAAATTCTTCACTAGATGCTTAATTACCATCATTTTCTTCGCTTTATCTTGACAGGATGCTATAAAGATGACGAGATTCATTTTTGTTTTCTTTTCTTTTTCAAGTATGATGATAAAAGAGATGTTTTAAACCATAGTTTTGATTAAATATACATTACACCAATAATACGTCAGTAAAACTTGGTTGTAGTAATGTTGGTCATATACCTGCAGTAAGATTTAACATTTAAGTAGCGGTTATGTACGCCTAGCATTACTGCTCCTTATATCATTTCGCAATATACGAAAACAATAATGATACTATCATCCGTGTTTCTAAAATAATATGAAATCAATTATAGAAGACATCCATTAATTTACAAAAAAGTATAAAGAATGAATGGAAAATTTATACATTCCGCACCAAGTGAAGCATTTCCAAAAAATCATTCACATATAGTAGATATATATATGCAAGTTGTTTACAAGTTCTGTCGACCTCTTTATGAGTAAACCACATGACAGATCATATCAGTGATCAGAGAGGCATTCAAATTTGCTTTTGCACTGGATACTGCCAATGTCTGAATCACTCCAATTTAGGTGGACTTGAAAGCAACTTTGAAAAGTTAGTTTCAATCAGTAGTTTCTGTATACATAATGTCATGCACTGTCTCTTTCTTTTTTTCCACACTATATTAATGTTATTTTGTATTTTTGATGATTTGTTCTCTATCTTTTGTCCTTAATTGTATATGGAATGTTTTGATCCTCTATATTTGATGCCATATTGTATTGTGAAAACTTCACTGTAAACCAATATAAGATGTTTAAGGGAGGGTTTCTTACTTCTATTCAATCTTTAACGCCAATGACAACTAGTTGTATCTAGGGGTTATACAGTATAACTTATACTCTTATAAGTTTGAGAAGATTTTTTATTACCCTTTCTTCGATAAAAAAAATTAGGGTTAGTAATGGTATAGGCTCTAGTACATCTAGTTAAACAACAGAAGTTTAAAATTATACATATATTGAGTAATTGACTATAAAAGTTCATAAAGATGGAAATAAAAGGATTGGGCAAGACAACTCGTAAGAAAACAAGAGATCTCATTGGCCAAATTTGCTTTCAAAGTAAAAGAAATCTCATTGGTGCGAATATGACCAGCCAACAAGTGGCTTCATCGTTTGGAGACAAATTGTACTATGTTTTCTAAAGTTGATATTGAAGGCCTCTTTCACTCATTTCTTAGTGCCTCATGACATAGATTTTGTTTTCATCTCTTTTTTCTCACCTTTTCTTGTTCGTAGTGGATGTCTTTTCGACTAAGTTCGTTTGGCTTCACTATTTCGACTTAGTTCGTTTATCTCATTCACGGCATTGTTGATCGAATCTTACTAACTGTTTCACTGTTTAGTTATGTTTACAATTCATCAATCGAAACCCTAAAGTTACCCTGATAATTCTTATTAAATACACAACTATAGCTAGGCCTAGCTAGTGGCAACTGCATTGTAGAATATATATAGCAATATGTGATCATATATGTTTTATAGTAAAAGAATATTTCATATGCTATACAAGTATACGTACGGAGAACACATTAAACATTTTACTACACATGATAATATGATAATATCTAACAATCTATTATCTATGTAGCAAGAAAGAAGTATTGATGAGCTTCTATGTTAGAGAACTACTGTTGCAACTACGACAATTCCCGGCTACCAAAGAGAAGTATTGATGAGCTATTTCTTAGAACCCTAATTCTCATAATATTACACAGTTGACATGTTGAACTCTTGATTGGATTATATATAGGTCCTTAAGAAGTTATCATTCGACAGACGACAGTCATATGATATTGCTTGATCCATATATCAGATTTGGCCTAGCATCAAAGTTTTTAATCAGGTAATAGACTCGGTTTTGATCTAATTATCTGGTTTATATGAAGTTATTATAATAGCCATTTAGTTCAAATATAGGGATCCAATAAAAGGTTTATGCTTAGGTCTTTTTGCAACAGCTAGAAAACTAAAACCACGTCAAATGTATTATATTTTCTAACTTGATTATTATACTTATATATTTTATTTTATTCGATTTGAATTGAGTTAGTTTGTATATAGAATTGAACACTCTTATTATGTATACACACGTTAGATTGGTGGCCAAAAATGTTAACACATGGTGAGTGCCAAAAACACACCAAAATACGGGATAATTCGGTTAGCCACATGGACTTACGGTATTAATTATAAAGACCAAATTGATACAATAAATTAAATCTCACCAACTTATATATCATTACAACTTTTCATTAGAAAAGATCTCATGTCTATATCTATTACTTCTTTTAAGAGGCAAAATCATTTAGATATATATTCAAGAATCCGACATATACATGCATTATTCAAGAAAATTCCGATATTGGATACTATTGGCACATGGAACGATCTTTATGCATATCTTTTTGTGACCATTTCCTGATTTGATTACTTGAAAATTCTGAATGATTGAGTAATCGAAGATACAAAAAAACCATTTAATGTATATATATTTGTTTTTTGTCCATTATAAATAATTGAGAGAATCCTATGGTGGTGAACTCTCACCGGAAAAACTACCAACGGCAAATACCTACCAAGCAATGGTCATAATCAACACATTGATTGTATTGGTCGCATGCATCTTCTTTTTATTTTTTCTTTTAAAGAAATTGAAGTTCCCTACTTGCATAAAATTTCGAAAGATTCGTCCAAAAAAATATCTCCGAAAATAGCAAGATGGCCATATATTTCATATAATATATAATTAATTTATTAGAAGGCTATAATGTGTTCGCTGGACGAAATATATAAAAAAAATAAGAACATCTTCGAGTTTGACGGAAATAATTTTATGAATTGTCCTTCTTAGTTTTAGACAAGATGTGAATTTTTTAGGAATGATTCATTATAAATCATGTGAAGATAGTTATAATACATTACATACTATATTACTCTATCTTTTATATCTTATTTTTTTATCCCCCCCCCCCCTTTTCCATCAACAAAATGAAATACTTAATTATGGATGGTGAAATATCAACCTAACTAACACAAACTAGTAGTCTATATATATAAGTTGATTATAGTCTAATATTCTTCGATTACAAATGAATCAAGATTTGTGAGCATTACCGATTTTCATGGTAAACTCGTATCTATTTGTAGTTAAGTAGACTATAGCTATGACACTCCCCTAATGGACTGGTTTGATATTCACGCAAGGCTATAGAGGAATTGCCCAACTTTATTTCTACTATATTTGTCAAATTCTTTTTTTTTTTTTTAATTATCTTTGAAACTACTCTCAAAATAATTCAGGATAGCTATGTATTTGATTGTAAAAAATCACTTTTGTTGCACACCGTCTTAATAAAATAAAATGAATTAGTTATCTAAAACAGAAACTTGAGATTTTTAGTAAGAAAAATATTAAAATTTACCTTTGTAACACCAAATGTAACAAGACCCATTATTGAATGGGCCAATAATATTACAATGGCCCAATATTAAGCCCGTTTTAATAGAATTACCCACCAAAACAAATTATTCGGATATTCCCACTTTCCCATGTTAATCTATACTTTTGCACTAATCATTCTTTATTAACTTCATAAGAAAGATAATTAATCACTAATAAAAGAAGTGAACTGTCATTAAAGACATCTACTGATCTACAGATTCTACAGAAAAGATTTGCGGCAGTTACTTAAAAATAGAACAAATGGGATACACTGATATACGTACACATACACATTTTTAATATATAAGTCTGTATAATGTATAATCAATAGGAAAAAGCATATATTATAATTTCCCCAAAACGATTACGTCTTCTTCTCGATTACCAAAAAAAAGAAGAGGAAGAGCTGAAAGATTCGCGACGAAGCAAAAGACAAGAGTGTGTGTGTTTATCTATCGCCGCCGTGTTCTGCTGTAAGAATATGAAAAATATCTCATCTTTGTCTTCTTTATGTTTCTTTAGCTTCGATCACTTGTTTCTTATCGATTCTTGCTTCTCTGTTTCTTCATCTTGTTGGCGTTGTCTTTTTTTCTTCTTTCCTTTTCTTCAATTGCCCCTTTTTTCTTCTAGGGTTTGTTTCAATGAATTCGAATTTGGATTTTTATAGTTAGTTCAATCGATTTCTATTAGAGAATCTGGAATTTGATTAGTCTCAGTGTTAGTGATGATGCTGTTGATTCTTCATTTCAGGTAGAGGAACCAAAGTTGGAAACTTTGAACTTTTCTCACTGTGTTTAGTAGTAATTACTGATCATTCGAATCTGGAATTAATGCAAATGAGTGCTTAATCTGTTGAAAATTTTGAGTGTTGAAAGGAGAAGAAGATGCAGAGGGTAAGGGTTTCATCTCAAAGAGCAGCTGTGCATAAGCTTGGTGATTCTCAGATGACGTTATCTCCAAAGTTTAGAGTAGCTGCAACGTTTCAGTCGACATTGTTCGATAGATCATCGGACTTAGAGCTGTCTCTTAGAGGAGAACCTTTGATTCCTGGTTTACCAGACGATGTTGCGCTTAACTGTCTTTTAAGGGTTCCAGTCCAAAGCCATGAATCGAGTAGATTCGTTTGCAAGAGATGGCATCTCTTGTTTGGTACTAAAGAGACCTTTTTCGCTAAGCGTAAGGAGTTCGGGTTTAAAGACCCGTGGCTATTCGTGGTTGGGTTTAGTAGATGCACTGGGAAGATCCAATGGAAGGTTTTGGATTTGAGGAATCTCACTTGGCACGAAATCCCTGCTATGCCTTGTAGAGACAAAGTGTGTCCTCACGGCTTCAGATTGGTTTCGATGCCTCGTGAAGGTTCTATGTTTGTGTGTGGAGGGATGGTTTCGGATTCGGATTGCCCTCTTGATGTGGTGTTGAAGTATGATATGGTCAGGAATCATTGGACTGTCACGAACAAAATGATAACCGCGAGGTCGTTTTTCGCTAGCGGTGTCATCGACGGGATGATATATGCAGCAGGTGGGAATGCTGCGGATTTATTTGAGCTCGATTCTGCCGAGGTTTTGAACCCTTCAGATGGTAGTTGGCGGCCAGTGTCGAACATGGTCGCACACATGGCGTCTTACGACACAGCAGTCTTAAATGGGAAGCTTTTGGTAACAGAAGGATGGTTATGGCCATTCTTTGTATCCCCTCGAGGCCAAGTTTATGACCCAAGGACAGATCAATGGGAAACAATGCCAATGGGGTTAAGAGAAGGATGGACCGGGACGAGTGTAGTGATATATGATCGGTTGTTCATAGTGTCAGAACTAGAGAGAATGAAGATGAAGGTTTATGATCCGGTTACAGATTCTTGGGAGACGATTAACGGTCCCGAATTGCCGGAGCAGATTTGTAGACCGTTTGCGGTGAACTGTTATGGGAACAGAGTATATGTGGTTGGCCGGAATCTTCATCTTGCGGTTGGGAATATTTGGAGGTTGGAGAATAAGTTTGGTGTGAGGTGGGAGGTTGTAAAGTCACCAGAGCGTTATGCAGATATAACTCCATCGAATTCGCAGATTCTTTTTGCTTAAAGGAAGCTGGCTGGTGTGGATTCTTCAAAGATGTTTGTGAAACCATATTGTATGAATAAGTAAACATGTCTTAGAAAATACAATGAGGTTTGTACTATACTATTGTACCATATGCTATTGTACTATTGTACTATTGTACTATACTATAACTTATGTCCGAAAGTGTTATATAAAATACATGGACTGAAATTATTGTTCTTAGTATACTTATGAATTATATTATTCCAACACTCTAAATTTTTCATATATGATCAAATTGAATTTTCATATAGTAATATATATGATCAAGTTGGACCAATACTGTTTTCGAAAATGGATAACAGCCTAAAAGAAACCTAAAATAATTAAAAAGCGTCCAAGGTGAAATCCAATCTTATCGAGCTTCTAATCAAGCCAATAAGCATTCTTGCTTTTCATTACTCTCGTTGGCTTATCTAGTTATCTTATCATTCATAGCCTCAAATCATAATCCAAAGTATAAACATATTGCCTCTATTTTATACGATGGCAAAAATGCTTTTGTTTCTTTTTTTTAAAGATTATCGAATCGAGCTATGAAAAAGAATAGCTCTGATAAATATTTTAAACACTGATCATATATTAAGGCTGTGATGATAATGTCATAACGTTGCGGTATTTGTTTACTAGTTTTGTTTTGTTGAAAATATGAACATTCAAGTTAAAAGTTTCAAGAAAAAGAAGAAGCTAGGATATGTTTATAGTTCAAGTGTTGCTTGCCCATCTTTGTAATTTATATACTATGTAGATATTTTTGTCGATGACTTATGTATCAAACATCTAAGTGATTAACTAAAATGTTGCTCAATAGTTATCCAGCCGACATGACCTATACAGTTCAAGATGTACTAAAGCTTAGGCCTGGGCATTCGGTTAACCATTCGGTTTCGGTTCGGTTGTGTTCGGTTTCGGTTAGTATGGATATAGTAATATAATAACCATTCGGATATTTTAGAAATTTTGGTTCGGTTCGGTTCGGTTAGTCTTTGGTTCGGTTCGGTTGTTAACCGAATTAACCGATAATTCCTGTGAATTCAAACTCATCTTGCTAACGTTAAAAATCTTAAATTATAACACCAAGTGAGTAAAAGGGAAAGAAACGAGACATCCAAGTCTAACTACGAACTAAGTTGAGATAAGAGAAGAAGGACATAGTTCTAAGTTTGAAAAACAAAACAAAAGAAAATCTAAGTTTAAGCCGAGATAAGAGTGAGAGAAAAGTAAAACAAAGTTGATCGGACCAAAGCTTTGCCATTCCCATGAAATAAAGATTGTTGAGTCCTATTGTATCCTCCAAAGCAACCAAGTAACCAAACATCTATTCAATTGAACATATAAGGTAAACATATAATCATATATCATATGTATAGATTCGGTTTTTTCGGGTTTATTTTGGTTATCGGTTAGTAACCGAAACCGAACCGAACCCGAATTTTGAGACTTATAATAACCAATCGGTTATTTGAAGATAACCGAAACCGAACCGAAACCGAACTGATTCGGTTAATCGGTTCGGTTAATCGGTTATTGGTTATTTTGGCCAGGCCTACTAAAGCTGATACAAGTGATCCACGGTATAAAAAATTTAACAGAAGACCAAATCAAATTTTACCGTTAAAAAATCAATTTCTTTAATATTAAGGTCACGCTAAATTATTGTTCTATACGTTTTACTTTTATGTGAAAAAGGAAACATAAAGAAATTTAATATGATTTTTATCTATATGCTAAAATCCTAAACATCTTTAAAAATGAAACAGAGTACTAATTTTCTCATAATGCTTACCTTTTTTGGAAGTTATTCAAACGAAAACCAGACTTTGGCTACTGAAATTTGATGGTGATTTGATAAGTCATCACACAAACCATGCAGTGAAACATTATATTTATAGTTATATTTTGTTTTATTTAATTTTTGCATTTTTCATTTGACTTTAGGGATAGTCCAAAAACCCATCTGGTGCTGTAATGGTTAAAGTCTAGTTAGAGATTGATGTAAATATAAATAATTATATAGTTTGTTTTATCGAAAACTTGTTTAAATATGGCAGAAATTAGAAATAGTTGGTAATATATATATTTGCATATATACCATGATGGAATCTAACCAGCTACTCCAGCTTCTTGTCTTATAAAACCCAAGTTGTTAAAGAAGCAAATAAGATTTAAAGAGACCCAAAATGAAAAAGAAACATGCCTTTGGAAAAACACTACACACACATGCACATGCACATGTTATCTCCCATCTTCTCCCTCCCCTAACTCAGCCTTTCGTCTATTGTGTATAGACATTTCAATTTGTTTTTCTGAAAATAATCCTTATCTTTGTTTATCTCCTTTTTGCTATTGTACTTTCACTAAAGAATGTTCCCAATGGTGATCCTCCTCACTAAGTTAATTTAATAAAATATACATGCATATATAAATTACGATCTAGCATCTATTTTTTTGGGTTTAACGAGTGCTCAAATTATGTATATATATCATCAGAATATGTATAGCATCTGATTAAGTATACAATTATAAAACGGATTTTTTAACGGGCAAAAACTTGAGTATTTAGCTATAAATTAAGAATTTGTTTTATATCTTCCATTTTTTATTGATGTCTAAAATTATTAAGTGCATAACATAATTTTTTTTTGTCAACAACACATTAATTAAAATACATAAAGTTCTATTTTAATATACATATATTTTTTTTAATTTGGCTTTAATAGATGATGAAAACGTAAATTTTGAGCATATAAAGCTATAATTTGAAGAGTTATATCTCCTGATTTTAGTATTCAAGTAAAAATATTATAGTGAAGAAGGAAATATAGTTAGATATGACAATATGTATATATCCTTCAAGTTGTAATGGTTGGGATCTTTATCAACATACAAACTTAATTCGAGCATATGGGAAAGATAGAATATGATGGATTGACTACATTGGTCTCATCTCTCTTTAGATTTTGTAGATTCATTGCTGCAACTAAAGCAATGGAAGATACACAAGCATATGCTTTCTTCTCTTTTCTTCCCTTTCTTTTTAATTTGCTTATTAATCATTTTTTAATGGTATTCGCTACTAAATACTTTTATGAAAATAGTACAATTCTGCATGGATACAATGTTTTCATGTATTGATATTAATTATCATACTCCTGTTTTCTCTCTAGTACACATTGTTAACTTTTCTTATTTAAACCATTAAAGCTATTTTTCTTTTACTTTTTTTAAGCTTTAAGTTTTCAAAAAAAAATCATTTTACCAATCAGATCACATGCTGACATGAATATAATAGTAATTAGATGACTTTATTTTAACACACAATTTTGAAGAAATTAAAAGAAGGGCCATTCTTATTCAAACAACTTCTAAAAAATAACAATAAATCTACTAAAAGCACCATGCATGGTCTAAGTAACCACAGGGAGTACACGGAATCATGTTCTCTATATAAGTCAAGCACAACATCTTTTATTTCTTTCTATCATGGAGTTAATCTTGTTAGCCTTAGTAGATTCAATCCGATTGATGTGGCACACTTTGACGCAGACGCGTGTCTTAAAATTTTCAAGGTTGCAACCATGAAAGAAAAGATATATCTAGAATTAGTGAAATTTCTACGAAAACAAATTAGAAAGGTTCAAATGTTACTATCTATATTGGATTAGTAACATTTGGCTTAGTCATTTAAGCAAAATTTGGCTTAGTCTTTCATTTAAAATGTTAGAAATCTTTGGATTAGTAACATTTAAATGAGAAATAGGTTTTGCGTGAGTTTAAAATTTTTGTTTTTAAAGAAAAATCTCATATAGTCTCCAACTGAAATACTAAAAATTTACTTTTTGCATTTTTTTTTGTCGTAAGATTTTCCTTTTTTCCAATTGTCGTAAGATCTAATTAATTTTGGTTTTCTAAAAATTTACCCAAAAAGAAAAACAGAAAGCTGCAACCACCCAACGCCTTCAATCACTTTAATTTTAATGTTAGACGTATAAGATGTAACTTTCTAAATTTAGAAAGATATTTTGATGTAAAAATTATCTTGACATATATTCTTTCAATTATATATATATATATACAGATGTTACGTAAGTCGTTATGTAAGTAAATAGTAATACTGTTAATTTGCATATGAGATTAGATGTATGCCATAGGTTTGGGAATTCGCGTCAATGTGACATTTGTGTGTCTATGTTCAATAAGATACAACTTTTATGAATTATTTGGTTTCTACTTTCTAACAAAGAGGTGTTACAATTTTCATATGAATGGAAAAAAAGAGAGCCAGAGATTGATTCCTAACCATATTACTTAACTCGAAAGGTTTAATTAGTGGATTGTTAGTGACATAATTATCAATTATTTTGTTGAGTAATCAAACATGTGCTCTCTCTTTGCTTTCCGATGGAAAGACCAATCTCTTGCTCTCTCTTTTTCTCTTTTTACGTCAAATTTTACGTTTGGCTGATTTTTTATAATTGTCATAAGTCATAACCACCAACCTCACTAATTCATTAGCCATCCATCACATCTATCCCATAAGTAGCAATGTTCGTTATTTTTGTTTTCCAACAAAATAATCTTGTCCATATATATATCTCCTTAGCAAACCTATTGGACAAAGTTTGAAAAATAATGGTAAAAATACTTTCTTTTGTAGTCGTCGAAGTTAAGAAAACCTTCGTACTTAAAAATAAATAAACAAACCAAATTAAGATTTTTTCTTCAAAATACAGGACAATATATTTTTAAAATGTGCTAAATATATTATTTGATTTTTTCTAATAAAACAAGAGAAAATAGGCCACAAGAAATAATATTCTTTCGATTCTTAATTCATGCCGTTAGAGTTATGAATTAATTAAATTAGTTGTAACTCTGCTTGGGAATAATATAACTACTGATAATGAGTTAATGATTAAGTTATAAAAGAGCTTAGATGTTAACACAATATTTTTCTGTTTGTTATCAATGACAATGAAAACAAGCTATAACCATGCATGTGATTCAAAACTTGGTATAAGTTCACGCATAGAATATTCCATTAGCTAAATGATTCAACAACCTATTTTACTTTTAATTTATAACTTTGATTACATTAGAATCTCGAGTTGAGATTAAGGAAAACAAAAGATTAGTGTGATAAAATCAGATCGGAGGAATCTTGAGATGTCATAAAGCGCACCACTAGCATCAGCTCATTTGTCCTATCCCAAAACAAGTACACTTGCATATTCGTTCTTGTATATAGTTTTTAAAGTAATGTTTTGTTGTGTGTATTAGTGTATATATGTAATTAAGGGTGTAACAAATAAACAAGTATGGTTAGTGGAATTCATCTTCCAAAAGTTACTAGATTCTTGGGATAGTTACGTAAAGATAAAAATTGGGTCACTTTTCTTGCATAATTTCATAAAGCAACTTTTACATATGTTTTCAGATCTCTGATCTATTTAACATATATATATATATATATATATAATTTCAGAAATTAATCAGAATTCGATATAGTAAGTCGTTCTATAAGAAAATCAACAACCCAAATTTCCAAAAAATCTCGCAAAAATAATTCAACCTTTTTATAAACAAAATGAAGTTGGATTACAAATTTACAATCATCCCCCAGTGCATGCATAGTTAAAGTCTTGAACGTTGTTTTCAATGTTTTAATATCAAACTCATGAGAAAAATTTGTGTCGAGAATAATAAAATTGCACTAAACAACTACACTATTGGTTGGGGCCAATTAGGCTGTAAATTCGTATATCGACTATGTTTAGCATTTACTACTGATGGACCTTTTTAAATCGATTAATATTTGAATTTTTCTGAATTATTTTTAAAATAAACGTTTAGGTAACTATAAAATCTGAATTGAAATGTCAATTAGTTTATGCCACATGCGTATGCTAAAATCAAATTCCAGCCTAACCTAGATTGATTATCACATTTAATAAAGATTATATTATAATTTGATGTGAAACATAATTCTAACAATATAACAAAAACAATTGCGAAAGGAACTTTTATTTCACAAGATGCAAAAAGAAAAAAAATATATTTAAACTTGAAGATAAGAGCACTATCCTTCTTATCATAATGATGGTGTGATTTCTACTCTTTATATTTCCAAATTTTTCGTTCACCCAACTCCCAAATTTGGGATCCTCCAATTTCTATAGCCAAAGCCAAAAGACATATTGTTAAGATTAAAAACCCATTATAGTGGGCAATTCAATCTTTCCCACCTTTGCCTTTCTCTGAAGAAAAGTGTTCTTCTTTAGGCCACTTTTTCAATTTTATTTTTATTTTTGGACTGACATAGTTGGCAATGTGTTGGAAAGAGACAATCTAAGATGTCATTCTTTTTATTTTTTTGGCTTGGGTCCAAAATGTTTTATGAAACCCATGTTGCCTCACAAAGAATGTTTTTTTGACAAACACTATCTATCTTTTTTTTACAGTAGACTTCCCCATAAGATAAACCTATTTGCCAAACCTACTCCCATTACTAAATTAACGAGTAAAATGAAAATAATACATTACTTCTTTATTACAAATGAATCATATACCCTTTACTATAGAAGACGACCCTATATATGTCTCACAAAATGAAAAGAGGCAGGCAGTGTAAAGTATTATTATTTATCTCTAAATTATAAATTTTATAATTATTCTTCTCCCTACACTTGGTCCCATATCTCTCTCAATCCTTCATCTCCTATATCTATCCCCACATTTCATTGCATTGATTCTCTTACAAGCACTTTCTCGTTCTCCCTCAGTCTTTATCTCCTTGGCCTCTCTCTCCTTCGCCATTTCTATGTTTAGCAGAATCGCCATGACCAACTCTATTGTTCTTCTTCTGTTTTCCTTAATTTTCTTAGGTATTTTTTCTAATAATTGCTTATTTCTGCCTAACAACACAAAATAAAATAACCATCATCTCAGTTTCAATTGTTCATTACATTGTTTTAATTTCTATTACATTTTTCTTTTCCGCAGAACATGGATGGTTGTTTCAAAGGGTCTCCTCTCTTGGCATAAACTACGGTCAAGTTGGCGACAATCTTCCTCCACCGGACAAAGTTCTACAACTCTTGAGCTCACTCCATATCAATAAGACAAGAATCTACGACACAAACCCTCGAGTCTTAACCTCATTCGCCAATTCCAACATCGAGATCTTCGTTACCGTCGAAAATGAAATGCTTCCCAACTTAGTCGACCCTCAACAAGCTCTCCAGTGGGTTACTACCCGTATAAAACCATACTTTCCGGCCACCAAGATCGGCGGTATTGCCGTCGGAAACGAACTATACACTGACGATGACTCAAGCCTCATAGGGTTTGTTACATAACATTCCTATATATTGTTCTCCTTTTCAAATCTTGGCACATTCAAGATTTACCTTATTAACCCAAATTATCTTGTTGAGATCGATTTAAATATTGTTTTGTTTCCGGGTCCTCTTATTCAGAAAATAAAAGTATTCATCAACCTTGTTATTTCTATGTTTCGCAGATATCTTGTGCCTGCAATGACGAGCATTCATGGTGCTTTGGTCCAAACCGGGCTAGACAAGTACATTCAAGTATCGACACCAAATTCACTATCGGTCCTTCAAGAATCTTACCCTCCCTCCGCCGGGTGTTTTAGGCCGGAAGTAGCCGGCGTAATGACACAGCTATTAAGTTTCTTGCGTAACACGAAATCTCCTTTTTGGATCAACGCTTACCCTTACTTCGCTTACAAGGATTCGCCAACTAAGATCCCATTAGACTACGTCCTCTTCAACCCTAACCCTGGAATGGTTGACCCTTACACAAAGTACCACTACGACAACATGCTCTACGCTCAAGTGGACGCTGTGATATTTGCCATGGCGAGGCTTGGCTATAAAGATATTGAAGTTGGGGTCTCGGAGACAGGGTGGCCGTCTAAAGGTGATGGAGATGAGGTTGGAGCCACCCCGGCCAACGCAGCGGTTTATAACAAGAATCTTCTGAAGAGACAACTTCAGAGTGAAGGAACGCCATTGAGACCAAACATGAGTTTTGATGTTTATCTCTTCGCTCTCTTCAATGAAGACCTCAAACCAGGACCAACCTCTGAGAGAAACTATGGACTGTATCAACCTGATGAGACCATGGCTTACAATGTAGGTTTACTATCATCTTCATCATCAACATCATCATCATCTACTTCAAGTTCTATTATATCCCTCACTTCCTCTGCCTCCACGGTATGTTCAACATTGACTTTACTTACTCTGTTTCTTCTACTATATCTCTACTTATATGTTCTTTTAAAAATATCACATTTAAATCTTTTAGAAAAGGCTTTGATTGAGAAACATTTTTTACAAGAAGTGAAGTGTGACGTTTTTTTCTTCTAATTGTGACGTTTAATACTTGAAAAGTTCGGCTTTTCTAGAACATATTCTTATAAAACATTTATTTTAAAACATATATAAGATTTAATAAACTATACATAAAGTTAGATATATATTTCTTTGGAGTGACATGATTAGTACTCACTATCTAGTGTGATATTTATGATTATCCACACCATCTGATTTCTTTAAAACATTGATTAATTGAAATTCGTGGTCTTCATTATTACCTATATATTGAATGTTCGTATTTTATTTTTAAACAGGGTATAAAGAAGGGAACGCAACAGTTGATATATTGGACATGCCTTTATTTGTTGGCCATTCAAATGCTAATTAGAAGACCGTACTAGAAGCAAAAGGAAATTCAGAGAGAGCTTCTATAATATATTTGTAAATAGAGAGATCAGTCCACTAATGCGGTTCATTTTTTCAACGAGAAGAATTAAACTATTCTCAAAAGTGTCTCAGATGATTCTTTGAAGACAACACAAATCAGAAAATTAATTAACTTGAGAAGTGGATGTAGTACTACTGCAAAACGAATCCAATGTATAAAAACAAAACAAAAAAACTGACGATTCATATTATAGAAATGTATTAGTATTTGTCTTATTAGTAAACGTGTGTAACTTAGTTTTCGTGTTGATTCATAACTGAATGATATTCGTGTTTCTTGTTTAAATTGAAGGAATACAATGTCATTGCAACATTTCATGTAAATATGGTTTATTTTATATTATATACGACATAGTACATATGAATTATATATCAGTAAGGAAGAGAAACTACTCTAAATATATAACTCGTGTATATACTACTAGTTTACTATGGGTAACGTGAAGCAGAAAATAAAAATCATTATATACTAAACAGAAAATATTTTCGTTTTTTCAACACTTCTAACAAACATAACTTTAAAGTACAGATTATATAATGATATCAGATTTTTTTTTTATTGATTGGTTACACCGAAGGTGAAGGCTCTTTTATCTTTTAGTATCTTTTTGGACGTGGAATCCATAAAACCTTACCTTGGTCATACGATACCTTCCTTTTTTCATCTCACCGTCAGCATTCGATATTTATATTGTCTGCTCTTTATACACACACATGCATGCATTATACATAAATTGCATATTTGGTATATGTACGTACGTGCACTCACATGACACTACTCATAAACGCAGACATGACACATGTATGTTGTATGAACTTTGTGTACTCTATACATGTTTGTGGGATATTCGTTAATTCAATCACCATTTGATCTATCTATATTATTAGTTTTGTTTTTGTTTGGACGAGAGTATAATGCTCCCTTACTAGCTTTAACGTAAGAAGTAAAAACAAATTATCAAAATTAAAGTAAATTAAACTTATTTTATTTGGAAGCATATAAGTAGATATGGACGGTCCCAACTTTATTCCACGACCATGTTTTAAGTCGTCAGCAGTTTGACAATAGTCATTTTGGCCGTCCCTTTTCAAAGAAGCTTTTTTCTCTTTTTTATATAAAATTTACGATTTATTCTGCTTTTTAAAATCTTGATTCAATTGCTACTTGTTTTTCTAACCTCAATATGTTTTAAATAATGCATATTTTCATCGACTTTCCTATTCCTTTCTGGCTCTTTGTTATAACTCATCGATCACGGTTTACCTTACAATCATATGAAAATGAGAGAGGTCAGAATATTATTTTGCCTTAAATTTATGTAGTTAGAAATACAAGATCATATATGTTGCAGGAGAATCTGTTTCTCAATCATACTACTATTGTGACTACTTAACAAATCACGCCAGGTACGTATGTGCATTTGCTTACGTCCAATTCAAAAATATTTTCATCGATCGAATAGAATAATTCAAAAGAGAAAAGTGAGAAGTTTTGTTTGTAGATGGACACATGATTGAATGAATAATTCGTAAGAGAGACAAGTTAAGCTCATATTAGGTATACAGAGATGTCAATCAACCTCAACTCCATGTTAAGCACATGGATCGTCCCTTTGGCGACTTTATATATAATGCAAGAATAAAATCGTTACATTTGTAACACTGAATCTCCTACTTCTAAACAAAAATAATAAATCTAAAACAATCTGGCTAAAAACCAAGTTTTTCTAATTGGGCACCAATATACTTTACCAATCTAAAAATGGCGACAATCAAACTCTCCCTTTTTTGTGTGGCTCGATGAATAATGAGTTGTTTATCTTTGTTTATTTTTATCCAAAGAGTTACTCTAAAACGCATAAAGAGAAGAAAAAAAATATATATACATTTTAATCTGAGTAGAGTTAAACAGGCTTTGTGTGCCACAGTACCACAACAGCACATAACAACTACAGTTTTTAGTCCTTTTCTAAACTAAGACTTAGACAAACTAATTAACCTACACTCTTTGTTTTCTTCATAGTTCAAATCTCTTTGTACTACTACTACGTAATGTGTAAATGACATTGTCCTGACACTACTGGTTGGTAAAAGTCTAAAATATTAACACAAACAATAAATACGAAGAAACAATATTAGAAGGAGAATAATACTATTTACAGATTAAGAAGTCTTAACTAGATTTTAATTTTTTATGAACATGTGGGATTGTGTACATTAGTAGGTTATTGAAGTTTTTAATTGTTTAGTTTGGAATAATTGTGGATTTGATCGTAAATAAAAAATGCACTGTTAAAATTGTTTTGTTGAGTTTGAAATAGGCATTTTCACTTACTTGGACTTGGTTGATAAAAAAAAAAAAAAAACCCAAAATTCCAGGTGATGTTTTATCGAATGGGCTTGGCTCGGTAAGAAATAACAAAGCCCAATAAGTTATAGAAATGAAAAGGGCTTCTTCTAGTATGTTCCAGTTTCCTCCACAAGACTCTCTCTCTTCTCCTTCCCTTCGCTTCACTTTGTGTCTCTCTGTAATATAAAACTCCAACTTTTCTCTGCGCAGATTCTACGTTTCGTATCCTCTGAAAAACAAAGCTGCTCACTAAGGTTTTATATCCATGGCGGAAGAGGCAGGGCTTGATTTGGTAGAACTCAGACAACTCCAGAACATAGCCAAGAGACCTCGTGTTCTCAATCTCATTAATTCCGAGATTTCCAATTTGGAGAAGGTACTAAATACACTTTTTACCCTTTTCTTTCGCCATAAATCTCATCCTTGCAATTTTTATGTTGTTAAGTAGTTTCTCTTATCTGTAAATGGAACAGAACTAGGATTAGTTTTGGGTTTACAGAACAACTGTTTCATTCTTTGTATTTACGTGTGTGTGTGAATATCTGGAACTTGGATTTAGCTGTCATTTGATGATTAAAAGGAGACAGGAGTTCACTTTTGAGTTAAACTTTTATAAAAAACTATACTTGGGTTTCTGATTAGATTGAATCTTTTGTTTGTAGCTAAGGGACTCTGCAATTGCGAAGCCAGAGGTCCCAGTGTCAGTTCCTGCACCAGTTTCTTCTTCGGTTAAGCCAGTTTCTCCGGTAGTGAACTATGTCACTCTTGGAACATTCAGCTGGGATCAAGACAATGAAAAAGTCAAGGTATAACCTTTTATTAAATCTTAAGAGTAGACTAAGTTTAACCCCACAAGTGAAGGTTTTTGTTGTATGTTAATGAGGTTTTCTTGTTTCTTCATCGTTTTTTTGTTACAGATGTACATATCCTTGGAAGATGTTGGTCAGGACAATGTTCAAGCTGAGTTCAAGCCAATGTCTTTGGACATCAAAATCCATGATGTACAAGGGAAGAATTACCGATGTGCGATCCCGAAGTTGCATAAGGAGATTGTGCCAGAGAAATGTAAAGTGCTTGTTAAGCCTAAGAGGATAGTTATCACAATGTTCAAGTCTTCCAGAGGAAACTGGCTTGATATACACCACAAAGAAGATAAGGTAAGCAACCGAAAACTCAAGAACAACATGTCATGGTGAAGGAGCTATTTATCTGGTGGAAACTATAAGTAATGGTAAAATGTTGTTTTGGTTCGTTCAGCTTAAACCGAGTTTAGAGAAAGAGAAAGACCCAATGGCTGGAATTATGGGCATGATGAAGGTATGGTTCTTTTAATCCGTGAGGTTGAGGAATATGTTTGTGCATCTTCTCATTATTGTTTATGTTTTTTTGTTTGATGTGTGAAAACTACAGAACATGTACGAGGATGGAGATGAAGAAATGAAGAAGACAATAGCCAAAGCTTGGACAGATGCTAGGTCTGGCAAAGCAACAGATCCTCTGAAAGGACTATGAAGCTCCTTTGACAAGTGTTACCATTCTCAAGTTCGTCTTTTGTAACCTAGCAAGTTTGCGTTTATGTTCTAGTAACCCTACCCTATCTTTGAAAGAACTTGACAAAAGTGAAATATTTTTTGGAGTTTAGTCTAATGATGCATTTTCTGTTTTGGATATTAGCTGTTTATAAGTAAGCACTCGAACTTTTGTTTAATATTCCTAAGCAACTAGAAGCCTTTGTTTTTTATATTAAGCTGATCAAATCTTGCATGATCTGAGATGTTTCTTCTCAAAGGGGTTGAATTATCAGATTTTGGCACCTAATCTTACACTGAGACGAGGTCCAACTTCTAAGACGTGGCTACGTGTAAGTTGATAAGAACAAAAAAAAGAGTCCGTTACGCCGTGAAACTCGAACAATTTTATTATTCATTTCGGTATTTCCAAAACTTCCATTGGAAATAAAAGATATACGTTATATGGATGTAGAAGGCAAAAAGATGTTCATCAATCAAGAACCAAGTTATTATAATCAAGAACAAGATTTGTAACTAAACAAACAAGTATCCAAAACAGACATAATCAAAAACGGTAGTAATTAAAACTCTCATCGATTCTAAACAGAGAGTTGTGACGATGGTCTCTTACCATCATCTGTGTATCCCAAAGAAGGTGGTCGAATAGGTTTAGGGCTCTCGACCATAACATCACTAGCTGAACTCTGCTGAACCAAAACCGGATAAATGTCGGTAGAAACCGAAAGCCGAGAAGGCGAGGCAGGGGAAGAAGGCGAAGGCGAGACTGATGATGGCAGTTCAGAAGCCGAATACGAAGCCATCGAAAGCGTTCTTGTGATTGAAGGATTCACTTCAGCAACTTCTTCGATACCTTCATCGATGTACACAACATCTTGCATAGTTAACTGATGGTATTCGACGATTTCTCTCAAGAACCGGTTCTCTCTAGCGTAAATCGAGTTCTCGTGAGCTAATCTAGCTTTCTCTGCCAACAAGGTCTCAAGCTGAAGCCTGATTAGGTCATCATCAGCTGGATTGTTGTTACCTTTATCCCGGTTATCTCTTAACCGTTTGTTTTCTTCTTCCAATTGAGAGCAACGTTCTTTGGCGAAAGCTAAATCGGCTTTAACCGTTTTCAATTCACGGAGGAGAAGCTTGGCTTTAGCTGCTGTAGCCATGGCAACGTCACGTGACGCTTTGAGTTGAGACTCATGCGGTTTTGGCTGTGTTAACGGTTGCCATGGACTGCTTGATCCAGAGGATTGGTTATAACTGTTGTTGTTGTTGTTGTTGTCTGAATCGATTAGATCTGATCCTTTACGTCTGATTTGAGAAGCTACCATCGTACGACCTTCCTCGAACGCTTTCTCGAAACTGTCTCCGATCTGATTCAGAGATGTTGTGATTTTGTCTATGCTTTTGCGTATGGTTGGGTTCGAGGGTTCGAGAACGACGTCGTTGTGTTGTTGTTGTTGTTGCTGCTGCTGCTCTTCTTCGTCTTCCAGGATTGATTTAGCTTTCTGAGCTAGGATCCCCCAGAATCCACGACTCTCGCTCTTATCCTCGTAAGCCGTGAATCCATGAACCTGAGATTTGGTCGATTTTTAGGTTAACTTGCAGGGAACGTAACCTCTTGAAATGAGAAAACGAGAGAAAGAGAGAGAGAGATCAGACCTGAGAGGAGGCACGGATTGCTTGAGCGGCAAGGGAGGAATGAGAAGAGAAAGATTGAGAAGATCTGAAGGATCCGCCATTGGAGTGACCTTTGAGATCACCGTAATCATGATCAGGTGATTGGTTATAGATGTCATCGTTGAACGTTGACGCTCTCGAGATCCCTTGTCGTCTCCGATACGCCATTTTTTGTTTTGGTTCTTCCTTGTTTTTGATTCTTTCTCTGTTCTTTTTTTTCTTTTTTTGGTTTTTGTTGTTATTTAGAAATTTTGTTTGTCACAATTTTTACAAGCTTTGATCCTCTGGTTTTACGTAATTCACGTTCTTTAATAAGTTGATTGACATATATGTTTATTTGCTTTTTTTATTAGTTTTAAATTGGAGTATATTTTTATTCAATGAGAGAAGGATCAAACATCTAACGTGGCTTCTAAGGAAATGGGTTGACTCCTAAATATGTAAATGGGTTATATAATAGTGATGGGCCACTCGCTCACGAAAGAATCGAAATGTTGTCATTTCATTTTTCTTTTTGTGACGGTTTTGTTTAGATGGAAACCTTGTTTTCTTTTTTGACTTCAAAGTTCAAACCAGTCTAGACTAGCTTTGTTAAGAGATGATAGCTAGGAACACATAAAAAGATTGATTTGTGAAAAGTGTTTATAATTAGAAAGCCCTAAACTTTTTCTTCTATACAAAGAATGTGAAAAGGTTTCGATAAAAGGAAAAGACATTACGCAATAATGTCAAAAAAGCTTTGTCCATGAGACAGAAATTGAGGACTGGTTACCGGGTTTAGGACTTTAGCGTAATAGGATCGGATGACCAGTTTAGAATTAAGTTTTCCTAAGAAATAATTTACTTTAATCAAAGAGATTAAGTTTTTAAAATTTATATTTCTATGACCATTTTCAAAGTAGTCACTGCTCAAAATACTTTTTCAAAAGATGAAGTTTCTAATTATACGCTAAAACCATACTACTTTATATATTAGCATGTTGATAATCATAATATTTGCCGATGGAGGCGAGCCATAGAGAGGCTTGGTGTAAAATTGTCAAATATTTTGGTAAAGTGAGAATCACACTTCAAATGTATAAACAATTTCGTACATAATATAAAAGGAATGTCACTCTTTCCATTTTTATTTTTAAATAAAAGTTATCCGAAGTGTAATTTTTCTTGGTGCAGATAGATATTTCCATATAGACAGACACTGAAGAAATGCAAAATCTACAGACAGAAGGGACCAACATGAGCTGGCTTTGGACCCGAAGTTGCAATAAACAAAGCTGCATGCAGTCACATCGTGCTCTTTTCCATTTATTGAAAATAATTTCACTTGTTTTATATTTGGGTAAAATTCTGTTTTCTAAATTTTTAACGTGCAAGAAAATTCACTTACACATTCTTTTTACACTTGCATATTTTGGATATGAATCATTTACAAACCTATAAATTGTTATGGTCAAGTGACTCAGTGGTAACTTTGGTTTTATTACCATTATTATTTGAAGGTATTAATATTTTCGCTGTTAATTTATTTAAGAAGCCGTGTAAGCACTAAAACGTGTAAATAGAAAGAATTTGTAAGATTTGAAAGTTTAGTCTCAAATTTTTATAAAAATTCTTCACAAATTAAAACAGAAATCATGTCATATTTTTATTATTATAGAATTTGTCTTAAGCAATTGAAGTATTGAACAATATCCAATATTTTCACAATTTATCTTTAGAACAAACAAAAAACTCTTTTTTAAACCTCCTTTTTTCGCTATTTATCTTGACTGTGGTACTCGCTATCGAGAAAACAAATCTTTTACATATGCATCATTTTAATCTTTATTTCTACGGAATTTTTTATTGAAAATATCCAAACAGTTCAAAATATCAAGTTTTTGTGACCATCTATATAGTTGTCAAATGGAGAGTACAATAGCTACCCTATCTTGGATATATTGGAACAGTCGACCCATCAATCTTACCATTGTACAACCACCACAACTCTGTTAAACTGAGTATGTTGAAAGTAATGTAACCCTCATATCAATTTATGTACACATAAAATGTTAAACTATTTTACCTATATAATTTTAGGGTTGGTGAGTGTAGAAGGATTCTATTAAAAGTAAATAAAAGTAAAAAAGAAAAAAACAATAGCATGAAACATATCTCGATTGATATTTAATAATAAACTACCTGAGTCTGACAAGAGACGACCAAAACTGTTGTCATACTATATATATTTACTGGTTCATGTAAATAAAAAATGGTTTTGAAGATTATACTCAACGGTTTCAAAACATTTTTGCTGTTTCAAAAACTTGTTCAAACCAGACTTCTTTTACAAACTGAAATTGAATACGATCAATTCTTAATTTCGATGAGATGTTACTTAAGTATTATATATATGCATACTACTTTAAATCTTTGTTTTTTTAAAAGAGATATACGTCACATATAAGAGATTATGATATATGTTGGTGAAGAAACAAGATAAATGAAAAATCAAAAATGGGTATTGGTGTCTAAATAAAAGTTCGTAACCAACGACATTACGACAGTAACTGTACAGTCTCTGTTTACGTTTGGTACAGTTCTAAAAGCTGTAAGAATCGTAGCACGTAGCACCTGTCTCTCCTTTTTCCTCTGTGGTCTCCACTTTTATTTTCCCCAATGCTTATTTCTTTTTTTTTAGTTTAATTAAAACAGTTTTTCTCCTTTTTTCATGTCAACTTTTTCAATCGTTATTTTCTTAAATAAAATGTTTCAACCTTAATCGTCTTTCTAGATCTTTAAATAATGTCTCGAAATGTTCAACTTAATAATAATATGTTCACACTCAAGTCAATGAATTTTAAAAGAATGCTTTAGTGTTTCTTTTCTTCGTTGGCACTTGAACTGAAGGTGTTGGGAACGAGATGAGGAGAAAAGTATTTTACTTATTTTGTAGAGTGATTTCCTATAGTAAACCGAGTGTCCGAGTCTATTTCCCAATTTTGTTCTTTTTTTAATAAATATTTCTTAATCAGTAAAGTCCTTCCTTGAAAAAGAAAAATCTTAATAGTTGAAACTTGACGATTATGAAGATCACTCGCCAAGTGGTTACATATAACATATTAACAAAATTATGCACAAGCGATTTGATAGTAAAAAGAAAATATTGAGTCCTTTTCCCAGAACAATGTCAACAATTACAGATAGCAATATCGTATATCAACTCCTTGGGTCATCATAAATCTATTTGCAAGAGAATGGTTTAGTACATAGCTCTAGTCTAACGGCCAGGAGTCCACTAAAATAGGAGAAAGAGAGAGAGAAATAACGATAACTGGTTTGCATGAGGACATACTGAGGACATAAAGTGAAAAAACTTTTATGTTAAAACACACTAGTAGTTTTTTAACACTTCTGTTTTAAACCAACGAAATTGATTTGGGAAATGGAAAGAAAAAAATCAATAACACAAAAATAAACACTGATTGATATTTCCAAGAAAGGCAAACAAATTATGGTAAAAAGAAAAAAAAAAGAGAAGATACAAAAGTTAGGTTTGGTTGGGTCAAACTCTAAGAGCAAAGCCTAATGCTTTTGTACCTAACTGAAAAACATACCAAATAAGATTTAAGAAGAAAAAAAAAAAACTAATCCAAAACGCTATCCATTTCCATCTTTTTGTGATTATGACTTTTCTTTTTTTTTTTCTTTCTATGATACAAAGGATCATCATGGCTACTCTCTCATACAATAGTTTTATGAGTGAGAAGAGGTTGTTTCTCAAAGAGACCAAGTCTATAATCACCAAGCTTAGACTTGTAAGCAGAAGATTTGTATTGAGACCAAGTGAACTCTTTGTAAAGCCAATCCTCTTGCTCGGGGACTAGGCATGACAATGGTGCGATCTTCTGGCTCAATGGCGGTCCACCGAAATAGATCATTGAAACCCTTGATCTCCTTGTATCGGCTAAGACCCTGTGTTTAACACTCTTGAACCTCCCGTTAGTCATAACCTGCAATCACCAAGTATTGTTAAATGGGGACGACTTTTGAAATTTAGGATAAAAGACATTCTATATTATACTTTTTGGTAGCTTTTGAAATGCCACTTATAAAAAAGTACTATATTGCATACATGTCAATCGTGTAACAGTAATTGTCACGTGAGGCTCAGTGGCTAACATAGATTTTCTAGACGTACACACAAGAAAAAAAAGATTTTGAAACCATCTCTTTTATTTTCAAATATAAATATATAAATAAAGAAGAAGAGAGGAGAAGAAGAAGAAATCCCCATGTGAGAATTTTGGTCGACCCTCCACACCGATCTCAATCACTTGGCCTTGATATATAGCAACCAAAAAAACTAGTAAATTTTATCAAAAACTATTTACCTAATTTGATAAATAAAAGTATATATGATAAGATAAAAAAAAGTATATTCTTTAAGAAAAAGAAAAAAAAATTGACCAGCCAAATAAAACAGCAGGGAATGTTTCAAAACACAAACCATCAAATCTTTCATTAACAAAAGAAAAACAAATTGAAATAAAATCAAATCCTAAATACATAAGAAAAACTTATAAAACTTTAGTAAATGAAGATTTGTCTACATAATAAATAAAAAAGAATAAAGGAGAAGAAAAGGGACCTGAAGAGCATCTCCAACATTAATGAAGAAAGAAGAGTGATCAGGAGGGACAGCGACCCAACTTCCATCTTTCACACAGATTTGAAGACCCGCCGTGTTATTGGATCTTAGCACTGAGATTATCTGTGGGTCTGTGTGTTCCCCAAAACCCACCTTCACCATCTTCTCCGCCTCTTCCTCCGCCGTCGGGTAATGGTTTAGTCTCAGGCACGAGTCACTCTTCTCCTCTCTCAGCATTTTACTTAGAGTGTCCCTTGGCTCTATCCCTAATCCTTCTGCCATCATCTCCAACAGCTTGCACGACACTTCTTTTATCTCCTTCATGTACTCTTCCACCGCCTCTCTGTTCGTTCAAACACCACTCAAAACGTTTAGATTCCAACGGAGTTGTACTACTACTTATCTAAAACGTGAAAAAAAAAACAGAGTGCTCTGTTTCTTGAAATGTATCAAGAAAAGGAGTGATGATATCTTTAGGAGAAAATAGACCTTTTTATATATATAGTATGTTGTTGTTTTATGAGATTTTACCGGAAAATTTGAGGGGTTTGGCGGAAGACGGCGGAGGTTTTGGGAGAGGA